CAATCGCCTGAACCGAGCTAGCCTCTTGGCTGATGTAGGGTAGAGGCAATACACAACAATCATTGAATAACTGCTGCCTGGCTAAAGTGGCAACTGATAATGGGCACTAGAGAGATTAGTCCATTTTGGATGCCGAGATGCAGGAACGAGTCAATGTGCAGCCTCTTTTTCCTACTTGAGGGCTGAGGGAGGGCTGTGCAGAGATGCATACGTACAAGGCCCCAGTCCTCGGCGCGACGATGGTAAGTGCGCCATCATATGGTAAATTTAGATGAATTGTAGGCTTGTACAATACATCACGTCCCCTTCTTTGACGTGCAACGCACGACGATCGGAAACCGACCCTATCCACGTCACTTCCAAACCAGGCATCTACTATTGCAGCATTTGGGTCTATAGATTTTCATTTTGTATAATACAACATGCCGGACCACAACCAGAAGAAGCCAATCTCTGGCGTAGAGACCCTCTGCAATCGCAACAGAAAAGATGGGATGTATTGTGCCGGTTCCCCCAAACGATTTGTCCCAAACCTATCATTTGAACTCATCAGTTTCCGCAGGATTACTCGTCGTACTGACAAGACGGCGCCAATATCCGTCTCGTACGTCCCATCAACTTTGTTCGCGCTTCGTCTCCCGTTCCCTTCCATGTATCAAGTCTCCATCTAGCTCGAGAATTTTCGGGTAATCTTGGCAATAACTACATCACAATGTTAATTCCTTCCGACCAACAGAACCACGGCCCAGCAAATACGTACTGTGAAGGGCAACAACGCTGAAGATAAAGACAAGAGACAGAACAAGGACAACGACGGGGTCGACCTTGAGGCCGGGAGACTCATCAGTGTAGAGTCCTATGACGGGTATTAGCAAATATCAATTACCATGAGGGGGGAAGCATCACTCTCCCAGCAACAGCTGCTGCATCAAGCCGACGGGCGATTAAAAACCCTTCGAAACCACACAAGAGCTGGCGTTGCTGGGAGGCTAGACGCAAAGCGGTGCAGAGCACACGTACTCAGCATGGTGCTGCTAGAGCCGCCAGCGCCGGCCGAGCGGGTGCTGCTGGGACGGGCATTGGCAATCTTCTCCTTCTGGTCGGCGGCGGCGCGGCGACGAATGGCCGTTCGGGGGCCGCCGGGGGGCGTGGGCGACGAGGGACGGTTGAGGCTGGCGCCGGTGGCAGCGCCTTCGGGCGAGGAAGCACGAGGGGAAGACTATATCGAGAAAACGAGATGCGCGTTAATTACAATTCCATCCATCACCGGACACAATTCCAATATATGAAATCGCATCGTCCGGGAGGAGCTGCGCAGTCGCCGAGTGCGTCGGCTGTCTGTCCTGTTGCGACGACTCCCTCGCACGACAAAGGCGACAGGGTGTCCAGTCGCTCTGGCTTTCGCCCGCGCATCCTCCCAATTGGCTGCTCGCGTCAAGACGTACCATTATGTTATGATGAGAAATAAACAAGACCGGAAAAGAGAGGAAGAAGAAAAAAATCCAAGTCGACGAACCGCTGCAGGATTGATCGATTTGGATATCGAGAGTGATGGACAAGGAGCGATGATGGAACGGGAGGTATGTGTTGTCTGCGACGGGGGTAAAGTGCAAGCTAAACCCACCTGGAGACCACTGGCCAGTTGCTGCTGCTCCCTCCTTGGTGAGTTGAGGCCACATGCACCAGAAAAGGGTCTCGACCGGTGCGGCGGCAGAACAATGTTCCGGCTAGTTTCAGTGAAACCTTGTCACGAAGATCCCGTCAATTAATCTATACAATCTGCGATTTGTTTGTTTGTTTGTTTGCTTATTGTACTATTTACTACCTTTTTTTTTTACGACATCCAACGGTCTTCTTTTTTACATATCGAGATGATGAAGTCAAAGAACATCGGTCCGGTTGTCGCACTGCTTCACTGGCATGACTAGTCAAGCTCAAAAGTAACCATTGGACCCTCATTGACAACAATACAATAGCTGTATCATTGAAAGAGTTTTACAATTTGAGGCAACTATGTATAGTATGAGGTATCTTTTCTTCTCCTTTCCCACTTGCGCTGGCTTTCTGCATTTCAACCGCAGCGTCCAACAGAAACTCAACAAACATGACAAAACACAAAAAGACAAAGAAGAATAAAGTATATTTCACCTGCGTCTTGTCCCCTCCTCTTCCCTTTCGTCTTCTTCTCCTCTTTCTGATCCCCGTGCATGCATTATACCAGCGACGAAGGCTCTCCACACCAGGAAGAAGATAAAAAGAGACCAGGAGAAACAAAAAGAAAAGAAACCCCCTTTGACCAAAAACGCCTTGCGCTATGAATGGAATACTGTAGTTTCCCATCGGAAGCTCTGCAGAGATGTAATAGAAAGATTTCGAAAAGTGGTTTTGTTGAATAACAAAGGAAGAATGGAGAAAAATGCAAAAAGTACAAGTTGTTTCTTCTTCTTTTTGACCGCTCGAAAGAGTTTCTGTTTCTTTTAAAGAGTGACATCGAGGACAAGGCTGACATCTGAGACCTTGGGGCCAGCCAGATCCTCGAGGACAGGAATCAAGTCTAGCAATTCATTGTCGTGGGCGTCAGAGAACCAGCTGCTGATGGGAACGGCGTGTTGAGGGTGGAATATGTACGAGGTCGGTGAGTTGTCAATGATGATTGTGTCTTTGAGATCGCGTCCGACTTGCGATAGATCCTTGACGTAATTGCCTTGATGATTGTAGCAGCTCTCGCGGAAAAGTCTGTGATGAACGACATTGTGAATGTCGAGTTGGTCTAATAGAGGATCTCCATACTGCGTGCCAGTTAGTGATGGCGGGCTACTTCAATGGATAATTTGTTGACATACCTTAGAAACAGACGCGGTAAAAACGACAACTTCGTACAACTCGCCAACTCGCTTCATGAATTCGTCGACTCCGGGTCGCTTAATGACATATACATTGTGATAATTGCCTTCAATTTCGACAGGTATCGTAAAGTCGGCTTGGTGGAGAATCTGCGGGCAGAGTGTCAGAACGAGATCAAGTATAGCCCCTGTGTGACTGTACGTACCTTGAATGAGCTGTGTACAAGGGTTTCATCAAGATCCAAAACAAGACATTTTCGGCCCTTGTGCTCGGGAGCAATGGGGGGTAGCAGCCACTTGCGCTCCTCCTCCACTGCAGCAGCAGCAGGAGGGAGGGGGAACGGGACGGTCGTAGCGACGGCAGGCCCAGGGGGCGGAGGTGGCACAGCTCTCTCGTCAGGCTCCTCGGGAGACTCTACGACTGGCGTTTCGCGAGAATCCTCAGGCGCGTCGGGCATTTCGGAGTCATCGCCATTGGAAGAGTTGCCTCCACCTGCTGATTGCGGTGCACTAGGAGGCTCGACGGCAACGGCAGGCGGGTTCTCGTGGTGCGTGTCCGCTTCTTCCATGATGATATCCTGGGAGGCGCTCGAGGCTCCTTGCTGGTCGGTAGTGGCAGCAACTGTGTTGTTGGGCTTCTCATTCGAGTTGCGAGCGTACTGGTCCTGAGAAGTTTGGGATCGAGATTTAGCCGTGGTCGGCCGTTGAGGAAGTTTGTTTAGTTTGTGAACGTTGCTTTTGTCCTCATCATCTGGGACTCCGCAGCAGCCAAGTAGAGAAAGAAGGCCTCCCTTTTTCCTTCTTTGCTTCTGCTCGCTGGCGGATGGCGAGCTTGGTTGTGTGTGGCCAGGGGTGCTGGCGACATCAGCGTCCCCAACCTGGCGCGTAGCACTCATAGAGCCGTTGGGCTGCGCTTCGGCGTAGCTATTCTTGGAGTCCTTGGAGCGGGCACTGCTGCTACTGCGGCCAGTGGCAGAGGGCGCAGCTTGGATTTTTTGTTGTGAAGAGGATCTCGAAGGGACCTTGAGCATGCCCTGACTCTGGCGGGCGGTCCCAGCCTCGTCGGAGGTTATTGTGTCGCTGTTATCGGTTGGCATGCTTGTGCTCTGTTCTATGGGTATATCACGGTTCCTATCGCTGATTTATCAAGGTGATGGCGGCACAGGTTGTGACACAGTAGTTTAACGGGCTGTTCAACGAGGCGCGGGCGGGTTAGCGACATGCAATGCAACGAGACCACGAATATTCACCAGTCTGCGCTGGATCGACGGCATGCGACGACGAGCGCAGCAAAGACAGGGCAGAGAGGGGGTGAAAACTCACATCGACTAGCAATTGGGCTGGCCAAGCGCGCACAAGTCCGAGCCCAAGATAGGCAGGAGGCAGGGCCAACCGTACCGAGTGCGATGGGGATTGTCAAGACACGAGGTCTGGACGGGAAGAAAATCGCACAAGAGGGTCGGTGACGGGGAACAAATGCAACGACAGCTGGCGACAGGTCGCGTCGGGGCCGCGGCAGGAAAATCGAGCCGTCGAGGACGTGAGGCCCGAGTCGAGATGGAAGCGCTAGCGAGGCTGGGGCCAATGGCAGCGTGTGCGGTCAAGGCTGGCGGAAGGGGTGCCAGGCCTCAGACGAGTTGCGGGTAAGAGATGGACAGCGTCTGCTTTTGGCGATGGACGAGAGCGAGGACGTCGAGTCGCGAGATGAGAAGCGGAGGGAAACCGGAGTGCGGCGTATCGGAGGATGAATGGAGGAAGCTCGTGGCGCCAGGAATATGAGAGGCCGTGGAGCGGGAAGCTTACCAGTTGGCAGCAGACAGAAGGTTGAGGGCAACGAGGCAGGCACAAGACAAGGAGAGGAGCAAACTAGCTAGGCTGGGGCCCGTGGGATAGATGGGGCCGGACAGAGGCAGCGGGCGACGGAGACGAGGAGAGAGGTAAGGTAATAAAAAGGTACTTCTGGCGAGTAATAATATTTGGCTGGCTGGGAAGTTTTGGGCGAGAAAAAGGACCTTGTGCTGGGGCCTGCATCCGTCAAAGTACCTTCGGGTACTTGTTGTCGCCAGGCGAAATGGAGGGGCTTTTCGGTGTGAGTGGGGTCTCTCATGAGATTAAATCAGCCCAGGGCTTGACACTGATAGGCCAGTGCCAGGCTTCCCGTTAGCCTGTTCAGGGCGCTCCAGGGCTGCCTACAGCGTCTCCCCTGAGCAGCGCTGGGATACCTATCTATTTATCAGGTGCGGACAGCAATCAATAAATAGGACTCAGGTAGGCAAAGGTCCGAATTGCACCGTCAGCGTGGAAAACAGGGGTGGGGGTTCGAGTCTTTTTTTAATTTCCCGGCAACAAGATGCCATTTCATTCAAAGACAAAAGCCATCGAGTCAAAGTCACGGGCGAAAAGGAGCAGACGGGTGAACAACTAACTAATTACTTTGAACTGCCTACCTAGGTAGTCAGCCCCCTGTAAATAATGGCGCTCCGGAACACTGTTTAGGTACCTACCTTATGAGCAACGGTGTTTGCACCATCTCTGTGTACCTCTTTGTACCTCCTGTCCAACTTTTTGTCTTCCTCTGCCAACCTCTCAATGACACCCAAAACCACCTGGCAGGTTGCCAATATGACCGTGTGCATCTGCATCCTCACTTTACTTGGAAAATATATTGCATCCTCATAAGCTCCCGACAAGCCTTCGGTTCGCATCCACGTCCCACCTCACATTGCTTTTCTCCCGGTGCATTGCCTGCCATCTCGTCCTGGTGACGCCCCCCCATGAGAGACTGCCGTGCGGCGCAATGTGCAACCTAAATACCTGCTTGCTAAATAACCCACTAGTATCAATGCACACAGTGAGTAAGCAAGTTATTAGATACAGACCTAGGTATGCCTACGGTAGACGGCTCCGCCCGTCCCCGGCGCCTTTCGTTAGTCCGTGTGGCGATGGTGCATTGTCAAGTGTACGGATATCGCTCAAGCACTTCCATGTGTTGCCAACTGCTGCATTTATTTTTCACTTCATCAGCTCACAGACTCACTTGCACTGAATGCTGCAGCACCTCCTTCGGCCTTGATACCGTCTTTCAGTTTTGAACGTGGGCTCGTTCTTCCTGTGGCGTCCGCAACATCACAGCCCACAACCCACAGCCCTTTGAAGCTGCAGGACGCTGGGCGCTAATAATGCGACATTGAGCTCATACGAATAACTGGCTGGCGAATCTGGTGGAGCATCGTCTTAATTACAAGCTAGACGTCGGACCACTGTGAGGCAAACTATACCAGAGTAGACGCTAGGTTGATGAGTGGATGGCTTTCAGAGACACACAGGCTGTCAACTACATTGTTCGACAGTCTGCCATTGCTATCTCTCTTTGGCTAGCACTTTGCCAAACCTTACCGGAATACGGGGAGCATGCCAATCCGACTAATTATTAAATGGTGTTGCCATTTCTACTGCCAGGCAGCTTGGCAGTCTGGGTCTCGTCACAGTGCGACATTGGCCCCCCAAGATCCCATCACCATTCTGATTGGGTCTCTTGCCGCCCGGCGTTCGTGATGCCACTTTACCATGTTAGCCAATCCCCGACCGTGGCCAGCCAGAGACACGCATCGTGCTGTAGAAAAGCGTGCCACCGGCAACAAGCCCCTTGGCAGGCAGGCAACGCCCCCGGATGACGTCCCGTTGGGCGAGGGAGGGTGAATCGTGCGGAAAGATGCGGTATCGCATTGGACAGAGATGCACGGATAACTGGTCAAGTCGTTGAGATGTTTGTATTGGGGGCACTCCTCTGTGTGGGTGTGCATGCCAGTTTTACTTTTATTAAGCGAACCGCTGCTGGGGGCGCAGCATATGCTGATAGGTCGACAAGACTGGCACACTAGTCTGAGCATCCATCACATCTCTGTATTGAAACGAGTGATTGGCCGATTTTCACCTAGATTGGCGACGTCACAGACGCTGACTGTGCTCTCTGGTGATGTACAAGCGCTTGCTATTACGAGGCAGAGACTGATGGTGTAGTAGTCAAGATCCGCTGCATAAAGAAGTCTCGGCTCGTATCGCTGAGTGGTTGAGTGGCTGCTTGGCTGCAGTGCATGATTCAGCGTCTGGGAATCTACGGACACAGAAATGCTTTTGTCAAAGGAGACATGTGGTGGCGGGCCGATGGCCCGAGCCTCTTTGGAAGGAAGTGCGGTTTCTAGTAGTTTGCAGTCAGCTTCGTGGAACCGGCCATTTCTCCGTTCATTGTCAGATACAGGCGACACTTTTTCGCACATGTCTGTCCTTTTATGAGTTTCTGCGAGACGCCGTTTGCGAGGGAGAAGGAACGCAAGATGACGAGGAGAGAAAAGCTGCGTAAGATGGAATTATCTGCAGACAATTGGTTCAGCCACTGGTCGCCGTCTATTGATCTAATGCACACCGATGCAAGATTTGATGATGCTGAATCGCCCTTGTCTGTATCCTCTCGTGAACAAGCTTGCAGCTTCGTGCTTCTCCAGGCCTTCTCCAGAAATAATCATGTGACTGCCCCGGACTGGACGACCGCCGCCGACTCCACCAGTTCTGGTATGGCTGCAGTCAGCGAGCGGGACCCGTTTGACGTGCCTCGGATAGGCCGCACTAGCCCGTTCACATGCCTTGTCACCAGCTTAAACACCACCTTCTGACCAGTTGACTTTGGGCCATCTCAACTCTCGTCATCTAATCCTCTCCAGCGTCCAATATTTCAAGCTCTCTCCCTTGCTGTGACTTCTCCCCTCACCATCGACTTCTTCAACTTGTGCTGCCGCCCGTCTGTATCGCCAAAGCGCAGCGGACTCATGTCCTCGATCGCATTCGCCCACTGCTAAGCGGCTTCCGCCACCTCACACTCGGTGCATCGCGCCTCTCTCCACACCGTTCGCTGTCATGGCTGCGCAGTCGACGCTGCGCAGCACCGCTGCCGAGCAGGCTATTGCGGCCTTCTTCGACAAGTGGACCGGTGCCGCCAAGTCGCGATTCCGCAACAGCTCCCGCGCAAGCCGCATACTCGCCACGCTCGCCCTCATTGCCTCCATCATTGTTGGCGCCGAAGGCACTCGTCGTTGGTGGAACAAGAGCTCTCAAGAGAATGAGCAGGGCCGCAAGCTGGTCCGTACCAACTCGTGGCTACATAACAAGGATGGGTCGCGAACTATATACGTCCCGTACAAGCATGGCACCTCCAAGGTCATAATCAACACCACTAAACCTCTTACTTTCGAAGCCCATCGGCGTCTCTTCCTCAACCCACCTCGCGTCTCAGGTCTAGGTGACGCAACAGTGCCTTCAGCTCAGACCAAACCTGGCTTGAATCTGGCCTTCCTCCACCAGTTTCTCAGCCTGATGAGTATCATGATCCCTCGCTGGACTAGCAAAGAAGCCGGTCTACTACTCAGCCATGGCCTCTTTCTCATTCTGAGAACCTATCTCTCATTGGTTGTAGCACGTCTAGACGGTGAGATTGTGCGCGACTTGGTTGCCGGAAATGGAAAGGCCTTTTCATGGGGTATTGCCAAGGTTAGTCGTCATGCTACATTGATCCTTCCATTTTACTAAATCGTCATTACAGTGGCTCGGCCTCGGAGGGTTTGCTTCATACACCAACGCTGCCATCAAATATCTCGAATCCAAGGTGTCTATTGCTTTCCGCACGCGACTCACGAGATATATCCATGATCTGTACCTCAACGAGAATATGAACTATTATAAGTTGACCAACCTCGATGGCGGAATCGGCCAGGGAGCCGATCAATTCATCACACAAGACCTCACCCTCTTTTGCGCGGCCGCTGCAAATCTCTACTCCTCCCTCGGAAAACCGTTTATTGACCTCTGCGTCTTCAACTTTCAACTATACCGATCTCTGGGACCTCTAGCCCTGACTGGCCTGATGAGCAACTACTTCCTTACTGCCAGCATCCTTCGCAGATTATCTCCTCCATTCGGAAAGCTCAAGGCCGTAGAGGGCCGCAAAGAGGGCGACTTCCGCAGCCTACACGCTCGCCTGATTGCGAATGCCGAAGAGGTCGCTTTCTATGGCGGTGCTGACACGGAAAAGACCTTCTTGAACAAGGAGTACAAGTCGCTTAAGAGTTGGATGGAGGGCATCTACATGCTGAAAATTCGCTACAACATCCTCGAAGATTTCATCCTCAAGTACAGCTGGAGCGCTTACGGCTACCTACTGGCTTCGTTGCCCGTCTTTTTGCCAGCTTGGGGTGGCGTTGGCGGACTGTCAGAGATGGTCGAGCACGCTCAGAAGGGCGGTCGCGAACGTAACCGAATGAAGGATTTCATCACTAACAAGCGTCTGATGCTTTCGCTTGCTGATGCAGGTGGTCGCATGATGTACTCCCTAAAGGATCTGGCTGAGCTTGCTGGCTACACGAGTCGCGTGTACACGCTCATCTCAACTCTGCACCGAGTCCACGCCGACGCCTACTATCTGCGCAACGCGCAAAACGATATGTACTCCCTGTCCGATGTCCAAGGGACCATCCAAAAGGGCTTTGACGGTGTCCGCTTCGAGCAGGTCCCCATCGTTGCCCCTAGTATATGGCCTCAAGGCGGTGATGAGCTGGTAGATTCGCTTTCTATGATTGTCCGCAGCGGCGAGCACTTGCTCATTTCTGGACCAAACGGCGTCGGCAAGACTGCTATTGCGAGAGTTCTCGCTGGCCTATGGCCGGTCTACCGCGGCCTGGTCAGCCGGCCGAAGAATATTGGCGAGGATGGTGTTATGTTTCTGCCTCAGCGCCCGTATCTCAGCCCTGGGACTCTCCGCGACCAAGTCATTTATCCTGACGGCCACTTAGACATGCGGCTCAAGCGGAAATCCGAGGACGACTTGAAACGCGTCCTGGACGAGGCAAAGCTCGGATACTTGCCCGATCGCGAAGGCGGCTGGGACACGCGCAAAGAATGGAAGGACGTCTTGAGCGGCGGCGAAAAGCAGCGGATGGGCTTTGCTCGCTTGCTGTACCACGAGCCCAAGTACGCCATCATTGACGAGGGCACCAGCGCCGTGTCTAGCGATGTCGAAGGACTTCTTTACGAAACGTGCAAGGACAAGGGCATCAGTAAGTTGACTTTTTTTTCTGCCTTCAATGATGCACGTGCTAATTCCACTTGCCTCTAGCTCTCATCACAATCTCGACCCGCGCGTCTCTGAAAAAGTACCACACTTACAACCTAGTTCTGGGGCAGGGCGAGACTGGCGACGACTGGGAGTTTGAGCGCATCGGCACCGAGCGCGAGAAGCTCCAGGTGGAAAAGGAGCTGCAAGAGATTCGCGAGCGGCTCGCACAGGTCGACGAGTGGAAGCAAAGACGACAAGACATTGACAAGGAGCTGGCGGCGGTGTGGACGGACCAGGGTGAGTCGCTGGACGCGCCCGAGTACGTTGAAACGGCCGAAGCTGCTGGGGAAGAAGCGGTGGAAGCTACCGCGGCGTAGATTATTGGGTGGAGCGAAGCTGGACGATGTAGAACATGCATCTTTGTTTATAACAAGCCACATCTGCATCTGTACGTATGTATGCAAGGGGTGCACTTTCAGAGCGGATGAGGATGAATCGAATACCAATGAATACATGATCATGATGACCGAAGCGAGGAACCCAAGAAATTTCCTCTCTGCGCACGTTCATGTCTTGAACACACCATTCGCTCCTATCCTCCACCGCTTGTAACTTGTAACAGCCTTGGAGGGTGAATAGGACAATGATGGTGTCCTATTGGCTTCAAGCCAAGTGCTCCAGCTTCGCCTGCGCAAGCCTGTGTGCTCCCACTTGTCCAAATGGGCTAGTTCTTTTTTGTCCGCTACAACGGATCAAGAGGAGCACTTCGCATCCGAGCTCATTGAGAGATGTTAAAACAATGCTCTTATTATAGATCTTTGCCCTTCTTCATGTGACTGGACTGTTGTACCTCTCTTCTTCAACCAGCATCATCTCACAAGTCGCCGGAATCTCTCGAATACCCAAAAGACAATAAATACGCTGGCCACGAGGGACTCTCTCGTTGCCCCCATCTCACTTTGCTGTTTCGGAACATGTTCGTCCTCGTGCACCTTGTGACACTAAGTCGACGCTCCCTTGCACAACACCACCTCTGTTGAAAATCCATGAGCTTTGTCTTCCTTTCCTGCAGTTGCTTTCATTTTTCAAGTCTGATATACTGAAGAAGCCTGCGCTGGGCAGTGTACATAAACACGACTGCTCGGAGCAGCCAAGCACGCATCTTTCCACATGTCACACTGCCGGCACTCAGCCGTTGACATGTTAGCGAGCTCACGAGCGTCCACGAGCATCGCCACCCTCACTTACACGAGGCTCTCGTCACAACGCTAGAACCCATGGCCCCCTTTTTTTCTTAATCAAGCACTTAGAGCACCACTGCTAGAGGTGTTCATTATTGACGACGCTTACTTATTTAAATGATCTATTCATGTTCGTTATTCTGCGGCCCCCTTTTGTTCTTTCCAACGGCCGCAGTGTGATGTAAGGTAATGTGCCTATCGACACTCCAATAAAATCCAATCTCAAAGGAATTGAGATACATGGAATCCCAAAGATGCTCCACCGTAGTCTCGCAAAGACGTCGCCCCATGACAAAAGTCATACCTACCATCAATAGAGGTTTCTAGCGAGCAACAAATGTCTCAGCATCCCATCCAAATGTGCGTGCCAGTCTTTGGCTCAGGATCAGCTTCCTAAAACCTTCAATCCGCGGCCCGTGAGGTCTGTGGACGGTCAGCGAGCTCCGCAGAGCAAGGTCCTTTGGCGGCTCAAAATGGAAGCTCGATCCCTGCCGCGGTGTGATGCGGAAATTGAGTTCCGCCATGGCGGCCTCAAAGCTGGCCCAGTGCAGTCCGCCTCGCAACTCCGATCTGTCGAATAGAGTCGCAAACACTTGTGCAGCGGAGGGGCTGACTATGATCTTGCGTTGTGGCGGCTCAACGCGCTGCGTCGGCGGAACGCCTTGCGTCAGCGCGGTCCTTTGGAGCAAGGGCCGGGCTTTCGGAGCAGGTTCAGTTGGCTTATCAGACTCTGGCTTCGATCTGCCTTTGGGCTTCTTTTTCTTCTTATTAAGAGATGCTGGCCGGGCTGGGCTGTCCTCCTTCGTCATCGTCGGCGAATTGCATGCTGGTTGGGCCGGGCTGTCCTCTTTCGTTATCGTTGGTGACTTGCATGCTGCTGCGACTTCCACGGTGGCATCACACTGGCGCTGCACCGCCTGTCCAACCTTTGGTTCCAGCTGAGGGTCGACGATTGACGACATAATTCTCGCAATGTCAAGGTGCGGCTTGGCAAGTATCATTATGGACTTAAGGGTAAGAGATTTGGTGACTAACATGAAGTCTAGGGAGCGTGAAAATGGTGGCATGTCGAAAGTCAACGGCATGTTCTTGATCAACTCCGCGGCACGTAGCAGGCAATTGATAGCTTGATCCTCGGCAGCGTTTGACTCTTCGAAAGCATCTATACTGATGCCAATTAAGGCGACTTCGAGAGTCTCTTCCGGCTTGGTAAGAGTTGTTTCTCTGTGGGCGAGACTTAACAGAGCTTGTAGCAAGATGTTTTGCTTCGTCAATCGCTTGTGTCTCATAACAATGCGCGCGTTTCCTTTCGCATCCAGGGCATTTGGAACTCTCACGAACCAACACTGTGCCTGATAATCCTGGACCTCTCGATGAGAGACAAGACGAGCACAAGTGTACTCGATGTGACAGATGTTTGCCAGCTGTTGAAGCATTGTTGTTCCCAGAATTGCTGTGAAGCACAGACAAAAGCTCTTTATACCTCTTTAAGATAGGGGACCTGCAATAACTTGAGAGTCTGCATTGAGTTTATCGATCCTAGGGTATGACGAGCAAACAGACGACCGAAGGCCGTCGAAGCTGTGAATTAGCACAGCAAACGCCAGCGTCAGCCAGCATGAGCCAGCAAACACAGTGCTACGCATCACTTTCTAATATATTCTGGTCCATTTGTGACCGACGACAAGGTCACATGCCCCGTTTTGGGTGACGACGCACGCTTTCGGCAGGCTGCAGGGAAGCGCGCGTCGCTCAGTTATGGAGACGGTGAGTTCCGACCGCGGGTCGGGGGTCGACTAGCCCTACTATGCAAACAGATAGAGGCCCAGTTTGAAAGCAGTTGTCAGAGAATCGAAACAAGATTATGCTTATATGTGTGCATATTGGAGAGGTGAAGTTCGGACTGAGAGCAGCCGGTGACGCCTGTTGAGCACGACGGTTTAGTCCAAAGCACAGTGGCACTGACACTGCATCAACAAGACAATTCGGAGTAGAGATGTTGGATGAAGACGGATATCATACACTTGTAAGTTTTTGAAAGAGAACGGAAACTGAAGACACGTACCTGATTCGTGCTCCGCCATCATGTACGGAGCTTAATTTGGCTGTCTCTCTGGCGACTGGCCACTTGACTGGCTCGGGGCTGAGTTCTTGCGCATAAGGTATTGTCTTTTGGTGCTCAAAGCTGAAGCGCGTATATCATTAATATTCGTCAGCTCATCTCGCAGACACCACTTGGCCTCTGGCACCTCCAGCGCCGCGCTGAAAGACGAACTTCCTTCTGATATCAAGGGCGACTCCACACCATTCTAGTACTCGTCGTCTAAACCCCAGAGCTCTGGATTGAGAAAGAGTAAAAGGATATTTCAGACTCATCTTGCCCTCGCGCCGCGTTCGCGGTGCGCTTCGACGCCTGAACCGCTACTGCAGCACCGTTGTCCTCGCCCTCAGCAAACCCAATGTCGTCGTTCCTCCGAGCAAAAGGTTTGTAAAAAAAGTGAAAAAAAAAGTCGTCCTAAGCATCCTCGACGGCAGCGACGATGCCGTATTGGTGCCATGGCGACTCGTCCCTGCTCTTGGGCGCCAAAATCTGAGCGATACTTTTTCCTGACTGGTACATTCTCATGTGCTGCACAATGCGACTCATTATCGAGAGCAGATCCTCATTCAATAAGAAGAGTCGCTCCATTATGGTGACAGCCATTTCGGGCAACATACTAGCCAAGAAGTTGAGCAACTGCCTGATGTCCTGCGAACGGGTCCAAGCTTCACCTTGCCTTGTTGGATCTGACCGATTGCGCGTGAGGAATCGATAACGATTTGCCGCCGATGTTCAGCTCGTTGACCAGTTCTGTGAAGCTGTAGTCTGTTTGCGACTTACCAGACAGAACTGAAATTTTTGGCAGCAGTGTCGCCTCGACCGCAGGCTTGAGTAGGAAAATTAGGTTGGTGGACGCTTTTGCCATGACCTGGGGGTTCCACTCCGGCATAATGAGCCGATTTACGTTGTTTTGCCAGACATAATTGAGGCAGTCGAGCCTCTCGTCACTGTAATAAAGGAGCTACCAATACCTACTGGCTGGCGGCTTTGTGGCACTGCTGGTGGAGCTGGACGAGTTTTTTGTGCAGATGCAAGAGTTCGTCCAGAGTGCCGAGGTTTTCGATTGTACTCGAGGTCATCGTGATGATGTTGGTGTAATCTTGGGATATTAGGATGTATGATTGTTTCGTTTCGGGCAATTTTGCTGATGAGTCTGTTTGAATGCCTGGTGTGCAGCAAGATGGGGGCTACTGGCAGTCTATCTGATTCCGCCAGTATTCAGAGCTTTGTCCCTGAAAATGTAAAAATGGAAGTAGTTGCTGCCTTTTTCGCCGCCTTTTTTTTTTTTTCCCGTATCGGACTTCGCATCCTAGTTTTGTGGCTTTATGTCGGCAACCTTTGTCGTGCGAGGATTGCCTTTGTGCGCCGATTAGAAACCCACTTCCATAGTGTTTCGGCGAGAACCAGTGCGAGTGTGTCAAAGTCTCCGAGATGTAAAGACAGATCCCGATTGTAGAAGGCATGCATAATTCATGGTGAAAGCGGTAGCATCATTCACTGCTCCGTAAGCGGCGGCTTCCTAGAGCGTGAAAAGAGGCGGCAAAGCAGCAGCGAAGACGGACACTTTGCAGAATACGGCGGCGTTTTGGCGCTTTAGAGATAAGGAATACAAAAGACATGTCAAGATACCCAAATTGGGAAAATCGTAGCAACGTGTAACAAGGCCAAGTTTTTCATGCTGGTCTGATTTGGTGCTTGGCTGGCGGCCGACGGTGCCCATGTCTGACTTGCGTGCTTCTGCAGGAGCTGCATTGTTCACTCCACTCCACAGACAGGTCGACTCAAAGCTGCTTGGCAGTCATGGCTATTGAACTTGTCGATTGTTGATGTGGTGCAATGCTTACTGGCCAGCTGGCGTAGGCACAAAGGGTGTGATGGTGGGTGAGTGATATTTGGTGAGCGGAAGCGCTTGCGCTAGTTGCCGTGGTCATTTGCTGGGTGTATGTTAGGTAGTTTAGGTGGCAGCTTATGTGGCAGCTTGGGTGGCAGTCTGGCCGAGTCAGAGAGGCCTGATTCTATTGGGGACAGAGCGAATTAAAATAGCTCTCATATCTGATAAAAAGACGAATTTGTTAATGCATCATTATCATCTTGCCGACATACATAAAGTGGTGTGCATCTTGACGGTACTATTTTCAGGTAGCGAGGCGGGCGTTGACAGGGCTTGACTGCGTTTGATGCCTGCAGAATCCACTAAATCTTGGTCACCAGAGTCATCGCCCGCTGTAATTCACGCTGTAATCTAAGATGTGCACGCTGTGATCGCTGTAATCTACGCTGTAATCGGCAGAGTTGGCGATTCCAGCAAAACCCGGCCCCAGGCAGCGTTGCTCACTTTAACTGCCCCCCTCCCCCGTTCCTCCCAGCTTCTTCCAATTTTCCTTCCCACATCTCATTGTTCCTCTTTGGCCGCTTCTTTTTTTCCCGTCGACTTCTTCTTGTCGAAATTTTGCTGTTGCGCTGCTCATCTGGCGCTGCCATTCGACCGCTGCCGGCCACGCTGGCGACTTATATCCCCACGTCCGTTTGCCATGGACTGCCCACTGCTGGCCAGCGGCCGGCGGGACATGAACGCGAAGCTGCCTGCTGCGTTCTTCAGAAGAGAAAGCGTCAAAAATAGCTGAATTGTCCTCTCCTCAACACAATGTCCGCCACCAACGCAACGCAACACGACTGTCTGCTCTCCCCTACTTGCTGCCCAGAGTCAAACTCATCGAGGGCCGGGGTGCCCGCGCGAGTATCCGAACATTGGCGCTACGCTACTCCGTCCTGCGCTGGCCGCCACCACGAGGCGTGCATACCAGGGGTGCCCAGCCCACCACCCACCACCTCGACTGTGTGGAGAGGGCCACTGCCACCCAAGCCCGCCCATTTGACAAGATGGCCGAGGAACTGCTGGAGTATTTCTCTGCCAATTATTGCTGCGGCCAATCTGCTGGTGCCCAAGAAAATCAAAGTATCACAAATTTTCTTTTGTCGACGCTGGGAAAGGGGGGGAAGCGGATCACACTCTCATTCGGCCCTGACTGGGCTGCGTGATACGAGACGGCCAGGACCATGCAACCCGTCGCACACCCGGTTCTCATCAAGCTTTGACTTGACAGTCCAAACTGCACAGCATTCTCCCGCATCACATCATTTCAGATTGCGATGGTGGAGCGCCTTCTCTGGCGAGACTGTCGGGGCGCCCGTTATTATCATTTCTATCTGCAGGGTCCAACGGGGTCGGTTCCGGACGATGCGTGGGGACGTTGGCAGCGAGTCACTGCCAACATGTGTTTGTCGGGGCTCGGACTTCCATCTCAGAGAGAATTGAAAGTCTCTTGCAAGAAAATCCCGTCGCTTCGTCTGGCATTTGCCATCGCCCTGACACCGTTGGCCTGCTATGATGCAACTAGTACGGGCCGTCCGTCCCACCCACCATCACCATTGGGTCCCTGTTCTGGCCAGGCCTATCTCGATCCTTTTCACAGATGATGTCCAGTGTGGGTAAGCTTTTTTAATTTTTTCTTTTGCCGATTTTGTCTTTGGTGTGGCTGGCTCTCTGTCAGATGCATAGCCTGCAGACCTTTGCAGAGCACACGTCAACATCTTTCCTCGTCTGCATACTGGACAGCAAGAAGCGTTGTCACAAATGTTTGGCCAAAACAAGCTGTTTGAGCTTTGCTGCTCTCTGTTAAGGTTTGGTAGCAATTTGCAGCATTTGGCTAACGGTACTGGCAGCCCGGCTAACAGAACACATTCCTCTCGCTGATTGGTGGCAGACATATCCGAGGAGCCACAATCCATTGGCGCTATACTTCATCCGGTTAGCGGCCTCTGCCACTCACAGCGCACTCTCCAAAAGCGACTGAATGAGCTGGTCCCCCCCTTCCTAGGCCCTCTGCTGGCTGGTGAAATGCGAGACAAAGCCCGTGGCAGCAACAATCGCTGACATCCACCTCAACGCGCGTTAGCCTTGCTATTCACCTCGCTGCCACGCTGCCACCACCTCGGGCGCCCCTTTGCTGTGGGTAGACTCTATTTCGTCTGCTTTCCTACGATATCTCTCGTGGTTCATTTCGGTCTCCTGGCGACTGTTGACTGCTGCAGCGGTGCTTTGATCGCAGAGTGTTGGTAGGCAGGCAACCTGCGACACGTCGCAAATTTTCAGTCGGTCTGCGTGCCTTCTGCGTCCAGCAGCCGAATAGCTCAACAGGGTTCAAGTCGCACCCACTCTGTTTTTTCCCTCCCTTCTATTGTCTGATAAAGAGTTTCTACGGCGGCAGCACTTGATTGATACCCCCTGGCGAGGACCGCGTGCTGTTTTCGCGACAGCCATCTTGCCGCTCCTACCTCCACCATCAAAGCCCCAGGCAGCAGGTAGGTACTTGCTGCCCCGTACAGTTTCTGGTGCCCAGCCAGGTATCTTCTTTGTACGCAGCGCCACACCCAGACAAGAACACGACAGGTACGTCTATTTGCGTGGCTTTTTAGTGCCGCTCTCAAGTATCTTTCGCGTCTTTCTTGGTGCCAGCACTCTCAGCGACCGTCTCCTCTGCGCATCACTGTTGCCCCAGGCAGGCCAGCACCCCCTCTCCGCTGCAAAAGCTCCTCACACTGGCCAACCTCCCCCCCGAATCTTTATCCACCAAAATCTTTGGCCCTTGGCTCTGCGCCTGCGTCTCTCTCCGCCTGTCTGCCCATTTTCCCACCCCGACACCTGCTCATTTCCTCCGCCAACCCGCGACGCGACTCGACGCTGTCCATCACCACCCTCCGTGCCGTGCGACCGGCCCCATCTCCATCCAACCTTGTGCCATCCAATGGGTCCTTGCTTTCCTATCCCTTGATTGCTGACTTTGTTTCGCATAGCTTGTCGGCTCTCACGCCATGAGCGCCTGGATGAACGACGCTATCCCCAACCACAATGGAAGCGGCTTTCCACACATGAACGACCCCAACGCCGCCACGGGCATGATGGATCCCTCCGCCTTCATGGCTAATCCGGCCCAATTCAATCCTGCCCAGTTCGCCAACCAGCCGCAGCAGCAGCAACAACAGCTACAGCCTCAACAGCCTCAGCAGCAGCCCTCCCAGCAGCAGATGGCCGCCATGCAGCAAAACGGCCCCATGCGCCACGCATCTCCTTCTGCTTTCCAGCAAAATCCCGCCTATCAAACAAACTCAGTCATTCCTTCCAAGCGTCCTAGACCACGCGAAGACAGTGTGACTGGCTCCCCTGGACAGATGCAGGGCATGCTACCGCCGTCGCGCTCCGAGACGCCCCAGCAGCAAAACTTCTCCGGCATGCCGCAGGCTGGCGCTATGCCTCAGCAGACGCCAGGTCAATTTCCTCATCTGCAGGCGAATGGCTCCGCCAATGCGACACCCTCTCCTATCATGGGCAATCAAATGCGCCCGGGAAGCGTCCCTCAGAGAGTTGCTACCGCCTCCCCCCACCCCTTCTCTCCCGGTCCTCAACAGCAACAACAATTCGCATCGCAAGCATCTCCCGCGCCATCCGAACACGGTACGCCGCAGCCGAACCAGTTTATGCAGAATGCTCCCCAGGGCTTCAATCCCGCTTTCGCTCCATCGCCATCGAATCCTCGCCCCTCACCCAATCCCAACGCCATGGGCGCGAATCAGATGATGCAGCAACATATGGCTCAAATGCCTCAGGGCATGAATCAAATGCAGGCCAACATGTATGCGCAGATGCAGCAGCAAGGACAGGGTCAGGGACAACATGCTCAACAACGGCAGGGTGCCCAAGGTATGCAAGGCATGACCGAGCAGCAGAAGATGGCTGCCTATCAAATGCGCCTTCAGCAGCAGCTCCAGGGCAACATGCAGATGCAAGCCCAGATGCAGGCTCAGGGCATGGGTCGTGGTATGATGCAGAAGCCTCAGTTGGGCGTCATGCCAAACGGCCAGATGCCTCAGGGTGGCATGCGACCTCAGCAGCGGCCAATGGCCGGCACGCCTGAACAATTCATGAAGAACCTTGCTCATTTCATGGCCTCCAAAGGCCTTCCTTTCGATCCCAACCCCGCAGTTGCCGACCGTCCAGTGAACATTATGCTGCTATTCCAAGCCGTGACTAGCAAAGGTGGCTTTAAGATGGTCACTGGGACCAACGGTTGGCCTCACATTGCGGGGGCTCTCGGCCTTCCTGCTCAAATTCCTACCGTTCCCGCGGCTTTGAAGCAAGTGTACGAACGAAATCTTTCGAAATTCGAAGAGGCCTGGATTGCACAGCAAAAAACAAGAGGAATGGGTCAAACTTCCAACATGCCTAACCAGGGCACCCCTCAGAAGCAAATGCAACCCGGTCAACAAACACCACAAGGGCAAATGACACCCGGACAAATGCCTCAGAGCCAGATTCCCCAGGGGCAGATGACGCCCGGCCAAATGACTGCTGGGCAGCCTCAAGTACAACAGCAATTGCCGCCGCAGCACCCTCAGCAACAGCACCTGCAGCAACAGCAACAGCACCATCTCCAGCAACAACAGATGCAGCAGCACATGCAGCAGCAAATGCAGCACCAGCAGCATCAGCATCAGCACCAGCAGCAACAACAACAACACCAACATCAACACCAGCAACAGCAGCAAACTCCGGTTAAGCCTGGTCAAGCGCCGGTAAATGGATTTGCGACCCCCCAACCACAGCAACCCGGCATCATGATGGGCCACCAACGGAACAGCCTTTCCAAGAGCGTTGATCCTAATACACCTGCTGACCCTTCTTTGCAATCACCCGCTCACCACCGTCAAGGAAGCATGCATGTCGCTCATCAAGAGAGTCGTCCCGCGGCGCCTGCCACTGAAGTTCGTGCCCCGCCTATGATGCAAAAGTCTGATGATTACAGCCCCTGTGTCCGTGAGTTGGCCACTTTCGGTGGTGTTGATCTGCATGCCGCCAATATCTTGGGCTCGGAGCTGGAGCGCTGGATGCCGACTGCACCTACAATTAACGAGCTTGGAAACATCGATATCGCCGCCCTTACTCGTAGCTTGCAATGCGGCATGCACAGCGAGGTGCGCCTCGCTTTGGACACATTGGCAACATTGTCCAACTCGCCCAACCAAGCACACTTGTTGCACCTTCGTTATTGCGACGACTTAGTGGATGCGCTCATTGATTGCGCCGAGGAGCAAGTCGACCTGCTTGTCGAACACACTGTGGAAGTTGCCGACGAGATCTCTTTGACGTCATACGAAGATGTAGTCCGTGCCTGTCGCATAGACAGGCTTGCTGTGCGAGATTGTCCAGCCTACGGTACTGTGGAGTATGACCTTGACCGCGCCGTCGACAAGCTCATTTGTGTCACTACAATACTTCGCAACGCGTCATTTCCAGGCGAGCAAGTTGAGAACCACCTTGTGCTTGCGGATGAGATGGTCATCAAATTCCTCTGCTCGGTCATCCGTTATCTCGGAACCCGAACCATGTTGCTGCGATCTCATACCAACACGCTGGATTTTATGAAAGATGTCGTAATTCTCTTGTCCAACATTGCCACATCTATCGAATTGCCCAGTCGTGAAGAGGCGATCTGCCTGCTCAATTTCTTACTCGCATTTGCACCCTCACCGGCCCCGACCACCGTTGCTGGTTCGCTCTTCTTTGCCCCTTATGAGCCAAGCGTTCAACCTTACCTGCCACATGCCGTCGACTCCCTCGCTAAGTTGCTTGCACGTGACGAACCGAATCGAGGGTTTTACAAGGCTATTTTTGGTCTCGACTCTGGAAATAACTCGAGCCACGACATTCTGACTCGAACTTTTGCGCTGGCTATCTCACCACTGCCGAATAAGTCGACAGAAAGTGCGCGACAGCCCAACTATCCGTCCCTCATTGATGTACGCAAGCCCTTTCTCATGCAAGGACTTTTGGCGGCCGAGATCTTGGCTTCCCTTGCTCCTGGGTTCGAGAGCGGTATTGCCAAGTCATGGCTCTTGTCTGGTGAGGGTCTGGCGCAGAATCTGACGCTTCTTGTGCGCGAGTTGGGCCATGTATTCGAACGTCCGCCGCCGCGTGGCCCGAGGGGCAAGGACAATGAGCTCTTGTACATTGTTGTTGTTGCCGTATCATTATTGAGACGGCTAGCGGAGAAGGCTCGGGACCCCAACCAGCCGAGCCTGTCGCTGCCGAAGAGCGTTTTGCCTTCGGCGCGGGTGCTCATGGAGGCACTATCATATACGTCGGCAGAATGGACGAGGGACGGCATGCTGCAGCAGTTATGGTCCATTGTCAACATGGCCCGGTAAGCTGACCAGCATGTTTGTATAATTATTTGCCTTTGTAGCTGCAATAGCAAGAAGAGAGCCTTTGCCGCTTGAATATTTGGCCAGCTGGGAGTTCAGAGATACGCGCACGCGTCATGGGATTACGACAGCCCGGGGTTTGACATTTGTATTTGGTTATGCTTTTTTGAACTTGGTTTTTGTCCCATTATTTTTCGTTATATTCATTGTCATGATGCACAACGCAAGCCAACCCTGTTTGCAAAACGCGTGGGGTTGTGTTTTTTTCTTTCAAGCGAGACAGATGTGCGGCTAAAAGGAAGGCGATGGAAAGACTAGGTTGGGTGAAAAGAGCTTTGGATTGGACGTGACTGTACAAAGGAGTACCGGGCGCAAAATAAATACCGATACCACACGACTGGTTGAGTTTTTGAAAAGTAAAGTAGCAAATTAGAGTGTGATTGTACAATTTTGCCGAGCTGTCTACGCTGATGCTGACTTGGTTAAGAAACTAAATGGTATGATATAATACACGGCACGCGAGACGAGTGTCTCTTTTTCTGGCATCTGTTTTTTGCTCAGAAGCCGTTGTCGACCAGCCAATCTTTTGCTTTATTATAGTAGTCGCCCTATAATGAGCGGTTAGATAATTTCATGTCCCATAGTTCGCCGCGAAGCATCAATTCTCTCTCACCTGAAGCTCAATCTGCTGGGTTGTGGGATTGAGGCGGATCCTGTCAGGGGCAACGGCGAGGCTGGCCTTGATGTCCTCGAGGAATCGGAGGCGGTCGCCGTGCACCTTTTTGATGATAATGACCTCGCGCGTTTTGCCCGACTTAAGTTTGCGATACACGGGCAGCTGGAACGAGGCAGTGCGCCGTACCAGGTAGCCGCTGCCCTTGTACTGCTCCGGTTCCGTCTTGGTGGGCGGCGGCGTGGGCGCGCGCGTGTACGACCGAGGGGCACTGCGCTTCTCGGCCGCGCGGGCGACGGCCGCCGCCGTGGCCGCCGTGGCATATGTGTTGCGGAGGAGGCATGGTGAAGATGCGAGAGGGAGGGTGGAGGTGGTTTGGTGAAGGGGGAGAAGCGTTTGGCGAGGGGAAACGGCTAGGAGGGCTGCCCTGACACAGGGGAGTGATTGTGAGAGCCGAGCGATCATCGTGTCGGTGGGTGAGGTTGTGGTTGAGGTGGTGATGCCCTCAAGAGTTCTCTTATGGGGGACGAATGTCGATCTTGAATATTGTATCTTGTGTTTCGGGTCGTCGTATGATGAAGATTCATGTGAGCAAGTCAGAACCTTTTCTCGATGTGCCAAAGATCGGCAATTGGTCGTCAACAATTCGTCCTGCAGCAAGTGAGCAGTCGTCGACTGAAGCTCCGACCTGTTCGAATATTATATGAATCACATGACACGCTCCGTCGCGACGACGGCTAAAGACCGGCTCTATTGTCTCCACAGAGGCCGTACATTACTTTTTTTGTGGAAATTTGGCGAAAATGTAGGGAAAAAAGAAGAGCCGCCGCCAAAAATCTGCCCCTCCAAAAGCCCACGAGTCTCTTGACTGTTTCTTGTGTGTGTGCGTGTGCGTTGGAAGCCCTTGCAATTTTCGCGACGCCCTCATCAACCTTACGACCTCGCCCCCCCACCCGAACCTCCGGCCGCCAACAATCGAGAATCGACCGGATCCTTTTCCCCCACCTCGAAGGAAACGACGTCCGATTCTTCATTGTTCTTCCTTCAATCACATAAGAACATGGAGGATTTACTTCAAACAGTCTCGGCCGATGGCTCGTCCATCATGCCCAAGCTGGCGCCCCACCTGAGCCGACACCTGCTGTTCCCTCTGATTCAGTTTGAGGGCGACAAGGCCGACGAAAAGGGCGATACGGAGCTGTTCAACAAGATCCTGGCCGGCAAGATCTCGCTGCTCGAGGACACCAATATGACCGACTACGTCGCCAACATGTACTGCGAGCTGCACGGCGTCCAAGAGCCCCCCGCCGAGTACGTCCGCAAGCGCGAGGAGGTGGTTGCCCAGCTGCAAAAGTACGAGCAGGCCACGGCCACCATTGCCGACCTCTTGACGCAGGACGACGTCGTCAACGGGCTCCGCAGCGACAAGGTGGCCAACTTGGAGTTCCTCAAGAACCAGCACGGGGTAAGTGGCGAATGCGACGGCACGACGGGACACAGAGGCGATATAATTTCGCGCTCTCAATGTACATGACCATGTTGGACACGCACGCTGACGCGCTTTTGACAGGTCACGATGGAAATGGTCGACGCCCTTTACGACTTTGGCCAGTTCCAGTTCCGCTGCGGCCAGTACGGCCCCGCCGCCGACATGCTCTACCAATTCCGCGTGCTCTCAACCGACAACGACAAGGTCTCTGCCTCTACGTGGGGCAAGCTTGCGTGCGAGATTCTGTCGGCCAACTGGGACTCGGCCGTCGACGAGCTCAAGAATGTGCGCGAGAGCATCGACACCAAGCTCTTCAGCAACCCGCGCGCGCAGCTTGACCACCGCACCATGCTGGTGCACTGGGCCCTCTTCCCGCTCTTCAACCACGACGCCGCGCGCGAGCCCATTCTCGAAATGTTCTTCTCGGCGCCCTACATCAACACGGTGCAGACGGCCTGCCCCTGGATCCTGCGCTACCTCATCGCCGCCGTCATCACCGGCCGCGGCCGCGTCTCCAGCTCCAACGCCCGCTCCGCGTCGAGCACCCAGCAGAAGCAGCTCAAGGACGTCATCCGCTACGTCCGCCAGGAGGCCTACGAGTACGCCGATCCCGTCACCCAGTTCATCAACGCCCTCTACATTGCCCACGACTTCAACGCCGCCCGCGAGGCCCTCCGCCTGGCCGAGGACGTCTGCCGCGCCGACTTCTTCCTCGCCTCGTCGGCCGACGCCTTTGTCGACGCCGCCCGCCACCTCATCTGCGAGAGCTACTGCAAAATCTTTTCCCGCATGAACATTCGTGATCTCTCCGCCAAGCTCGGCCTCAACCCCGACGATGGCGAGAAGTGGATCGTTAACCTCATCCGCGAGACGCGCCTCGACGCCAAAATTGACTCCAAGGACGGCACCGTCATCATGAACCACCCCCCCAACAATGTCTACCAACAAGTCATTGAAAAGACAAAGGGCGGCTTCTTCCGCACGCAGGTTCTCAACGCTGCAGTTTCGAAATAAAAGAGAATGGATAACAAACGGGCGAGAAACACGCTTCTCGACTTATCTTACTCTCCGAATGTTACTCCTTGTCTCTTTAGTTTGATATTCGAAAAGAAAGAGCTAATGACTTTCACGGTATGACTATTTCTATGAGGTTATTTTGTACTTGCAAACAATAGAAATCGCTCTTTGTTTCTTTTTACGAGGGCCATTTTCTTTTTGTACATGTCCCCAGAACCAAGAAAAGTTTGGCATTATCGCAAATGCAAAGCAGCAGATTTCAAGCGGCCGTTTCTCCACACGAAGAAGAATGAAGAATCTCACCGCAGGGATGAGGAGAGGAAAGTGCCCCCATCTGACCTCTCGGTCCGCCCGGCGGGTGTGTGTTTACTGCCTCCTGCTGCTGTTTCTTACTCCATCATGTCCTTTTGTTCCATGGTGATGCAGCTTTTTGCATTGCATGGCGTTTATTTGGGGGGAAGAAAAATGAAGAGAGAGAGATGGAGGAGGAGATGAAAGGGAGAATACAATGGGGGAGGTTTGTCACAGCGAGCTGAACTAGATTTTCGGGGGATTATACTAAACTGGGAGACTTGTTGTCTTTCAACCTATGCGCAATTGTTTTCCATCTCCCAGTTTGGTCCAAAATATATACACAAAAAAAGCTTGATACATACAGTTCACATTTCCATCAGATGCACGTAATTGCTATCATGTAGTAGTGTCATGTGTCTATCAGAGTATGCATATTAGGCTAATTGGTAATCATAAATTCATATCATGTTTCATTCCCACCGAAACTCCAATACCAGTCTCATCTTCAACTTATAAAGATGTGACTATGACTCCCTTGAACTAGAATGAAACGTATTGTGAACCTCTGCTACTCGGCTTCTCTGGCCGCGAGCCAGACTTTGCCCTTGAGCGCTTCAATGTCGCCATCTCGCATCCACCACACCGCAGCGTTTTCGTCTTCCTCTTGCTCGTTCTCACCCTCGTCAGCCTCGCCACGGCGCTGCCTTGTCCGCATCGTAATCGTCTCTTGGCTGTCGTGCGACGCGCTCGGGTCCGCTGTGCTGTTACTGCTTTGCCGGAGCCTGTCGCGCGCGGTGCCCCATTCAAACAGCAGTCTGGCGCCCTCGAGGCGCTCCAGGTCACCGCCTTCGCGGATGCCCTTTTCGAGCTCCATACGCGCATCGACAGCGGCACCAGTCTCCGACTCCTCCTCGCCGCTCTCGAGCAGGGCCGCCTTTTCAGCGTAGCTGATGCCCTTGAGGCCCTCGAGGCTGAAGAGCCACTCGAGGGGGTTCTTGCCGTCGCCATCTTTGCCCAGAGCACGGAGGGTCGAGGGGAACGTGCCCTCACGCGGGGGTCGCCGGCGGAGGTGCAGGTTCTGCGTCTTGACAAAGGCCTCGCGCAGCTTTTCGTCGGAAAAGTCGAGCTCGATATCCCAGAATTCCGGCCCGCAATTTGTGGACAGGCTGGAGATCTGGTCCAGCGGTGGCAGCAAGCATGGCGTGTAGCGGTGCAGAACCGCCTCGGTGGAAACATCCTGGCGCATTTTGATTTGTACTGGGACCGACACTGGCTGGCCAGTCAATATATCTTTGGTCACCAGGCAGCGCTGTTCGGTAGCCAAGACCCAAAAGTGGCGAAAGGCTTGCAGATGAGATCTATTATCCATGACGGTGGTAGGGAATATGGGATAAAAGGCGACCAGGAGCGAAGCGATAGCCATGTTGCTTGCACCAAAGGTCACAGTGCCGCATCCCAAGAACAGGGCACCTATGGCAAGATGCGCCGCGAGGTAGGATCCATACGGCGTGTCTGGGTCAGTTCGGCCGTGAAGGGCACGGAGCCTGCGTAGCACAGGGATGTCGCCCGTTCCCGCCATGACGATGGCGCACGACACAGCCAATACGTCTTGGCACATGCGTGCATTGGCTCTAGCAAGTTCCTCGTCGTAGAGCGGCGCAGCATCCGGATGTTCTTTAGGTGTGCCAGAAATCGACGAGATGCGCATAAACTCGTCGAGATAATGCAACAAAAGATCTCGGACTCGGGTGGAAGCACTGCCAGAATACCGTAGAGCAATGGAGAAGCAGATTCCTGCAGTGATGCTGAAGAATGGCAAGTCTGTCGATCGGAGCTTTGTGGTACCGCGTAGCCTGTGCCTGGCTCGATACGGCACTGGTAGACTGCGCTGGATCCACGCAAATGTTGGCTCAATCTTGGACCAGAGAATCAAATTCTTGGCGACGGTTCGCAAGAGCAGTATGTCGGGCCGGACATAGTCAAATTGGAGAACAGAGCTTGGCACATCAATCTTGCGAGCCACAATCTGATCTTCCGTCTTCATAAAGATAAGAGTCAGGGCAATGACAGCCCCCGCAGCTGCACGGTCAAGTACATGGACTATCTCAACAATCTTTGTCGAGGTAGCATGCGTAATGAGCTTTTCGGTGAGTTTCATGTCATGCAGCCCTTTCAGGTCGTTACCCTTTCCGAGATTGATGAACCCCAGAGCATAGCCTGCCGCTAGGCGATAGCATTCGTTTCGGAGCGGCTCGTCCTCTTCCTCGTCCTCTGTATGCTCAATCTCTGAAAGCATAATCTCGCTCATACGCCGATGTTGGCTGTTGCAGTATACTAGTCCAATGCCCATGATACCTGTTGTTTGGGTGAGAGGAGACAGATTGAGCTCAGCAGCGCCGCGCGGTAGCATGCGCGTAGCGTGTACCGACAACAGCCGAGTAATCAGCGAGTCCATTGTGCCAATGTATGATGCGGCAAGACCCAGAAGCAATCCAATAGAAGTCATGGTATGCTTGGGTGTCAGATATTTGAAGGCCACCCACTTTGCAACTCCCTTGAGGTGACCGTTGAGGCCGAGGGCGAGCAAGAACCCAGCATGCCGGTTACTTAATTCTTGTCCGGGCTTGTTGTAGAGAATCCAAGATGTATCGATACCCTTGGCGCTGGGAGAAATTGCTAAGCCAGCAGCAACTCCTTGGTGAAAGAAGCCCCAGCAAACCTTTTCCTCTGTGAAAAGCGACTTGTCTACGCCAACCGTGACATTGGCTGGCCTAACAATACAATTGAGATTGAACCCTCCAATATGAAGCTTTTGCGTTATCAGCGGGAAGCGTAGACTGTAATACAGCAACCCCCGTCCTGCTGGAATAGCAAGCGTACCAGTTGCGATCCTGGAGACAAGCTCCTTCTGCTTCTCCAGGTACTCGCTCTCTGGCCAATTTGGGTTCGGGTTTAGTCGAACGTGTCGAGACTTGTGTGTTGAAAGCAGGTTCTGGGCTTCGTTCAGGCGTCTGTCTTCTTTGAACAATGCCCGGATGACTGCCTGCCTCTCGATTCCATTGCCCTCCTCGTAACCGGGTGGTTCATCGTCTTCAACACTGTGGGACAAAAGTCTGTAATCCCATGACGCAGTATGGGTCGGGACCTACATGGTTCGTCAGTTCTGTCTCAGTAATACCGGGTTGCTTCCAATACACACCAAAAGGCTCGAAGGAGTCCGCGCAGTAGCCTTCTTAGAAGATAACAGGCTACTCATATCGCTCCTTTTGATCAGCTTCAGTAGGTCATCAGGCCAGCCCGTGGGTGGATGAGGCTGGCACAGTGAAATGGCGTCCTGCAACGGCACCAAGATGGCTTCAGGAAGACTCTCAAGGATCGAGTTGGTGAAGCCTTGAGCTTGCATGGTTTCAACCATCTCTGCAGGCGATGAATTGATCTCGAGTGCGCCGAAAAACCTTTTCAACATCATTGTGCGAGGTAGAATTGCCTCCCATCTGCCGTCATCATCACTGTCCTGCCCAGACATATCCGCATTGTGGGAATAAAATTCAGCAGGGCTAGGATAAGTTCCTTGCTGTGTTACGAGCCTGCTTTGAACCCATTCAAGAATATTGGGTTTGAGAGTGGGCTCGGGGATCGGAGGCGTCAAGTTTAACTCGGAATCAAACCTTTCATCCACCACTTCTTGAATGCCCAATTCGTAAATCGCCGAGAAACCGAACCATCTCAGCCAGCGAGCAATTTGAGACAATACAACACGCAGGTCTGCTCGCCCGGGAGAAACATACTCTGCGGACATAATGTTCAGTCGCTTTTCCTCCAGCAGGAGATGCAATGCCATGAAAACGCCAGCTACGGCCTTCCTTCGGCTCTGTTCTCCGTGGTGAAGCGAAGTAGGCATATATCCAGACTGCCCGAAAGCACTCTTCCCCAAAGGTGATGCCATGTACTCTCGTGCGAGTGCAATATGCTTAGCTGTAAATCTGGGAGTGGATAATTGGTCAGTGTTGACGCTCCAGCTCTCTGAGCTAGAGTCAAGTGCCCATTGCCAGCCTCGATTCATCATCCACACGGGGCATCCGAGTGAGCTTGCTGTTTCCCCAGTCTCGAGGGCTTTCCAGTCATCAGATTCTCGAATAGATCCAAATGAACCAGACGCAGGACGGCGTTTCCTGACTGGCAATCGAGTGGTCTTGATGGACTTGCCTTCAACCCGGCCGAGATTCAACACGAGCGAGAAAAGTAAGACAGTAGCAGCAGACCATTCAATATCGGGGAAGGAGTCGTCTTGATCTCTCAACCACTGTACAATATGCAGCCAGCCGCCGTGAAGTCGCTCTCCGAGAGCATCTTGTAGGATATTCCGGCAGACGCTGAGAACCTGACACACCTGTGGGCAGGTCGGTTCGAGTTGTATCTTCAGTTGATGAAGCCGCCCGCTGGCATCCACCGTATCAACTACACCGTGTTGCCTAGGATAGCGCAACCCAACGATGCTACCATTTGTGAGGTCAAATATCTCGGATTTGCGCTGCTTGACGTCCCGGTCCACAACACGACCGCGGTACTGCAGGTGTCTGGTATCATCAACAAAGACGAGACCTGGCGAAATGCTGGTGCGATCACTCCAAGGAGCCTGTGTCGAAAGTTCGAGCTGGCCGTTCATAGACTCCGATAGGATCAAAATGACAGACTGGTCACCATCAACTAATTTACAAGAGTCAACAACATTTTGAGCTCTTCGAATTTCGCCAGTAGCAATCGACAAGCTGCTAGGGGTGGAACCAGAAAAGGAGGCCTTTGGGTTTAGTCTGGCGTTTGGATGCAGAATAATCTGTATGGTAATGATATCCAGGCGCTTTTCGTCCACGTCTTGAATACCAATGAGAAGTTGGTTTCGGTGGTGGCCATCATGAGCATATACAGGAGCCGCCAGTACGAAGACTTTGGTATGCTCCGGGGCATCACCTGCTGGCACTGTGTATTGCACATTAGATTTTGCCGACGGGATGTCAAAGATTTTGGTAAACCGCACATCATGTTGAAGACCGTCAAGCTCATGATCATCCAACCCCATGTTCAAAAACCCTTCATTGAGTCCCATATCGAGCGGCGCCTCCAAAAGACTACTTAAGCTTGGACGAATTTGGTGGCTAAAGCTGGAGCTGGAACGGTTGTGCAGAGCTGCGCGAGACTCCTGCTTTCTTGCAGGTTTGCCACCAACACCTGGCGGCTGCTCCGAGAAAACGGATCGTTCTTGGGATGCTGACAAGTCCGCACGTGCAAGCATGGAGCTCAGTCGTCGTGAACTTCGCCTCGTAATGGCCGAGCCATCTTTATCCTGTTTCTCGAGTGATGATACAAGATCCACTGGCTTGTCAACCTTTTCGCTTTTGCGTCGTCGTTTCCCTGGCAGCGGGGCGCCAAAGCTGTCTCTCGTGTTGGGTCTCGCTGGTGTATTGGGTTCTGCGAATGAAGGTGCCATGGAGCTTCGGCGGCGAGCTGCAAGGTTTGTAGTTGTGGGCTTTGATTTGCGCTGTCTGATGAAAGGGTCTTGATTCTCGAGGTATTTCAGCCTCCAGACGTTGTAGCAATTTGTTGCTCTGTTGAGTGTAACGGCAATGGTAAAGTTTTCATCAACTTGTTGGAAGGCTCTCCCACTCAACTCCACCTGTTCGATGCAGAGGAGCTCTTCAGCCGGATCGAGGAAAGCCTCATTTCGGGCACCAGTGGTAGGTCCTTTAGCAGTTTGTGAGTCATGATCTGTGATAACAAGGCCGATATCCAGCAATGGGTCCGAAAGCGAGACTAGTCGTGGCCAGTGAGACTCGCTTCGGCCCATGGGCCCATCAAACATGCTCTCCAGAGTATTACTTAGGCCCAGGTTCAAAGCTTTGGGATTTCCCAGGCTCTGTACCGAAAAGTCATGCGCTTGCGAGTTGTTGACCTCTGTCAATTGAGACGATAGGAACGAGTGTGGGATTACACGTGGGAACCTCAGAGTGGATGAATTGAGATTTTCGGTTTTTTGCTTTCTTTGAATTAAAACCCCAGATGGGCCAGCAAAGGCCGTCTCAACTTCAAATGGCATATGAACGACGTGGCTTGTCCCTGACAAGAAGTATATGTGCGCTTGGGTGCTCAAGAAGACGACCAGAGCTTCTTCCATGCGAGGTTGTCTTCGGTTGGCCGTGCTCGGTTTTGGAGCTTGAGAGTGCGCATTTGGCGCTGATTTGTCGTCATTGGAAGCAGGGAAATACGCAAGCAGAGCTTTCGTAACGACTTCTTTTTCAAGGTCGAACCTGAATATTTTGCGGAGAATACCACCACGACACCACAGAACGGCATCTTTGGTGATGAGCAGCTCATCTTCGATTGTGTCTGTATTGTGGCTCTTTCCAGAAACTATATCCCACTTGTAAGAGTCGGCGGGCGGATTTGGCGGCAACAGCTGCTCGTCAATGGCGTAGTGCAAGCCTGAGGGTTGGTGAAGCCCAAGAGACTTGACAGAAGCCATTTCGCGTACTCGCCATAGACGGTAGAGGCTTCGGGTCTAGGGTCTGCTCAGGCGAGTTGTGTCGGTGAGTATGGCGATGATCATGGTCCGGTGAATTGCGCTGTCTTTGCGTCGGCGGCTCTGACGATCTAGTTGCGTCGTGTTTGTGTGTTCCGAGCGAGTAGCGGAAGCCGCGTAGAAGACGCGATCTTTGGTGAAGCACCGCTCCAGCAGCTTCCAGCGTGTTGGTGGGCTGTCAAGCTGTTTGGAAGGCAGGTTTCACAGTGGTTGCGTCGCTGTGGCTCACTGTAAGGTAAGGTACCTACCTAGGTAGGTGGCCAAGGCTTGCTGTGGCTTGCTGTGGCTCGCTGTGGCTCGCTGTCAGTATGCTGTGGCTCACCACCGTGGCGCGACCTTAGGCTCGGCTCCACGCCAGACAGCTCGTGACGTCGATTCGTTGTTGATTACTGGTACCTATTTAGGCGCGGCTACCTTGTCAATCCGATGACTGCCTGGCTAATTAAGCTCCTCAACAGTCTTCATCCCTCAACACCATATCATCGACTGCACGGGGCCTGTGACTTTCTTTTCCTCCCTTCAATTATGGTCTCAGTATAGCGACAGCATGTCAAGCCAAGCTCAGGAGCTCAGTAGCGAGACCAAGCCAGACCATGTCGCAACTGCTCAACAGGCCGATGACGAGCCGAATTCGACGTCAAGTCCGGCAGATGACGCAGGCGCCCATTCAGCCTCAAGTTCTTTGCCGATCAACCAAGATGATACCATAGACGGCAAAGCTGAGGCGGAAGCTGCCGGCGAGAACAGTGACAATCTAGTCGCTGAACGCTCGGACAGGGCAGAGCAAGACAATGCCCAGGACGCCGAGGAAGACGCCAATGATGAAGATGACGATGACGACGGTGAAGAAGATGACGATGACGAAGACGAAGAAGATGATGAAGATGAAGATGAGGAGCCGTCGCTCAAACTCTCGAGGCTTACATCACACCTAAACCCTGTCTACCGCAACGGTGACGCAACCAGCGCGTTTCTTGTCGCAGGCGATAAGATGGTTAGGACCTCGCCCAACTTGAATGATTCTCATAACTGACAATACTCAGATAATTGGCACACATAATGGCAATATTGTGAGTCACATATCTCTCCATGTCCGTAGTACACAAAGCTAACCGGCTTAGCACGTTCTTCAACTCCCCACCTTCCACCCGCTCCGAGTATATCACGCTCACTCTGCCTCGGTCACATCTATATCGATCTCGCCGTATCCGCCACCGCTACCTTCTGATCGATTGTCTGTCCCCGTACCGTCTGCAAGCCTAGCAAGCCAGCCACGATCGCAGGACGCTTCTCCAGCCGCTGCCTCCAAACGTTCTAGAGAGCCCATGCAAATACCAAAGACTCCATCTAACGACATACACATAGCTACCTCTTCAATGGATGGCAATGTCTGTGTGCAGTCTTTAACCGACATGAAAGACGTCCAGCTACGAAATTTCGGCCGGCCCGTCCAGAGCGTTGCCTTGTCGCCAGAATTCAAATCAGACCGTTCTTATATCTCTGGTGGCTTGGCTGGCCAGCTCATTCTCACCTCAGGCGGTGGCCCAGGTCGCAGCACTTCGACAACGATTGGAACAGCAGCCGCAACTGCATCAGGCTGGCTTGGAAGCATGGGCCTCGGGTCCAACACCGGCAAAGACGCGGTTTTACACTCGGGAGAGGGTACAATCAACACTATAAAATGGTCTTTATCAGGAAGATACGTCGTTTGGCTCAACGAGCAAGGAATCAAAATCATGCGCTCCAAGCTGCACCACGAAAACGCAGACAGTGACGACGCCTGGAAACGCATCGGGCACATCGACAGGCCACAGACCAACGAATGGGATACTATGGCTAGCGTGTGGAAAGGCCGTGTTGAATGGATCGATGAAAAGGCAGTTGAAAATGATGAGGCCGTCGATTCGCAACAGGAAAGTGTGTCTGCGTCTGCAGCTGCAGGCAGACTCAAAGGCCAGTCCGATATACAATCACCTGCGATGGAGCGTCTACTCGTTGGTTGGGGGGCTATGATATGGATCATTCATGTTCATCCCGACGGCTCTCCTGCGAGAAGCGGTGGAAACAAAGCAGTCGGTCGCGCCGAAATTGCGAAAATGTAAGCGTAATTTTACCATTTACCATTGAAACTTACTAATACGTTTAGCTTGCGCATTGACTGTCTTATTTCTGGGATTTCTCTCTACACTTCGAATCTTCTTCTTGTTCTCGCGTTCTCCCCGTCCGAAGACGATGAAGACGAAGAACAACGCACAGCAGCCGCCCATAGCCAGCGCCATTCGGGGTCCACGGACTCTGCAAAGAATGAACCTTCTGGCGGCATCAGGAAGCGTCAGAAGAACTTGCCGCCAGAGCTGCGTCTTATTGATCTTGTATCGCAAGCTGAAGTTGATAAAGAGGAACTAGTAGTGAGCCGCTATGAGCGACTATTTTCTGCCGACTATCACCTCGGTGTCTTACCCGCTCGCAGCGCAGCAAGCGCGGTAGCATCCAAGGGAGCTCTGGAGACGATCGCCGGGCTCGGGAGTGAGATGTGGAATGCCGCGATTAACCCTAGAGCTCTTTTCAGCTCGGGAGCCAGTATTCGAAGCAGAGACAGCGGAGACGACTTTACTCCCGGCTCTAGAACAGCCAGTACCAGTGGAACAATTCGAGGCGGGCCAACCAGGTCAGGGCCGCTTCCCGTTCATCCCAGTCTTAGCAAGCCTGGCGCCAAGATTTTTGTGCACAGTCCTTATGACTGCATACTGGCAACCAAAAGAGACTTGGGTGACCATCTCGCCTGGTTGTTGGAGCATGATCAATACAGTCAAGCTTGGGAGCTTCTAGATGAAAACCCAGACATATTGGCAGACACAACGGGCGACTCAAACCCCTCTACGCGAGGCCCTGTGGAGGCGTTCGAGGATGAATCCATCGCAGACTCCATTGCCAGAAGCACTCAAAGTGCAGTGGGAAAGGAGAAGCAACGGATAGGAGAGCTCTGGATCAAAGAGCTAATTGATGATGGACAATGGGCTGAGGCAGCGGAGGTCTGCGGCAGGGTCCTGCATTCCCCTGATCGCTGGGAGAAGTGGGTGTGGACGTTTGCTGGAGCAAAGAAGTTTGACGAGATCACAAACTACATTCCTTCCGCTCCGATGCACCCACCCATACCAACCACAGTGTACGAGGTTGTCCTCGGCCATTATATCCACCACGACAAACCTCGGTTCCGAGATTTACTCGATCTGTGGTCCCCGGAGCTGTTCGACATCAAGACAGTTACAACAGCACTTGAGAACCAGCTCAAGTTTCGGGATGTGCGTCAAGATAGTATTGACGACGGCGAAAAGGGCAGAGATTGGGGCATCGTCATCCAAGGTCTTGCCCGACTGTATGAAGCCGGAGGGCGTCAGCGCGAAGCTCTCAAGTGCTATATCAAGCTCCAAGACGCTGATTCTGCGTTCCGTCTCATCAGAGACAACCATCTCGCAGAAGCAGTGGCGGATGATATTCCAGGCTTCATCGGCCTGCGTGTTCCTGCCGGCGGAGTGGACCGAATGACGAAAAAAGACCTGGCCAATGCGACTTTGGATGCAATCACATTGCTTGTTGACGAGGCGCAGCACGGGCTAGTTGGTCCCAAGCAAGTTGTAGAGCAACTTCAAGCAAAGAAGTTTCGCTTGTATCTCTTCTTTTACCTGCGTGGTCTATGGCATGGAGACGGGGTGAAGGAGCATGCCGGAGAGAATCGCGATCACTTGGTCCTAGAAAGCCGGGCGTTGGTGGATGACTTTGCCGATCTGGTTGTCACGCTCTTCGCTACGTATGAGAGAACGCTCTTGATGGACTTTTTGAAAACTTCAACTGCATACACATTTGACAAGGTGAACGGAACGAACCATTGCCAAGAAAAATTTACTAATGGAAACTAGGCTGTGGAAGAATGCGAGCAGTTTAAGTACTATGATGAGCTGGTATATCTGTACTCGAAAACAGGACAGATGAAGCGCGCACTGTATTTGATCATCGATCGATTACGCAATGTGGAAAAAGCCATTGAATTTGTTAAAGAGCAGGATGACCCGGATCTGTGGAATGACTTGCTTGATTACAGTATGGACAAACCAAGCTTCATCCGAGCACTTCTCGAGCAAGTCGGCACAGCAATCAACCCCATCACGCTAGTGCGACGCATTCCTGAAGGGCTCGAGATAGAAGGTCTCAGAGAAGGTCTCACACACATGATGAAGGAGCATGAGCTCCAGCACAGCATCAGCTCCGGCGCAGCAACAGTCATGCGCAGCGAGGTCGGACTGAAACAGAAAGAGCTGCGCGCGGGCCAGCGGCGCGGTGTCAGGTTTGAGACCGCCGCACTGCCGACCAAGGCGTCCAAGGCGGAGCAAAAGCCAGGGGCTAGTGAGACCAAGTCGGAGGCTGCGAAAGAAAACAAGGTGGCCAAGGGGTCTAAACCTGGCCATTGCGTTGGTTGCGGCGAAGCATTTACGGAATATGAGATGGAAACTCTGGTGGGCTATGCGTGCGGTCACGTCTACCACGTCAGCCATCTGATGGAGATGCTGAATCATTCCAGCAAAGTGGATATCGACATCGGCGGCGATGGCCAGGACAGTGGCCGCTATCTGGTGGGCGTCAAGGTTATGAAGGCGAGATTACTACGCGACAAGGTGCGGGGAGGCTGCCCCGTCTGCCATCCAGCCAAATGAAACACACACGACTACCTAGGTAGCAAGTGGAAGACGCTGGAAAACGTGAGTTGTATGTTCTTTGCATAATGTTATTTTTGGGGTGTCGAACGGGCACCAGGTGTCTACCTTTTTTCCTTTCTTTTCTGCCTCGGAGACATTGGGCTTAAATACCGGTGTATATTAGCATCTACAAGATACCAGTCGATTTTCAGCGTCAATACGAATTACTACAACCAACATGTCCCATTCTCACGCCCATACTCAAGTAATGATTAGCTCTCGATACAGGTTCTTGTTCTCTGCTTTTACGCTATTGCTAAGCACACAATCGTTCATGTAAACCAGCCCACGTCTCACGGTCAAGGTATATATCGGCGCCAGCAAGACAGCCGGTCACCGCCCTCTTTTCTCTCATTACATCCTGCCGATATTTCTCGGCCGCGTATCAATCAACAAAGAAGAAAGGAAGCTTAGGTGTAGACACATCCAATTTTCAGACGACAAAGGCAGCAAGAGCAGCCACAAGGACGTTGCCCATGACCGAGGCGCCCATGACAGCGGCACCGGTAGGCACGTCGGGAATTTTGGTCGTGCTGCTGCCGCCGTCCTTGCTAGTGGTGGCGGTGGTGCTGGTGGGCTCCCCAGTGACGCTCTCGCTGCTGACGACGGGCGTGGTCGAGGGGTTCTCGACGGAGCTGCCGCTGCTGACAGAGGTCGGGACATGGACCGAACTGCTTCTGCTGCTGCTTCCGCCGCCGCCGGGCTGGCCGTAAGTCGGAGCGGGAGGCGACGAGGCGGAGGAGTACCCGGGGATGCTGGTGGGAGCAGGGCCGCCGGTGGAGAGCGAAGTGTAGCACTGGGTGCTGTGAACGACGGAGCAGTAGTTCATGGAGTAGACCATGGTGCCTAAGAAAATCTTTGTTAGAGGGATTGTGCCGTGGAACGAGCCTACAAGGTTTCGGATGGGGAGTTTGTACCGTCAATGGTGGTGCTGCCGACTTCCTGAGCACCAATGGTCTCGGTGTACACGCCATCCGCTACATCAAAGATGGATTGTTAGTTCCGAGTTTATGAGAGAAGCTGAGCCTTGATCTGGTTTGTTTAGGACTGCTTACCGAGAGCGGCGGTGGCGAGGGCAGGCCCAAGGGCAGCGAGCAAAGCAGCGAGGTTGGCAAGACGAGGCATCGTGACGGAATGGTACGAGATGCTGATAGATCTGTCTGCAATGAGTAAAATAAAACAACGACGACAAGATGCTGCAATCACTCACCTTAGAGATACTTTGTAGGAGTATGAGTTTTTTGATGATTCCCAAAACTGTGATGGTGGAGGAGGGAGTGTGTATAGGGCCAATGTTGTGAGGAAAGAAGGTTGGCGAGGCACAAGTCAGAAGACGCTCACTTTTTTTCCCCCTTGCCCCGTCACCTCGCAAAATCAGCCTGAGCCATTCCCTGCGCACAAGCCACAAAGGGCAGTGTTCGCTTCCTTGAATCTGATCCAAAAACAACAATAAACAAGTTTCCCGATTGCCATGCCCCCCCCCCCCTTCGCGTTTGGTGGCTTTTCGCGTTGCGCGTCCGTTTGCTGCGCCAGCCGGACGAGAGGGATGAGCTTGCAATACGTAAGGTAAGTATTTTCTGTTCTCGGGAAAAGCGCAAGTTAGAGAGATGCGAGGTGTGACGTGGAAGAGGCATGTGCTTGGCCTGAATGTAGATCCAGGTGGGTTTGCTTCGTGTAAGTGGTGACGCAAAACGGGCGGCCATGGCAGAAGCTGAAGATTAACCTCGGACATGAAAGTACGTGCTTTTATTGTAGCTCTCTTTTTCTCTATTGCTTCTTTCCAAGTGCAAATCGTTTACATAGGGCCGCATCAGCAGAGGGATATCTGCTCATTATCAACGCTTGCGTTTGTTCATGCCCGAGTCACACATGGCTGTTGCAACATGAAACGAAGCACAAGTTTGTGAAGAGACAGGTAGTACAAGTAAAAGCACTCAGCTACTCTCAATACTCAGCAAAGGCTTCCTTCCATCTAATTTTCGATCTAGAGCTACGCAGAAAAGGCAAGGACCTCGACACAGTTCTTCGATCCAGCCGCACTAGATCCATCTTTCTTTGCTTATATTTTCTTGACTCGCGTAAAACGTTCTTCTACCCCGCCAGTTCATCCCATGCGGCAACCTTGAATCAAGTGCGGCAAGCAAAAAGAAAAAATTTCACATCGGATGCTCAAAAATGAAACTCGCCCAAGTTGTTGGACAAACGGGGAATCGAACCCCGGACCACTCCCAATCGTTGTATCAGCTGTGAGACCGATGCTAAGGGAGTATTATACCACTAAACCATTCGCCCTCGAATGAAGCGAGCTTCGGATGGACAAACGGGGAATCGAACCCCGGACCACTCCCAGGTAACAATTGTCCTACTCTCGAGGAGAGTAGGGAACAGATGCTAAGGGAGTATTATACCACTAAACCATTCGCCCAATTGGTTGGAAGCCGGCTTTGTTATTGGGGTACATACAGGTTGTGCAGGGCTAGGGTTGAATTTGGGTGGGACTTGCATCGGTTAGTGGTGGGTACTTTGGTGGAGAGAGATATGGGAACAACCCGTGTAAGTCAACGTCGGACCGTCGGTATTATTGCGTATTGATAAAAGGAGATTACGAACATGAAAATGGCCAGGAATTAGAAACACTTGGCAGTCATTACGTGTGTGGTGATACGACAAAAGGCAATGTAGTCAAACGTCGGGGTATATTGAAAGCAAGTGGTGTATAAAAAAGCAAAAACTTTTCGAGGATCAAGACATCATAGCCAATCCCAAATCATCCAAATGTGGCTGCCACAATCGTCATGAATCCCAAATAAATTCCCAATGCAACGGCGCCATCCACAGGAGTCGCCCGCCCAGCAAGCACATCGTACGCGCCCGCCTGCACACCCACCACGGCCATGCCCAGGGCCACGAGCGCTACGACCGTCATGCGGCTCACGAACCCCCCAATGACGGGAAAGCTGAGAATTGGGAGGACAATTGCCATACAAATGCCCACAGTCATGTGTCGCAGCTTGACCGGGTTCAGTGGCCGCACGCGCTTGACAGCGTTGCTGGGCCGCGCCGGAGCCGGAGCCGCCGACGCCGCCGTGTACTCTCGCGCCTGATCCAGCGCACTAACGCTGCTGCTGGTATTGGGGACAGATGGCGCTTCGAGGAGCGGCGGCGTTCGGCGTCGGGCGGGCGGCTGGTGGTCGCTGGCGCTGTCGTCGTCGGGGTAGTACGGCGCGTCAGACAGGCACATCAGGTCGCCCGTCTGGTTGAGGAAGCGCATCTCGTCCGGGACCACCGGCGAATGGGCAGCAAGAAAGGACCTGTACTCGTGGACCTCTTCTGGCCTTGCATCTCTGGTATTGTTCATTTTCTTGTACACCTCCACCTGCGCAGCTGCAGAAAAGTATGTTAATTTGATATACTGCATGCAAGAGCTTGCAAGCAGTCAATGACGTGAGCTTACCATACTGATTCATCTTGTAGCGAATGTGTTCTCGGAGTTGCTTACGCGCCGTCGTCACTTCGTTTGGGTTCGACTCTTCGAGTCGGTGAGAGGCCGGCAGAAATCCCTCTCGGTAGCTACGGCTGTTGCTGTCGAGTTGGTTAAGGTGCTGCATCTTCCCTTCGAGTTGCTCCAGCTCAGCGCTCATGTCAAGCAAGATTTGCTGCATGAGACAGTTAAATCTCCGGTATATGGCCGGGACAGGCGGCTCGGACTCGAGGTCTCCAGCGATTCCAGCCGCCAAAAGCTCATAGCCACTCAGGCAGCGGGGCTCGAGGCGGGAGATCTGGCCATCAGGCGGAGGCGGAGGCGAATGTGGCATCCCAAAGACTGGAGGAGACATTGGTGGCAATGGTGGCGGCGGTTGGGGGGGGAAGATAGGTATGTATTGCGGCATCGGCATTGGCCCGTGAGGGTGCGGCTGCGCGAACTGTCCCGTCGGGCTGTGAAAGGGGGGGCTATGAAAGGGAGGGCTGTGAATGGGACGGCTATGAATTGGAGGACTGTGGAAGGAATGAGGACGAGGTTGAGGGGTTTCAGCAAATCTCAGCACTGGAGGTCTGCCTGCCTCGGAAGTGTGAGTCTCATCTTCGCTCTTCTGCTCTGCGACGGGGCGAGTTGGCGATGGGTCTCTGGTCTGCGTCGCAGGAGAGGCACCGGCCGTGTCTGTCTTTGGAACATGCTGATCATCACACGGAGCACCAGATGTGGGCTTGGGCTCCTCCGGGGTAGCTAGGTCTTCTCCTGAACTGGGTTTCCTGGTGGTGTCACTTGGCTCGCTGGTGACCTGACCTGGCTTGTCCTCGCCGCGGTTCGTTGCCTCAGGACGGGGATCACCTCCAGTGTAGGTATACCATTCTGGGGAGACTTCCCCAGCTGTTGAGCCCATTGCAGGATCTGAAGCCTCGGAAACTCGGTGGATGCGGTCTTTGGATTCCAGTACGTCCTCGATGCTTACCGGGCGACCGTGCTTTCGTCGCAAAGAAGGTGCTCGGCTGAGGGTACTTCTTCTACCAAGGGGTGGCCCACCCTTGGCTGCCATGAGATCCGGGGTACAACTATACTTCATAGATGGTAAAAGGTTCCGAGACGTCCTGACGGGCTGTCAGAGCGAGTGTCCTATGCAAGCTTCCGTGGCACCACAGGGCAAGATCCAAAGCGTAGGGTAGCTCTGATCCGGCGAGAGATCGAGGGAGAAGAGTTCAAGATGGGAAGCAATATTGGCAGATATAAATAACCAAGAAGTAAGAAAACCCCGCAAACCTCAAAGATTGGCAGCGCAACAGAAGCAAGTTTGTCGTTTGGCCGTGGCACCAGCGACAGACTGCAACCACTATGCTTATGGCGCCTCACGTGGTGTCGGCTTCACGGGGGCGCATATGATGCAAGAAAGAGGCGAATGTGACTACTTGTCTGGGAATAACGTGTTGTATGGAAACGTGCAGTCAGTTTCGGCATGAGCAGGATTGATGTCTGGTATTGCATTGCTTGGTGGTTCGTGCGAGGCGAGAGAAATGTCAGTCGGTTTTATTGGCAGCGGGTGGAATGGAGGGGTAACAGGGACATTAGGTCTGCTTGGTATTTCAGCGGAAGAATTTGACACGGGCGATGATAAATAGTAGTGTGTGCTACTATATATATGCAGGTTGTTTTGTCTTGTCTCTTCAGCCGGAGCTGGCTGGCTGGTTGGTTGGGCTGCCACGGTCCCGCTGAGAAAGACAAGGAAGTCGTCATGATGCCAATCCGCGTGGACGCCTTGTCGCTGCCCAACTATAAAAAGAAATTCGCGTCAGGTCAGGGGCAAAAGGAAAAATTCACCAAAGAATTTTGAGCTGGCCATCTCAAGGATATTCCAGAGGGGCAGAACTTTGCTCGACGTTTCCATGTTTGTTAATGCAACGCCGTTGGACAGCGCGCGACATGCAAAAGAGAATGGGTGCGTCATGGCTTGGGTCCACTCCAGCTTTTTGCTGCAACACCACCCTTTTCCCATCTGCCACGACGCATCTTGCTGACCATCCAGACTTCATTTCCGCCTTGCCAGCGCATTCATTGGCGCTCGGCAGTCCATACTGCAAGCCTCTGCTGCCCCTCGTGTTTCGGAATACCAAGAGGCAAGTCCAAGCCTGCAAGTCAACCAAACGCCAGCCCGCTGCAGCCTAGCAAACGGCAACCCAATCCACTGCCTTGGGTCCTGTCCAGCCGGCCATTTCACGCCAATCCCGTCGGGCGCATACATTGCATACATTGCCAGTGAATCATACCTTTTGCTTACCCCTCTGTGCCGACTTCGGACTCGAAACAACGACGCGTCACCCTCGAGCGCAGTGCGGCTGCTCTGGGCTCGCCATGCCGCGCCAGACCGTCACAGACCTCAGCAGATATTTGCTTGCTGGCCGCATCTCACCACACGGTTGCTTGAATGTGCGACATACCGTAGCACCAACGCTGTTCGCCCGATCCGCCACCATTGCTGCCTCCGCCACCACGACGGCGTATCGAGTCAGACACCTCCATGCCGCACCGCATGCTGCGACATCTACACCCGATCTCGCGCAACCCAATTTTCGCAAGAAGCTCAAAGACGAGGCCAAGCTGGCCAAGAAGCAGACTAGGAAAAAGTCCAAGTCGGACAATCAGACCGTTGACGGCTGGGAGCTCACGGTTGGCATCGAGATCCACGCGCAGCTCAATAGCCCGCGCAAGCTCTTCTCGTCCGCCACCACCTCGTTCAATGACGATCCCAATAGCCATGTGGCGCTCTTTGATGTGTCCATGCCGGGAAGCCAGCCGCGCTTTCAAAAGGAGACGCTGATTCCCACTCTCCGCGCCGCCCTCTCGCTCAACTGCGAGATCCAAGAGCTCAGTCGCTTCGATCGGAAACATTACTTTTGGTGGGATCAGCCCTCGGGCTATCAAATCACGCAGTACTACCAGCCATTCGCCAAGAACGGCCACATCACGCTGCTGGCCAGAGATGGCATTGCCGCCGAGGACGGCGAGAGTGTGACTGTTCGCATCAAGCAGGTTCAGCTCGAACAGGATACGGCCAAGACCCTAGCTCAGGTGGGTAATATACAGTGGCTAGATTTCAATCGTGTCGGTGTGCCTCTGATCGAAATTATTACGGAACCCGAAATGCACCATCCCAGAACGGCGGCTGTATTTGTACGTAAAGTCCAGCTTCTTTTGAATACAGTCGACGCCTGTGTATCAGGTATGGAAGTTGGTGGCTTGCGCGCAGATGTCAATGTATCGGTGCGCAGGACTGGCGATGCCAACATTCCGCTTGGAACACGAACAGAAATAAAAAATTTGAGCACCGTCAAGTCCGTCGAAGATGCCATCATCGCCGAGAGAGATCGACAAATCCGCGAGCTTGAAGCTGGCGGCACCATTGCCGGTGAAACTCGCGGCTGGGCTGTTGGCTCGACAGAGACACGTAGGCTGCGTGGCAAAGAGGGCGAGGTTGACTACCGCTACATGCCGGATCCAGATATTGAGCCGCTTGTGATTGGCAATGATTTGGTCCAGTACTTGCAAGAGTCACTAGCCGTGCTTCCCGACAAGGAGCTCGACAGCCTAGTGGCCGACTACGGTCTCACAGCCAAAGACGCGCTCTCTCTGATTACCCTCGATAACGGTGCTCGAGTGCAATACTTTTACCGTGTTCTCGACCTTGTACGCGAGATGCTGCGGGAGTCGGGCGCCGAACCGGACTTGAAAAGCTACGCGACCCTGGTCGGTAACTGGGTCATTCACGAGCTCGGCCGTCTCACGACGACCAAGGCCGGGCCGCTCGCGTCCGGCGAGCTCAGCTTTTCGCAAGAGGGCGAGTGTGCGCAAGTGCACGAGTACCACCTCGCCGAGCTCCTGCACCATCTCTTCCAGAAGCGAATCACTGGCAAAGTGGCCAAGGAACTTCTCGTCGCCATCTACCTGGGCGAGATGGGGGACGGCGACGTGACGTCGGCCATTGAGTTTAATCAATTATGGTTCCATGAGCTGACGCAGGACGACTATGTCTCGTTTGCCGAGGCGGCCATGCAGGGCGAAGACAAGGTCCTCAAGGAGTTTGTCAGTTACGACAAGTTTCCGCAGGGCAAGCTCATGTACCTGGTGGGCAAGATGATGCGTCTGGGTCCGACGGAGAGGATCGATCCGTCCACGGCTGAGAGGATCATGCGCGCCAAGGTCGATGGCCTGCGTGCCCAATGAGGTGTAATAGTATCCATGGTGTATATTTATTCTGGGCAATTGTAGAATACAATCTCGGTCAGCGCCGGGTTGGCGCGATCTGGGCAGCCCAGCCAAGCTGATTACTGTAAGATAGATGGATAATACTATTCAACAAGACTAGTAACCAAGAAATTGGGTAAATTGATCCGAATCGGAGATGCTCCAAAAGCTCGGACCTGACAAGAGTATAACCATTGTCCCGAATCAAGGTGGCGCGACAATAAGCGTGGTGATGCCTGGGTGACGTCAACGATGAAAGAGCAAGCGTTTTGCGGGTTGCCAGTCAGGGTCCAAACCAGCTATCTATTAAATAGCTTTCACCCAACCGGTCTTCTCCGTCACTTCCTCATCATTCCTGCGAAATCAATCGATTGAAAAAACATATAAAGTCAACTCATCGGTCAATTCATCTCAATTCCTTCTACACAACATACAACCATGTTCGCTCTCCGATCCGCCACCCGCGCCATCCCCCGCGTCAGCGCCACCCGCGCATTCTCGTCAACCGTCGTCTACCAAAAGACGGCGACGGAGACGGTCAAAGATGGCATCAAGACGGTGGACAAGGCCGTAAGCGGCAAGATTGTCGACGGCATCGACGCTGCTGGTAAGCAAGGGGCTCGCTCGAGCAAAACAGACAAAAACAATCACGTAGATTCGCTGACCAGGGTGATTTATTTACTTTTTGTAACAACAGAATCCGCTACACAAAAAGTCAAGCAAGCGTCTGAGAATGTCGTGGGAAACAAGTCGGCCGCCGGCGCCGCCGAGGAGCTCAAGGGCAAGGCAAAGGGCGCCGCTGAGGAGGCCAAGGGCAAGGCCAAGGGCGCTGCCGAGGATGTCAAGAAGAGTCTTTAAACGAAGCGATACGGGGAGAAGAAATTTTGATGAAAAATTTGTCAGGCTGAGGTTTACATATTCCCCAGACGACTGTAACATTACATTATTCGCTCAAGCAATCAACATGATTAGATTTGTCGTCCAAGAGTGACTCGTGTACGTGATGAATGCCCACGCCACGCCACGTCAAACGACAAAAAGCTGGAAAAGAGCAGGAAAGCGCCCGCGTACTGATCCATAGCCGCCGCCGTCACAGAATCATGCGGCCTTTGAAATGCGCCGCGGCTGAGACACAGCAGCGCAGCACCGACACCGGCGAGCAGGCGCACGACGGGACTCCTCGTCGCGCGCGCCCAGACGGCGCCGGCCGCGCACGAAAAAGCGGCCGCCATGAGAAGCATGCTCGCCGCCACGGCGCTGCCGCTGCCGCTGCCGCTGCTGTCCGCAGACTTGTCCGGCGAGGAGGCGCGCCGCCACAGCAGCAGCAGCAGCGCCGTGGTCATCCACGCGACGCTGTGCGCAGAGTGCAAGACGAGCCCAAACAAGGTGCCGCCGCGGATCCTGTCCCGTGCGCCGAAAATCAGCTGCGCCGCCGCGCCGCAGATCGCCAGGAGCAGGAGAAGCTGGCTCCCGCGGGGCTGTTGTCGCGGCTGTTCCCACGGTGGTGGTATCCTGGTGTTTGGTCGAATGAATGCGTGTTAGGGAACGTGTTGCATAATTTCGAAGCCTCTAGAGTAAGATAACGTACGTGTAAATGCACTGGTGCAGCCCCAGAAACAGCATGGTCAGCCCAAGTCCGACAAACCCGGCGGGGCGAATGTCAACACCCTTTGGCTTGCCGGTGGCCGGAGTCGTGTCCGTAGGTCGCTTGATGGGATATACGTGATGAGCCACGTCGAGCTCTTCGGTCACGGTGCCTTGCTCATTGTTGGTGCTGCTGCGAAATCGGGTCCTTCGATTCGTGAGATGCCGCGTCGACTCGGCGCTCATGATATGTCCCGTTTTCAGTGCGGCTTGGAAATGCAATGTCTGGGCCGAATGTATACATGGATGCATCACTCTCTGGTCGTTGCCTCCATGGCGCATAGTCCTTGTTTCGTAGAAATCGGGTCGCACTATATAAGCACCCAGAGTCGAGCAATATCTGCCTCACATACACACACCCGCTAATGTATATCGACAGGGTGAGGGGGGGGGGGGGGGGGGGGCGTGAGCCTGCAGGCGATTCGTACATCATGACAGTTTCCAGACGGGGTGAGTCGCTATAAATGCTGACGGGCTCGGGGTGCACAAGATTTAAGCAGCCGGAATTCAAAGAAAACATGCCGAAATGGAAAACAAAGAAGAAACAAGAAAGAAGAACAAAGGAAAACGATACAAAATGATTCCGATTGGCTGCGGCTGAGGTGCACCGAGCCCGGTTCGGTCTCATTTCTTGGCGCATGATCTGCCATAAGAGGGTTACATTTGGCAAGTAGCCTGCGAGTAATCACGGCAGTAAGGTAACCCGCATTCGGGGAGTAGTTTGCTTCTACCGGCGGGGGTTGCGTGTGTGAGTGTTGCGGGGTAGATGAATATCGAAAGGAAAGAATCGGACGGCTCACGTTCTTTGTCGATATCGGCGTCCATATAGGCTGTTTTCATCAAGAGATCATCAGGCGTCAGTCAGGTGGAGCGGGATGGCGCTGTCACACGGGCTTCGCTATCTACTGTGCGGATAATATCCGCGATTCGCAGTAAACCAAGTCTTTGGGTCGCTGATGGGCTGAGTATTTTTATGGTAGAGACCTTTGTTCTTGTAGTGTCGTATATTCTTAACCCTCGCTCCCGTCATTGTCATCGTCCAGCACAGAGCTGAGAGTAAGAATGGCTGCGGACAGTATTAAACCGGAAATTGTTGGACGCAGCTATGAGACAGAGTGTTCATACGCATGCATGTGATTTGATCGCTGTATGGACAGTAAGCATAGAGTTATTTTTGGAATGCTCGCATGTGTAGCCAAGCTTACTGGTATGCCTGTCGATGCACCCCACCACATGAGGCCTCACAAGATGGCCTCATAAGATGGCATCTCAACTGAAAGATTCGGCAGTTCAGATGCACTTTCCGCTTGCTTTTAGTTTCCTTCGTTGTCGTAAACTTATAAAAATCAAGGAAACCGGCTCGAAGCAGCACATTGGTTGCGTCCCTGCTAATAAAAGTCAAGACCGGCTGCTTATGCTCTGAGAACACTCGAAATCAGTCCAGTCAAGCGGGCCTGTCAAGCACTTTCTTCTCTTGAAACTTCGTTCAAGAAGAACTTTGCATGCTTCGATAGTCATATTTGCCCGTTGTAGGTGTAAAAGTGAAGATTTGCGCGTGCCTTGTCGATACACAGTCGTCAAGAATGTTTGAAAAGTCCGACGAAGCGTATCAAACACCAACTAGTGCTGCGAATTGACAAGATGATCCAAAGTTTCTGGGACCTCTGAAAGTTTCTCACGATTCGGGAATCGTGTCGAGACAATAAGTCTGGGTTGCAACCAATCATCAAGATGGTCGAGACATGTATGCAAGTACCAAACCCTCCCTCACTCCCTTCCTGCTCATAAACGCGCAAGTGCGAACCAAGCCAAATTGGAAATCCACACTGGTCTTCCGTTACGCCTCACCGGATCGGTTCCTTACTCGTTTACTTACTAGGTAGATAGTTAGTGTGCCTTTCATCATTTCCAACTCAAATACAGCATTGGCCCTTGCGTTGCTGTACTAGAATGTCGGGTCGTCCTAAACGTGGCGGTCGCACCGCAATGATCCTTTGCAAATCCGGATGAGGCTCGGATATCTACCTTACAATGATTAGTGCTCTCTCATCTTTCATCATCATCTTAACGATCATGTGCACTGGCGACCGTCTTGAACCCCCCGCAATCGGTCATAATACAGTACGCTCGGCCGGCTCCACCACTTCCGACGGCCGAGTGGGGAAAGCAGCGATGGCCTCGTGTGCCATCTCGCCACCTTCAACACCACCTCTTCACCCGCTTCACTCCCCATTTGTATTTTGTTCAGGATCTGACTATAGGGGCTGTCGATGACTCTCATTTACGAGCCATCGCCCAAGACTCATATCCCTTCCCTTTGACCCGACGCACAAACATCCACGATCCAGACGACCGCGAGCACCCTAGAGCTTCTGCACAATGGTAAGCAGGACGTCTTCTAGGGCCCTCTGCTCGGCTTGCCGCGCCTCTGTCTCTCCATGGTCCTCCTCTTCACGGATATCCACCCGATCGATACACCGAGCGAGCCGTCTTCCTTTTCTGCGGCCAACAACGAGCGTCCACAATCGCAGCAGCCGTCGAACCTACGCAACGACATCGTCACCCTCCTCCCCTAGCGACTCCACGCCGCCGCCACCGTCATGGCCTAGCTCGCCGAACCCAACACCCTACGATATATTTGGCATGTGCCGGCGTGATCCGTACACGAAGCGGCGCTTTCATCAGCTCGTCAAACTATACCACCCCGACATGACACCACCACCGACACCCGCCGCCTCCGCCTCCGCCGCCACGCCGCTCTCGCCTGCCGTCCGCACCGAGCGCTATCGTCTCGTCATCGCCGCCAATGACCTCCTCAGCGACCCGTCCAAGCGACAGCTCTACGACCTTCACGGCGCCGGCTGGTACCACGGCGGCGCCCCGGACCTGCGCCAGCGGGACCGCGACTGGCGGTATCAGACTAATAGCCCCGCGCGCAACGCCACCTGGGAAGACTGGGAAGCGTGGCACCAGGAGCAGCGGCGCCAGCGGTACGGTGGCGCGCCGCCAAAACCCGTGTACATGAGCAACGGCCTCTTCGCGACGTTGGTGGTGGCCATGTGCTTCGTCGGGGCCATGGCGCAAAAGAACCGCGCTCTGGCAATCGGGGAGCAGTACGTCGAGTTTGTCGAGGACCGCAACGCGGATATCGGACGGGCCATGCAGCGGTCCACGAGCGCTTCGGCTGGCCGCTCCCGGGAGGAGCGCATCGACTCGTTTGTGCGGGATAGGGAGAATGTGGCGTATCGCTACCGGCCGAGCAAGTATGACGCTCCAGACGTGGACGATGGGGAAGCAGCTCGGGACGTGCAACGGCTGCGTGGTGTAAGAGTGCCGCCGTCGTGACCTTTTGTTCTCGGGCAAATGAGATTTGTATATACCAGTGTACGTGTAAGAGTGGCAATGTGGCCTACATTATTCTTGTTGTGGTATTGTCATTTGTTGCCATCTCATGTGATTGTTGTCGTAGATGCATACACCCCCACGAAATCTACGTGTGAATTTGAGTTGCACCGACCAACACCACTCGAGACTAGCGTCTCTAGATGCCCAAGAGATCTCGACTGCGCGAAGCGGCAGACTGATTGACACCAACATGATAGCAAAAGCCCAACTGTGGCCGAACGACTGTGGGTTCAACATCTGGTATTTACACTATCGGGTAGCTCGAAGCTTCAAAGCTCAACCAAAGCTCCCCTACTAGTCGGGAAGCGCACCGATCAAGCAAAGCCGAGCTTCTTGACAGTGGTGGAATGGAGCTCTTTTCACCACAAGGGGGGCGTGAGAAGAAGGAAGCCGGGGCTGTATCCACGTAGCCGTGTGTCTCCGAGTATTTCTCGCTGGCCGTCGAAATACGAGCGCTGGCGAGCTTGACTGCCTCGCCATAACTAGCACCAATACAGCGCTCTTTCACCAGAAGAGCAGGCTCCTTTTTTTTGTGTCGTCTCCTGTTTCCTCCTCCTTTTCTTGCTATTGGCCCTGGGCCATGGCAGCGCCACGGGGCGCGCCGGCACTCGCCCCGGTGTCTTAGGCTACCCCTGCGCAGCCATTGTCTTGTTGCTAATTTGGACAATACGCAAAAAAAAAGCAAGTGAGATACTGGTAGGACAGAGCCGCAAGGAGTGGTAAGCTGCCGTGTGCTGCTTCTCAACGATGCGTCGCCACACGACTCCCCATCTACGAAGTGTAGGTAGTATTTAGCAGCCCCGATAGTAATGCTGGGGAGCCATTACTGAATATTACCACTGAGCCAAAGCCTCCGATGGGACACACCCCCATCATTTACGGAGTACCATCATCTTACCTGTCCACACCTGTGATGAGCACATTCTTGTTTGTGCTTTGACGGAGTAAAGGACCCATGATCTCCACTGACTCGGGTCTGAATCTTGTGATGATTTGAGGAACAGAGTCGAAAGATGGGACAATGCTCTTGTGTGCCCAATAGCTCATGTCCTTTGCCCACTCTACAGATGACAATTTGCCCACAGTGGAATTCCCCAGTCTCCTTGAAAGCGGAAGGCATTCGTGGCATTTGCCCTTGTGCCAAGCTTGGGTCGCTGTAAAAATAAGCTCTTTCATAAGCTGCGTCCTGCGCAGTTTATCCGCCTTGCTATTATTACCTCTGAGCGACATAATGAGCTGCAGCTGCAGTCGGCATCGCAGCAAAAGAGTTCCCCAATTTGGCATCGCGCAGGAAAAGGATATGAGGAACACGCGCTAGAATGATAGGTAGAAAATTTTCTGCCCGCGCGGCGTGGGTGATCGCTCTACAGAATAATAGCGCGCGCAGCGGGAAATTTCAGCCATTGGCATGTAACCGTCGTTACCAGCATTGTTAGTGCCAGGTTTCCGAGGCTGAGCTAGGCGAGCAGAGCCTCAGGCCCTTCTTTTGCTTGTGCCAGATCCACCGCGAGATTGCAAGGAAAATCGCGCCCTTGGGCGTCGTCCGTGGCGTGTGCCGACACTCGGGGGCAAAAGGGTCGGCATGTTGGCGAGTCGGCGACGAGAGATGTAATCTGGATTCGAACAGACCAATGTGTCGAGAGCTGCAATTCACAGAATCCGATAACCAGCGCAGCTTCCCTCTCTTTGGTATCGAAGCATCGTTGTCATGTGTTGGCTTCGGAGCGTTCCAGTAATCCGGTCGGTAGCCGGCCGCCTCGGCCGTATGCGCATGCGGGTATCTAATATAGTGTTGCTTTCCTGGTGGCAGAAAGGCCAGTGTTCCAAGAATCAAACCGCTCCTACCAGCACTCCAAAAGCAAAACGGGCAAACCACTGCCTTTATACCTTCAGTCTTCTGGCCGTTCCTGGATTGTCCCACAGCGAAAACAAATCGTATCCAGTCTTTCGCTCTTTGCTCACGTACAGTAGAGAATTTGTGAGCCAGCACAGCGGGAACAACAGAGAGCCGCACGCCCCCTTAGAGTTTTTCTTGTGCTCGAGGCCAACAAAGACCCGCTTTGGTGTGGCCCGAGACAGTCTCAAGCGGGTAAGGACCAGTTTTCCCTGCTATTCTCACACCCAGCAAGCACCAGGAAGCTGCATACAGCTATTGGCGCCCACACGTGTGAAGAGAAAGAAGGCTTCCAGTGGACAACTTGTCGTTGCTTGCGGCCAGCTGGAAACCTTGTCGCTGAAGGGTGTACTGGTAGACCATCCCTGTGCTGGCGTCTTTTTTCGACGTTTTTGCCCCTGGAGTGCGCCGTAATAGATTGCAATTCCAGTAATCTTCAGCCTGCCTGGATTCAAGGGCTTCAAGGGTGTGTGCTCGTAAACCGCAAAAGTAATACCCGAAAAGAAAGACCTGAGAAGTGTCCTCTGTTTCGCTTCCTCAGGCCGAATCTGCTGTTGAAGCCTTAGCCTTATCGCTGGCGCGCTTAACCCGATACGGAGAATTTTTGTCTTTCTGCTGCAGCCCATCTGCGCCTCGCTCCTGCCGATAAGTCCTAATGCGGCATATCTTATCAACTTTGGCGCAAAAAAAAATGTTGTCACCTTAATTCAACGGCATCGAGATTTCGTCAGTAGGTAATCCGTAGCTGAGAATAAAAAGTTTTCTCCCCCCTAACTAAAATACGCTGGTAGCGCATGGGTTCACAACGTGTGGCGCCGCCCAATTTCTTTGTATGAACCAAATGCTGCACAGTTTTTGCCTTGCTCTGTCGCCGTTTCTGCTGTCGGCAAAAGCTGCAAGGAGCTCGGCAGAATGCATCGTAAAGCCGCAGTGTAGTATCGCCAAGTTGCCTTGCATATCAACCAACCTGTGTGAATATGGCTGGCTGCTGTGTGTTCGGCCTCCGTATTGGCCAACAAACAACCTTCTGTGAAGCTTTGGTCCGTCTTATTCACACCCCCATACCTTTCATTCACCTTTTCCTTGCCTGTGCTCATGATTCATGGCCCACCCGCCAAGCACGCAAACGTCTCGGGCTTCTCAAACTCTGCTTGCGCTCCCGCAGCAGGCTGGTTGGCCGGATCCTTTCCACTCTCACACCCTCAAATCCACCCGACTTTGCCCGATCCATCATCAACGCCTGGTTCGTGAGGCCATCACCGCCCATCAATTCTGCTCACACACCCTGCTGGCCCCCGTTTGTAGTTGCTCGCGTCAGAATATCCCTCTCTGCCCCGGCCGCCTCGGCCCCCTTCACTCTCTGGCCATAATACCGTACACATAGTCCTCAAAGTCCCGTACCGTACTCGTAGACCCCAACCCCAGTGGATCTCTCACCTGACTCCAGTCTCTCTCTCTCCCTTTTCCTCCAGACTTTTACTCCTTCTCTCCCACACCTTTGCTCTCAGTCCTCAGCACATCTCCAATACCTCCTCTTCAACCAATCTTCAATCTCCCCTCAACAACCTTCACAATGGCCTCCCGCTTCGTCGCCTCCCGCCTGGCTTCTGCCGCCCGCGTCAACGTCGCCGCCGCTTCCAAGCGCTCCATCTCTGGTACGTAGCTCCAAGAGATGAAAAGTTTTCCTCCCGATTGAACCGTCATCAAAACCATCGAAACCATCTCGAATGGGCCTTCTTGGTTGCCAATGGCCTCAATTCGGCTTCCATCGTCTCGAGATTCTGCTCATTGATCCAATTGACTGACATGTCTTGCCTCTCAGGTGCCGCTAAGCGCACTCAGGTTGTCCCCCGCACTGCCTTCCAGGTCCAGCGTCGTGCCTACTCCTCCGAGATGGCCAACGCTCTCGTTGAGGTCTCCAAGAACATTGGTATGGGCTCTGCCGCCGTCGGTCTGACCGGTGCCGGTATCGGTATTGGTCTCGTCTTCGCTGCCCTCATCAACGGTGTTGCCCGCAACCCTGCTCTCCGTGGCCAGCTTTTCTCCTACGCCATTCTGGGTTTCGCTTTCGTCGAGGCCATCGGTCTTTTCGATCTCATGATTGCCCTCATGGCCAAGTTCGTACGTTTGATCTGTTTGCCAAATATTCCCTCATAGCAGCCGACTGACTTTTTCTTCTCAGACGTAAACAACTTCTCATTCAATTGAGCCGATCCCTCTTCACTGATGGGGTCTCTAATACCTGGGGACGATCAGCGATGTCGGTGTACGGTGTGAAGGTCTCACGATGGAGTTCCTTTGCCAACACTCACCTATGTTTAAAAACGGAATTGCATTATAGACGGGATTGATACTGGGGAGGCGGACATGTCCAGAAGACATGATCGTGATAGATTTGGAAAGCCCACACACAGGTTCCTGTTAGGAACCACCTTGTAAAATAAAAGGTCAATCGTCTCGATCATAAAATTTTCTTTGTCGATACCAATCGATACCATATTCAAGAGCGGATTCTCACCTGAAGTGACTGGTGGCGATGGAGGACCTTTGCTGTCAGCTCATAGCGAGACCACTCTGTTAATATTGTCAAAATCATCCCCAATTCATTGGCATTGATGGACAACAGCCGCGCAATGCCGCCCTGCAAGCTGTCAATGGGTGTTTTGCGCCTGTACCCGTTTGCCAAAGCTTCATCCCGGCAAGCTTGCTCTCTAGTCAGAGCTCGAATCGATATGCTGCTGTCCCCCACGCTGTATGGCGAGTCATATCTGGTAGCTGATCACTTGAGCTCTGTTACAGCTAGCTTCAGCTTCCGATTTTCGCTGGAATCTCTATGACAAGTCGGGCTCGGAGATAGTCGCATATTGTACCTCCACCATGGCCTGATGACTGCGACCTTTCATTCAGCTGTTTGGCTCATAGCCGGTTCATCGGCTAATCGCGTCCGATTCGGAGCTTCTGGTCTTCGACGTCGGGGCCTCGGCCGGGGTATTGCTTGCCAGCGTTGGGGGCGGCGTACAGCTTCCGTGCTTCACCTTCACATTCAATTGCTGCATGCTCTGCATTGTAACCAAGACCCCAAGAACGAGCTTACCCGGCTGATCAGGAATGCACTACTGTTGGTGACCATGAGCGCAGCGCTGCTGATGCAAAGTGTCTATGTAGGGTGCAAACGCGAGGGACCGGCGGCTAACGTAATTTGGCGGCGGCGGCAAAGTCTAGCCAATTTCAAATAGAGTCACTGTATGAGCGAATAGTATCCGTAGATTTGAATGTAAATAGAAAGATTCAATTGAACATGTACATATGTTAAGGCTGTCGACGTGCAATGGTAAATACTTATTGCTGCAGGTTCCCCTCACTTGGGACGCACCAGCCGGCCATGTTTTTCCGGCTTGGCTGATTTCTGCAGGAACGACATCCCTGCGTATGCACAACAGCAATAGAAAATGCTACATGATACAAAAGCACTTTGTTACAATTTGCTACTGTATTTCTTGCGCACAAAAAATCGTGTCTTTTCAGTATAGTTCTACGAAGACAATCACAATCACAATTCCTGCCACATCGTTGCAGCTCGATATAATCAAATTCCTTCTTTGACCCCCAAAACGCCGTCTCAAGTATGCTATATACACTTATTTCTTGAACGTAGCACTCCTCTCTCCCCTAATTGGTGGCGCCTTTCTCGCGCCCTTCATTGGCTCGTCTCCAGTCTTGGAGTATGGATCAAACACCTTTTGCGGCTTCGCTGGGCGAGCGGCCGCAGCACCGTCACGCTTGGCGTGCATGACAGATGCCGCGCTGCTATAATCGAACGGCACCGCATTGTACTTGGTCCCTGCTGCCGACTTTTTCTGTTGCTTTTCTGCCTGGCGCTGCGCCTTCTTGGCCCGTCTAGCTTCTCGCTTCTGCTGTATTTCCTGTGCAGCCTGCTTCTTGGAAGCCTTGCGCTGCTTCCTCGGCTTGCTTTGTTCATCATCAATATCAATTATACCATCGGCGAGCGCTGGCTCCATTCGCGTATCACCCTCCTCATCCTCGTCAGAGTCGGAATCCTCGCTTGTTTCCGATTCGACATCAGGCGCAGATTCTGACTTGCGTTTTGTTCCGCGTTTCAATGTAAACTCTTCGTCCTCCTCTATAGGGGCAGGCAGCGCAGGCGCAGGAGTTTCGGGCTCTGCAGGCGAAGTAGTATCTTCTTCCACTTCTGCACCCTCTTGAACAGAGACAACGAACCTTTGCCAAGGGAAGGGCACTTCCCCCTTCAGCTCCTCATCCACGTCCCGTGAGCCATCCCATAGGGAGCTGATGGGCATATCACCGAACAAGCGCGAGCGTGGCAGGTTTCTGTAGGCAATCTTACCGCCAAGGTCTGGCAATTTTGTGAGGTCGCGGCCTGGCTTGGGCAGCGCGTCTCTAGTAGCCGCGTCCGGGGCAATACTTGCAAAGAATTGCAGCAGGCTGGGTCCCGGATTTTGACTAGCTTCCAAAACGCGCGCCCATATCTCGTTGATTCTCGATCTGGCCAAAGGCGCTGTGAGAGGCATTAGGCTGTGAAGAGCTTTGGCGTCTGGAGGATTGGCACGGCAGATGTCAGCCAGATGGTTCGTCCCTAGAACGAAGTTGGGACTTTCATCTTCTTTTCTCGCCGTATCATCACGCCACTTCCAAATAGTCTTGAACATGGTGAATTGTGCTGCGTCATAGGACAGATGTGAATGCTTCAGCAGGTAGTTGTACCAGCCGCGTGGGCCTTCCCCATTCTCCTCTTGGTAGCCTGCGTGTACGTGTCGAGACAGGGAAAGATCTTTCGATTTCTGCAGAGCACGACCTATGAGGTCCTGCTCTGGTGCGCTTCGGTTCGATGAAGAGACGAGGTCATTGCGAACTTGGTCATATATGTGGAGCAGGTAATGAGTATCGGAACGCGCATAGTAGAGCATTTCTTCCGGGATTGGGCGAATGCGCCAGTCGGCCAGCTGATACTGCTTATCAGCATCAAAATCGGCAAATTTGGAGAGCAAAAAGGCGAGGCTACGGCCCGAGTAACCCAGTTGCTCGCAAGCAAAGAAAGTGTCGAAAAGACCATTGACGTAAAGACCCAAGTCGCGCTGGAGCCAAACCATGTCCATGTACGCGCCGTGGAAGACCTTTATAATTGAAGGGTCCGCGAAAGCCTCGTTGAGTATCTCGAGCTTGTGGCGCCAAGGTTGAAGAGTGTCGACGATCCAGTCCTGCTGTCGGGTGCTAATCTGCATGAGAGAAACAAGACCCGTGTATGTTCGGAAGTCATGATGCTCGAGATCGATGGCGAGCTCCTTTGACTTCTTCAGCTCCTGAAGCATTTCGAGTACGCCTTCGTATGTATCGACCCATTTTGCCGTGGTTGTCTCGACAGGCTGCCACGGGATGGGCTTCGCCACTTTGAAAATGCTATCGGGATAGGCCATTTGCAAAATTTCAGGCTCGTATGGGTGCTTGTATCTAGAAACAGAATTAGCAAGAAACGTATGTATGCCGCAGCATGTACGTACTGTGTCGAACCATTTTCGTCGGTAAATGTGATGAGACTCTCCTCCAAAGGTACAATAGCATGAGGCTTCTTTGTGAGAATCGGCTTCCAGGGACCAGTGGGAAAATTGTCGGGTTGCAGTTCGAAAGTGACTTGGGGTTTAACCACGTTGGCATTTCGTATGACTTTGTTCGTGGGTTTCGCTTTCTTTGGCTTAGGGGTCTATAACATGTCAATTTCGATTAAATTTTCGAAGAGAAGATATTGAATACACACAGCATCTGAAGGTGGTTCTTTGCGCTTGATGAGCCCGGTATATTCGTCGAGAGCCGTGTCGGCCTTTTCGAGGACCGAGTCGACGACGTCAACGACACCCTGCCAATTTAAATCAATGTCGTCCGCATCCTTGAGCGTCGGGGCGGCGACACCACAGGCGCGCGCAGCTGACTGCAAAAGGCGAGTAGAGAGCTCAAGAAGGCGGGACGAATTTTCGTCGAGCTGCTCGGCGGCATCCGGGTTGACGGTCCGTTGGAAGCTGAGGTCTTCGGCGGCGATTCGGTTGGCGTATTTTACGGTGGCAACCAAGGAGTTCTGGACTCCGTCCTGCAGTGACTTGAAGTCCTGAGGCGCCGCCATGTTGCAGGGGGTGAGCTGCTGGGCGATGTTGATGGCGATGGATGATGGCCCTTGTCGCAATGCGATTGGGAACAAACAAAAAATCCTGGCCGTTATCGATAAGAGTATCGCGAGATCCACAGCGAGAGCTTGCAGGCGCGAGGCGGATGTGCGGTGTAAGTTGGTTTTGACGCTATCTTGCTTCTGTCTCACTTTTTGATGCCCATTTTTTTTCTGTCAAACACTACCGTACTTTCAATATCACATCTCTATCGCAGTGCTGCGTTACTATTCATATTGCGGCGATAACTGCTTGCTCTAGGATAAGCTAATGCAACACCACAAAGAGTAAGCGCATTCTAGTTCAGAGCAAGGGCATATCGCTCGGCGTTTATTTCTCGTCAAAGCAGAATTGCCACCGAAAATGTATGCATTTTTATGTTCTTCAGGAACAATCGCCATGCAAAACCAGCTGCACCCACTAATTACAGTATGATACGCATCGTACGTATGCGCAAGCCACAGCGAGGCGTCACCGTGATGTAATAGAGCAAAATCGGACAAGCCAACCACCTAAACTACCAAGGAAAAATCCTCCTTCTGTCAACGAATCCTCATAATTGACAGTCATAACAAGGTTGAGCCGCAAATCTCCGCCGCCAGCGCCTTGTTTTGCTGCCCTGCTTGCCTGCACATAACCATTTTGTACATTGGCACGGTTGGTCAGTGGTCAGTGGTCAGGTCAGCCAGCACATCAAGCAGCCCAGTCTGCCCCTCACTACCCGCCGCCTCAAAAGCTCCGGCCCTCAAACAACTCGTGCTGCACAACATCATGCCATTGGACGCCGCAACGAAATAAATTACCGCAGAGCCCCAGATACAGCTCTTTTTTTTTTTCAGAAACTCTCCAGACTCATTTACCTTTTTTTTTTGTGTCTCCCTCCACCTGTTTTGGCCATCATCACTCGACGCGCCGTGACCACCAAAGCTCACCCCACATTAAGCTGGCCAGCCCACCACGACGTTTCTGTCGCTTCTCCAGCTTTCCACCCCAACGTCGTCGAGCAGCCTAAGCTCTTCGCTCGATAACATCAGCGCATCGTCAGTTGTCATACCTTTCGTCCGACCTAACTCTCGAACTTCCGCAACTTTGCACCTCCGCTGCCATGTCCACCCCGGCAGAGACTCAGCAAGAGGCTGCTGCGCCCGGCCGTCTGCTGCTACTCTCGAACCGTCTGCCCATCACCATTAAGCGCTCCGAAGATGGCAGCTATACCTTTTCCATGTCCTCTGGTGGCCTTGTGACAGGCCTGAGCGGTCTGAGCAAGACCACCAGCTTCCAGTGGTATGGATGGCCCGGTCTCGAGGTCCCCGAGAACGAGGTCGATGGCATGAAGAAACGCCTCAAAGCAGAGTACGGCGCGCATCCCGTCTTTATCGACGATGAGCTCGCTGACCGCCACTACAATGGGTTTGCCAGTAAGTCTTCATGCTACATCATATCATACACTTTGTCTCGTGCTGACAGCTCTAGATTCTATCCTCTGGCCGTTGTTCCACTATCACCCCGGTGAAATCACCTTTGACGAGTCTGCCTGGGTCGCCTACCAAGAAGTCAACCGCCTCTTTGCGCAGACTGTCATCAAAGATGTTCAAGACGGTGATCTAATCTGGGTGCACGACTACCACCTGATGCTTCTGCCCCAGATGCTGCGGGAGGAAATTGGCAACTCCAAGAAGAACGTCAAGATCGGCTTCTTTTTGCACACGCCATTTCCAAGTAGCGAAATTTACCGCATTCTGCCCGTCCGAGAGCCTCTTCTCACAGGTCTTCTCGATTGCGACCTGATTGGATTCCACACATACGACTACGCGCGCCACTTCCTTAGTAGTTGCTCGCGTATACTCGGCACCCCCACCACCCCTAACGGTGTCGATTGGAACGGCCGCTTCGTGACTGTCGGGGCGTTTCCTATTGGAATAGACCCCGAAAAGTTTGTCGAGGGGCTGAAGCAACCCAAGGTGCAGGCGCGCATCGCAGCTCTGAAACGCAAGTTTGAAGGCGTGAAGCTCATTGTCGGCGTCGATCGTCTCGACTACATCAAGGGTGTGCCGCAAAAACTTCATGCCCTCGAGGTTTTCCTCACGGAGCACCCCGAGTGGATTGGCAAGATTGTCCTCGTCCAGGTTGCCGTGCCCTCACGCCAGGATGTCGAAGAGTACCAGAACCTTCGTGCCGTTGTCAACGAGCTCGTCGGCCGCATCAACGGCAAGTTTGGCACCATTGAATTCATGCCCATCCACTTTTTGCACCAGTCCGTGTCCTTTGACGAGCTGACAGCGCTCTACGCTGTGTCGGACGTGTGCCTGGTGTCTTCCACTCGTGACGGCATGAACCTCGTCTCGTACGAGTACATTGCCACGCAGCGCGAGAAGCACGGCGTCATGATCCTCAGCGAGTTTACCGGCGCCGCGCAGTCGCTCAACGGCAGTCTGATTGTTAACCCCTGGAACACGGAGGAGCTGGCCAACGCCATCCACGACGCCGTGACCATGAGCCCCGAGCAGCGCGCCGCCAACTACAGCAAGCTCGAGCGCTATGTCTTCAAGTACACGAGCGCTTGGTGGGGGGCCACCTTTGTCGCTGAGATGACGCGCCTCAGCAACGAGGAGTCGCAGGCAAAGACGATTCGCAACGTCTCGGGTGCCGTGGTCAGCTCGGGCCAAAAGGCACTGACAGAAGAGCCCGAGAACAAGGAGCCGGAGGCGAATCAAGCAGAATGATGAGACATGGCAGATGTTTCCGACGGCACTGTCTGCGTCAGATACGGACCAAGGAACAACGTATCTGACATCAATACAACAGATGAGAAAAGAAAGAATGGAGGTACGGTCATTATGGTCTGAGCTATACAGTCTAGCAGGAGTTTTGGTGTTTGTGAATTTCTAGCGATCTACAGCTCAATGCAATATACATCTCAAACAGCCACGTCCCATCCCGTCATCCCGCTTCCATTGACCCCGCAACGCTAACTCGAACAAGCACCATCTCGAACCGACCCGTTTGATGCCGCTTACACTCTACGCTTACACTGTAAATTCAGTCTATGCTTAAACGTTCACGCCCCGCGCTATTGGATGCGGCTGAAGCGGTCTGGACCGTCTCCATCAAGCCGCCCCCAACTCCCAAAAGCCCAGTGACGAAATTCTCTTTTGATAAAAAGGGACAGCATGCCGCCTCGCTCTTCTTCTGCCTCCCTTTTGGGGGCAGTCGACCGGCCATGGCTCTTTTACCGTCCTTGTTTGGCAACGGCCTGCCAAAGTACAAGTACACGCCGATCGCGCCGGGCGCGCGCACCTTTCGCCTAGCCAAGCTCCTGCCGCCCGAGCCGTCCTTGCTTCCGGGTCTTGAGCCCACGGTCCGAATCACCCTGATTGAGTGCTCCGCAGGCAACGGCGGCGGCGGCGGCGACGACGACGACGACACCGCCGCATCCGTCGAATACGATGCGCTCTCGTACGCATGGGACGTGCCGGCCAACGTGAAGCGGCCGAACCGGCGCATCATGGTCGAGGCTGGCGACAATGGCGGCGGGGGCGGGGGCGGCGGGGGCGGGCGCTCCTACCTGTTTATACACCGTCCGCTGGAGCTCGCCCTGCTGCGCTTCGCCGCCGCCAACGACGCCCAGCAGACCGGCTCGGGGCCCAAGTACGAGCTCCCCCTCTTCATCGACCAGATCTGCATCGACCAGGACAATGACGATGAAAAGGCGCAGCAGGTGGCCCTCATGCAAGCCATTTACGCACACGCCCGCCGCGCCGTCATCTGGCTAGGTCCCGGCGACGCCGCCTCGGACCGCTGGTTCGCATACGTCCGCGACCTCTGCGGCGAGGGCGTCCTCGGCCCCGTCATGGCCCTGCCGGCCGCCACTCTGCAGCGCATCTACGACGCCGTCGTCGAGAATCCGCCCGCCACCATACTCGACGACCCTGTGGAGGCGCGGCACCGCGACGACCTGGCGGCGGTGACGGGCCGCTTCGCCTCGCAATACCCCATCGCGCCGTGCCTTGCCGTGCTGCGCCGCGCGTGGTTCACGCGGCTGTGGACGATCCAGGAGGCGTGTCTCGCGCCGGCCGCGGTGATTGCCTGCGGCGACGCGCTCCTCTGCTTCGACTGCTTCCGCGCCGGCATGTTCTTTTACACGCTGCAGAACAACTACTGGCTGTATCGCGTCGTTGGGCCGCTGCCGCGCGCCGAGGTGGCCCTCCGCGCCGCCGTCTTTGAGGCCCTGGAGGGCTTCAAGCGCATCTTTCAGGAGCGCAAAGCCATCCACGAGCACCGCCGCCGCGCGCCGCTGCACGAGCTCGTCATCAAGCACAACATGGTCAATGAGATGAAGTGGAAGGTCGTCGGCGCGTCGCTCGCGCAGGACCGCATATACGGCCTGATGGGGCTCGCGGAGCCCGACGACCCCGTCGCCGCGCGGCTGGGCATCTACTACGACGGCACGAACCAGGCCGAGGCGCAGATTCGAGCGTACACGGAAGCGACGGGCCTGTTCCTGGAGCACGGCAACATGGACGTGCTGCTGCTGAACCGGGCGGCGGCTTCGAAGACGATACGGGGCCTGCCGTCGTGGGTGCCCGACTGGGCGCACGACCTGGTGCTGCCTTTGACGTGGGAGGCTCTGGAGCAGCCCGTGTTTGCCGCCGGGGGACCCCGAGCTGCTTCGTCGGCCAAGGCTGATGCGGCGGCGGGAAAGATTACCATCAAAGGTGTCCTGATTGGCCGGGTCGCCGCCACTGGCCAGGCGACGTACACACGGAGCGAAAGGGCGTGGGTCCAGGATCAGGTCAACTACGACGATGCCAAGCTCATGTTTGACGAGGTCGATGCCTTTGTCCAAGCTGCCCTCGCGCACGACGACGACGACGACGACGACGACGCCGCCGCCGGCGCTGCGCCCCCTTCACCCGAAGCCCTCGCGCACACCAGCCTTCGCGTCTACGACTCGGGCCTCAGCGCCCGCCACCTCGCCGCCCGCTACCCTTCCCCCCACGCCTCCACGCAGCGTCACATGGTCCTCCAGTCCGCCATCTCGGTCCTCGGCGGACGGCTCCTCCGCTCCGCCGCCACTGCGCGCTCCTTTTCCCTCGTCAACATCTACGCCACCGTAGGCGTCACGCCCTGGTACGTCGACTACTACAGCGCCACGGCTGTCCTGCAGCACCTCGCGCGAGGACCCATTTCCCTCGCACGCACCATTGTCCTCGCGCTCGCCGACTTGCTCGCCGACGTCGTCGGGTTGTGCGCCGCGTCGGCGCGCATGTGGCTCGCGACGAAGGGCATTAGTAGTAGTGGTGGTAGTAGTTATGCCCTGTGGCGCCCGTTTAGTAGCCAGGCGCGACGGCTGTATGAGCCGGACGCGCATTATCGCAGAATCGGGCTCGATCCGGAGGTGATGCGCAGCAAGGACATGCTGGCATTTCTGTCCAGCCTCGAGCGCCACGCTGGGCGGCGCGTGTTTCGGACGCGTGAGGGACACGTCGGCATGGGGCCGGGCGAGACGCGGCCGGAAGATGTCGTCGTGGTGCTCTACGGCATGACGGCTCCGATTGTGCTGCGGCCCGTCGAGACAAGCACCGAACCGATGTGGACGGTGGTGGGCGAGGCGTATTGCGATGGGGTTATGGATGGTGAGGCGTTGGGGATGAATGAAGGAGAGTTTGTCCTAATTTAGGGTTGGCATTTTGTGTAGCGTTTTTTACATGCATAGCGGGCGAGCATCTTCACACCTGCTTTAGAACGCTGCTTATATCGTATGAGAAGGTTTATTTGAATTCAAACGATAGCTACTGCGGCAGCGTCACAGAAAACAAAAGCGACGGCAAATATCCCAAGCAAAGATTTGTAAGTAGCTAGATGTGTGTAAATTGAAAAAATAGTGGTATCTGGGCTATATTATCCCCAATCCTTCGTCCATCCATAATCCATCACCCCTTTATCCGTCCAACGTCCTGATGTGTGCTATTCATATCCACACATCTTACATTCATCTCGAGAAAGCTATAAAAGATAAACACCAAAGTTCGAGGTGGCAACAAAGGATAAAAAAGGGGCCGTGAAATCAAGAACCAAAAGATACATAGAAAAGTGTCGTCGAAGACAAAACAGCAAAGAATCAGTATGGCGAATTCACAATGTCGTCACGGCCTAGCTTGTAGCGGCTACTCAAGGGCGTGCCAATTTTATTCGCAGACGAGCTTCTGTGGCCGCCGGAGGAAACACGGACATTACCGATGATGCTCTCGCGCGTGGGTTTGCGGAAGCTCTGCTTGGCCACCATGTTGACTTCGTTGGGCAGAGCGACAATGACATTCTTGTCGGAACCAAACTTGAAATCATCGGCCTTGACCTCGTCCTCGTAGCGCTTGATCTTGTATGGCGCCTTCATGCCGCGCAGGACACGTTTGAGGTTCCATTCGATAATGTATGGGCCCGTGGCTGTAATGATGCTCGTCTCCTCGGCACCCTCGCCCGTGTTGAACTTGGCGGGGGTGAAGGCAATGGGCTTGCCCGTCTCGTGGTAGAATTGCGCCACATGCTCGGCCGTAAGAGCCAGACGGCGGGGGCGCGGCTTTGTGTCAGCCGAGAAACCCTTTTCGAAGCCCAGCTTGCCCTCGTTCTTGCCGTCCTTTTGCATGGCATCGACGAGCAGAATGTAGTTTTGAGTGGTGCCGAGAATCCAGCGGCCATCGGCAGAGACATCCATACCGGTAATGGGGTCACCGAGCGCAGGCAACTGGGTCTTGGCGCGAATGCCGAGACGGTCAAAGAGACGAATGTCACCCTTGTTGCTGGCGACGGCAATATAACCCTTTTCGGTGGTTGCAAGAGATGAAAAGTCATTCTTGGAGGCGTACTGCTTCATGTCCGAGTCAACAAGCTTGTTGCCGGCGAGACGGGGATCGACACGGAACAGAGCATTGTTGGAGACACCGAGGAAAGTCTGCTCCGAGGTCATCTGGGCAAATTTATTCTCGGGAGCAAAGTTGATGACGGGAATATCATCGTGGACATTCCACTCGTCAACAACCTTGCCGTATTCAATATCCATGCGATAGAGCTTGTTCGGGTCGACATTGTTCTGGATAATGAGATCGCGGTCTTCGCCATGGAGCATGACCTTTTTGGGGTTCATGAGCTTGCCCTTGGGGGTGGTGACCTTGGAGATGTTGGTGGAGAACTTGAGACGGTTGTCGTTGGTGTGTGAGAAGACGCCAATCTTGGAGCCACGGACGACAAAAGAGCGGTCATGTTTGTAGCCGACGGCGAGTTGCGAGTTGATCTCGCGGTCATCCTTTTCTTGCTCCTCTTCCTCGTCTTCGTCACTATCATATGCGTCGCTTCGAATGCCCTCTTCATCGACCTCATCCTCCTCTTCCTCTTCCTCTTCCTCCTCTACAAGAGGAGCATCCTCCATAGTGAGGTCGCCCATGGAGTCGAGAACATATTCGCGTTCCTTTTCTTGAATCTTGGCCCACTTTGTCTCGTTGAGCCTTTCCCAAATGGCCTGCATAATGGCTTCCTGGAATCTTTCCAGAGTGGGCTGATCCTTGAATCGTAGCAGCCAAGAGCGAGCTGTGCCATCAGGGCTAAAGTGATTAAAGACGAATGAGAGGAACTGGAAATCAAAGACGGGGTTAAAGTCAGAGACAACTGGCGTCCCCACCCACGGCTTTTGGCCCTCTATCTGCAGCCAGTATTCCCACTGGCCAACCTCGGAAACGGTGGCAATTACCGAGTCGTCGACCATGGCAAAGTGGCCTGGCTGGGGGTCGTAGACGTGCAGCTCGGCAGAGATGCTAGCGTAAATTTCCTTGGGCTTGGGCGGGTTGCTGGCATCGTAGACGGGGCCGGCCGTCTTGCTCTCCACGGGAACAGTTGCGGGAGTGGCAGGCGTGCGCTGCTTGCTCGGAGTTGTAGGTGCCATGAACTCGGTGGAATCGATGGAGCGGGTGAGTGACGGGCTGTTGAGGGGGCTAGCGGGCGGGATGGGCAGCTCCTCGTGAAACTCAAACTGCTGGAGATCCTCGTCGGAGGCGGTGGTATTGGGCTTGCGATACTTGCGCTCGTATTGGCACTCCTGGGCGGCGCGCAGGAAGAGTTGGAGCTGGTTGGCAGGAACGGCGGCGTCGCAAACAAATTCGTAGACGTCACCGGTGTCACCACTGAGATCGCGCCAGGCAATGACGCTATCGCCGCCTTCGCGGGTCTCGACTCGAAAGTGCAGAGCCTCGTCGAGCAAAAAGGTCTTTTCGTCGCGCTCGCTGGCGAGGGCGTCAATTTCAGCGTCGTCTCCCTCTTCCTCGGCGAGAAGCTCCTCCTCGCCTTCCTCAAAGGCGCGTTGTACAACGAGCTGGTAGTGAAAATCTTGATTCGTGCGGCGGATGCGGATGGCAGCGTCCTTGAAGATGAGCTCCGAGTAGCCTTTGGGGGAGAGGGGGCGAACGAGGTACAGCTGGCCCTGGGGCAGCTCGATGAGAGATTCCTGGGCGCTGGAGCCGAAGATCAGCTTTCCAACTGGTAAAGTTAGCAAGGGATGTTTATAAGAAGGAAAACAAAAGAAGAGACTTGATGGTGCGAAGGGAAGATAGGTACGTATATGGGTGAGGGGCTAGAGGTGGCGGCGTCAGTGCAAGGAACATGCAGGCAACCCCTCCTAACATGTGAGGAGGAGCAGGAGCTACCTGCATGCACACAGTGATGGGTGGTACTGCGGTCCAACAAGCGGCCAGATGTGCCCCATGTCCCATCGAGATGAACGGGAAAGAATAGATCAAAGGCAGGCGATTCGCAGACTATCGATGGTGGACATACCATTCCGCAGGACAAACATGGTGTCCGCAAAGGTGGGTTGAAGCCTTTGTTTGTGTTTATCTGGTTGCTAGGCGCAGGGGAGGGTGAGGAGGAGGCGAGACGCTGCGCCGACACGAGTAATTCGTATAAAAAGATCGTATCGGTCGTATCGAGCAAAAAGGCGTTGAAGGTATCCTTGCCTTGCCGCGGCGATGCGAAGATGCCTGGTGCAAGTATGAAGGAGAAGCGACAGGAAAAATAAAACAAGCTTGTTGCTGTGAGGGGCGGCCCCGTCAACGGTTGAGAAGTTAGTGGTGTCAGACCTGGAGTCCAGCGGTAGGTACTTTGACCTGATAGCGGGGCAAGGGTTGATGGCCGACCAGCGCAAGATGCCCGAGGAGAGGAAGAATGTGCAGAAAAATTGGGTGACGTAATAAGTGACTTGAACAACGTCTTTATAGTGTTGACAGCGCCTTTTGTGACTTGTACAAGCAAAATTTCTGCGAATGGTGGTGGGCAGCTGAATAAACTTGTTTTACACAACTTCGCTTCAACATGACAGTCTATTTTGCCACTCAGGCTATAACGGCGTTTGTGGAGCACTCTCTATTTACTTTAAGTGTTATAACTACATGCTAAGGCTGGCTTGTGACTACATAGTTACCACACTAACTCCTCCCAGTCATCTACACAGTCCTCGCCTTATGAACCCTTGCTGCTTCAATTACTGACGAATCAAACACGTACCGTCTCTTTGTCCTGCTGCCTAGACTTGTAGCTGCCTTTTAATGACTTTGTTAGCGTGTCGGCGCGTTGCTGCTTGTTGTCATGCCTCTTTATTAGCGTACAAACTTTAAAAACTACAATCAGTGACGTAATTTCATTTGCTCCAAGTGTGAGCAATCTCTTTGTCACCACGAAAAGAACGCTAGAGTACCGTAACGCGCTAGGTGCCCACTGTTACCATTGACTCCATTGACTGTCGCTCGAGTAGCCAGTTGGCTGTTGATACACATTCGTGTACTAGTTAGGTTCCAGTAGGACAACTCGTCAACTCAGCCTATCCTCTCAAAGTATACAAGTCTTACAACGGCAAAGTCTCTAGGCACTCCATTATACAGAATAAGCCTCTCTCTCATAACATTGTTTTGCTCGGCTTCATTTCTGCCCACGAATTAGATAGACACGATAAAGTTCAGTCAAGCGCTTCAAACGCACATGTTGGTCAATGACTTATCTAGTAGTAGAACAAAAAACTACAACTTTCATGACATTATTCCCAACAATCTCCTCTACAAAGCACAACAAACCTGACCTGTTTGCGTTACATGCAACTATATACTCCCTCGAGCCTGCGCCGCTGCGGGCGAAACCTGCCAAGCCAATCTCACCGTATCATCACACCTTCACAGCGCCCGGCCATGGTCTCTGTTCATATCATCTCACCTAGATGCAGTGACATTATCAAGCACGAGTTTTGACTGAATTGAGTCGTCGCTCCCTGGGCACATGCCATCCCAACTCAAATCAGCTCGAGCGCATTAGTACGGCCCTTCTTGTTGAACAATTGAAAGCTGAGCTCATCATTCTACGTCTCATTTGCTCAGTCCCTGAAACTTTCTTTCGATACAAGCTGAAGAGAGGACTGAGATTTTGGGCTTACCGTAGCTCTGGCTCGTTTCTTTGCCGCCAACATTGCCTTTACGGCTTCGCTCGCCTTTCTAGTCGCCTCGGCGCCGACTTTGTCTTCCTTTACCTTTGGGATATCATCCATGCCTCCGACAAATCTCTTGCAGAATTCTCAAAGTTGAAAGAGTCGACAGTCTTATAATGTCAAGATAACGAAAACGAAAAGAGAAGAGAGGCCTCGCTGCAGGAACACCGAGATTTGTCAAGTACAACCGGGCTTGTGATTGAACAGGATATCAGAGAGTCAACGCAATTATAATTGTGCCAAAAGGCTTCAACAGAGGGGGTTCAACTGTATCCGACTCTCTTCTTATACTCGCTACACAGCGCAGATCCATCTTACCTCTGCGACAAGTCTTCTTCTCCCGCCATGAAACCGAGATCTTCCTTTGAGAAGAACAAGAACCAATTACAGCACCTTGCAGAGCATACCACTGGCCCGCTTAGTCCGCCACTCATCAATCCCATCATCATCGCCAGCTCACAACTACTCGAAGCGCCGCGTTGCGCATTTCTCTCCCGCAAGTTTCGCAAAATCTGCAAGCGTGCGTTGTCAAAACTTATACGCGCCAGCCAGCCAGCCAGTCAGCCAGCCAGTCAGCCATTGGGGCCAAGACGTCGTGGCTGATGGTTCGGGCGGCGTTAAAGAAAAAGCCTGACCGCCCATTTCCCATCGAGTCAACACCAATCACATCATCGCCGATCGATTCGAGGCTGAGGGCGGATCCGCAAAGCCCATTGTTGGTTTGGCAGTTAGTCCGATTCATCTCCGACTTGCAAGGGGTACGATTTGGGGAAGCACTTGGCACGCCAACGGCTGGTTGGCTGATTGGTTGAAGACTCTCATTAAATAAGTCTCCGACATGCAAAGGGGGGGGGGGGCGGGAACATCCATTTTCCCTCTCTGGTAGTTATTTACATCTTGCGCCGCTGCACGGAGTCGAGAACGCCTCTCGTAAATCCCCATAGAGTGACTGACGTGTCAACGCTATTAAACGCTGTTTTTCACGCGCGTACGTCTACGATTGGACCTCGGTGACTCAAAGACCTGAGGCGCTATTGTGTGTACGGTGCCAAGACAAAAGAGGCGCACGATAGGAAAAAGCACAAAAGGTATCGATTGAGTATAGAAGAGATTTGATGACGTATCAATAAGTAAAAGATTATATTTGGCAATCTAATGAAAACAATAAAGCAGGCCATTCTGCTGTCCGCTGAGAGGGAATATATCGCCGAGTTGGATTGGTGAAGAGTGTCAAAAGAAAAAAGGCGACAGAAGGAAAAAGTCCGCTATACTCCACGCCCATCTACCCCATCAACCCCGGTCCCCCAACTACAACTCATCCATCATCATCAAGTCATCCAAATCATCCTCCATGCTCTGAAAGAAATCCTGCCGCTGCCGCTGCCGCTGATCTACCGGCGTCGGCCCGCGGTGGTACGGCGATACGTACGCCCCGCCGCTGCCCGTGTTGCCGGCCACGTCGTCGGCCAGCAGCCTCGCCACATTTTTGCCCATTAGCGCGCTCGTCTCCATGGTCGAGATGAAACTCTCTATGCCTGACGTGTAGTAGACGCCGTTGCCCACGACCGGGTCCTGAAATGTTACCCGGGGATGTTCCACCGGGTACGGGTGAAACATTTGCTGATAATACCACGTCACCTTTTTCGGTTCCGCGCCGCCGCCGCCGCCCGTCCCCTGCTCTACTCTCTCCTCATCGCCGTGCTTGTCTTTCCAGTCGCTGTCAAGAAAACTGTCAAGCAGCGCGGGCGCCACCTCCTCGGGAGCAAAGAGCTTGTATAGGTACTCTGTTTGCCGCGTCGCCGGGTTGACCACGGTACGCAGGGTGCTCAGCGAAAAGAAGCCCACGTCGCCGACAACATTGTCCGGATCCGCCACGGCGCCCGCCTTGAGCGTCGTGTAGACGTTGCTCGGGGGCGTGTCCCCGCGCGGCAGCCCAAACATGTCGGTGCGCAGCCTGTACGGTGACGTGAACAGCGACACGTGTAGCTCCTTATAGGGGATCTCGTCGATTTTGTGCGTGATGATACCGCGGCCCGCAGAGATGTTGCTGTACTGCCAGGGCGTGGCAATAATGATGTCGTCAAAGGCTGTGCGAACGGTCTGACTGCCGCCGGCGACCGAGATGGCATACTTTTTCAGAGCGCGCGCGACGCTGTTGGGGCCCTCGGGCTTAAAGTTGATGGCTTCGACCGTGGTGTTGCGGTAGAATGTGGCGCCGCTGGCCGCAAGCATCTTGTCAAAGATTTGCCAGTTGCCTCCGCGGACGGCCACGGCGCCATCCGTCGCAAACGAGACCATGGTTTCCAGTCCGTGAATGTGCGCCAGGTTGGAGGCGTAGTTGACGCGCGTTGCCGGCTGCAGGATGTGGCGGCAAAAGTCGTCATTGATCTTGTTGTCGGCGAGGAACTGCGCGCCGGTGACGCCGGTGACGCGCTCGAGGCCGAGCTCGTAGGCGCGCTGGGTGAGGGAGCGAAAGGGGAAAAACGGCGGGTCGTAGAGCTTGAGAAAGGTGTTGACCACCGTCTTGACGAGGCTGACGGCGCGGTAGGGGCTCATGCCGTAGCGCCACCACATGCGCACAGCTTCCCACCACCAGGAGCTGCCGTCGTTGGTCGTCTCAAAGACAATGCTCTCGCCGTCCCAGATAATGGTGCGGTCGCCCCTGCGCTCGGGCACGGGGTCGACGAGCGTCAGATTGAAGAGTAAGGCGGCGTCGTGCATTATACGGTTGGCGGTGACGAAGATGGAGGCGCCAAGCTCAACGGGCAGCGCGCCTGATGTCGAGTCGTTGTAGGGATGCACGGTGAGCGTGCGGCCGCCGACGCGGGGCATCTTTTCAAAGATTGTGATGTTGATGGGGAGGTGCTCGTCGCGGGCGTATTGACCGAGATGGTAAGCGGCAGATGCGCCAGCCGCTCCGGCTCCTGTGATGAAGAGTGCATGTCAGCCACAACATCTTTTTCTGTTTTGTTGTCGTCGACATGGTGAACGATGGGGAAGGTCGTCACTGTCACATGCTAGGTGGCATGGCGATTGAGGGTGCTTAGAGATCCAACGTTGACAGACAGACATGCACATGATGGCATGATTAAACGTACCTATGATGGCCACATTTCGCACAGATTCACGGGTGCGAGTTTTGGCCGGCGGCGTCGCATCCAGCGCGCCGACGAGGCCGGCGACGACAACGAACCAGTAGGGTAATGCAGGGACCATCGTTGGACAGTGTGTATGCGGAATAACGGGCAAGAGAAAAAAAGGGAGAAAAAGAAAGAAGAGAAAACGAAGAAGAAGGACAAGTGCGACGCTTCCTTGCAGCGCCGAGTAGAGGAACTTTGTGGGCTAAAGCCGCTGCATAGCGAGAGGGGTTGAGCAGCAATAGTAAATGGAAGAATACAAAGAGAAGAATGGTGTTTTAGAAAAGACGGGGAAAACGGAAACAAGAGTGTGCGAGCGTGTCTCAATGTATCCACCCTACCTAATAATAGCCTAATAGGATTCAATAATACCTGCTCTACCTTAAAAAAAAAATTTGTTGCCTGTTTGCGTGTATTTATCCCGAGAACTCTAAATAATTCCCGGTTGCCTACTTGCCATAATTGAGACAACAAGTCTGGAAGTGGGCTTGGCTCCCGTCTTTCCTTGATTCTTGCACCAAACCTGGCCAAGCAAGACGGAAATTTTGTCGGATTCCGTCAAGACAGACTCGCCTCCCATCATGCAACGCGGCAGCACAGCCTAACTAGGCACACTAGGCCACTGACCAGTGAAATGGCGCATCCGAGCACCTTGCAGAGGCGCAAACTTTCGGGCAGCCGTCGTCCCGTCGCCTCACCAACGCGTTGACCATAACCCGTCAGCAAAAAAAGAACAATAGCTAACTTCATCACACTCAAGACTCGACGAGTCGACGACCCAACTCCCCAAAATCATCATGCCTAAATCGGGCGCATCACCAACTATGTAGCTCCCTTCCCCCCACCCCCAATCCGGTTCCGTCCGCCCGCCCGCGCACAAGCCTCAGCCCAAGCCACCCGCTGCTTTCAGTTTGCGACATCACACACCATCCATCACATTACACTACACACTTCCAAAAGAGGTATCAAGTACTCTTATCCGTACAATTTCGACTTCTATCAAGCAGTAGACTCTGATCGTCTTGCACTCCTAAGCTATCCATTCTTTGTGCCTTGCGTTTCTCCCTCATTCTTTGCGCTAATAATAACAACACACTCAACACTTGTGCTTGGCTGCCTTAACAAAGGCCGACCTTGGGGGAATCTTGAGGAAAACAAGGACCTACAATCCGGCCAAGGATAATAAAAAACACAACTTTGAATGCGCCCAGTAAACTCCTTGCTAGTTCCCAAATGCCAAAATTTCTCAAAATTTCCAGATCCAATGTATCGACAGGTTGCGGCCGGCCATGCAAGCGAATAGCAATGCCGCGCCCACCTTGTTTTGTAAATCAAAATTCGTAAACGCTTATCCAAACTCGCAAATTGCGTCATCGCTTTAATGCAAACATGTCTTTCTCTTCTCTTCTCTTACCCTCTTCTTCTCTTCTTTCACTTGCTGCTCTTTCATCTCTGCTCACTCCTCATCGTCTTCACTGCTGCTAGACGCGCTCTTGGTTCGCCCTCTTGGCGTTCCCGCAGCAGCCACTGAACTTCCAATCGACTGCCGAGCGATTCGGTCCAGCGGATTCATCTCTGGCACCTCATCACGCGGCTGGTCATACATCTTTTCCGCTCCAGATTCATCGTCGGGATCATCTCCCTCCTCATCACCGCTACTCAGATCCACTCCGTCCGGGTAGTCGTCTGACTGCTCAAGACCTCTGCGACTCGCAAGACCCTCCGAAATCAACGGCATCGATTGAGACGCCAGATCCGAGTCCGAGAAATCATCATAATCGCATGAATCGTCACTACTAAACGGTGGGAAGAAGATGACGGGTGGCGGCAGCGGCACTGGTGCCAGTCTCTTGATCCGCCCCGACGTGTATTCAATCTCTACACCAGGTGAGCTACATCGCGACGGAAGTCTCGATTGCTGAGCTGCTGGCGACGATGTCGACATTACCGCCAAACGAACGATGATGTTGTCGGTTGCTGCGGTCCAGCTGCCTTCATTGTACTTGGCAATAGCGCCTGGTGCATCCTCCTTCGGCCGCTTAGTAGTAACTACCACCATAAAGTGGTCGTCTGGTAAAACACCACCCAATCCACAAGGCTCCAAGGGGTGAACCTCGAGGTATTGAGCCTCATTGGACCAACCAAAATCCATGGACTCGGCCTCGCTGGTCTCGTCGTCAGATTTCGTGGCGAAACCGGGTGGTTCCTCCTCGTCATCTGTTTTCATGGCTATATCCGAGGAATCAAAAGGTATCGGGTGGCTGAGCGGCCGAATACCAATGTTCGACCCCGATGGGGATCTGTACAGCGGTCGGTGTGATTCCTGTAGACCTTGAGGAGCACACTGTCCGCTTGACATCATGTACGTCGTTGGTGAGGCATCCCCGGGGTCGCCAGACAAATCAGTGCAGAAAGGCGCACCGCTGTAATAAATGACAGCACCATCATGGCGGCGCTTCTTTCGATTCCATGAGCCCGAGCCACTGAGATTGTATCTCGACTCGCCGAGATTGCTATCTTCGACCGGGCCAAACGACGACAGCGTGTCGTCGAACGAGGTGATGCCGTTTGGAGAGTCCTGCCGAACAAAGAGTGGCTTATAGTGAAAATTATCCGACGTGGCAGAGACCTGAGGACCAAATTTGGAGTTGTCCTTGCTTGAACTGCCTGAGTCACTAATCTTTTGTCGTTTGCGCTTCGACTTCTGCGATTCTTTCAAGCCGCTGCTCAAAGGCTCGCTCTCCTGAGAACTTTCGGCAGAGTTATCACGCGTGAGTATGGTACCCTCTGAGCCGCCACGCCATCGAATCTTGCGACCGTCTGGCGACAGCTGAAATTTGGTGCTCAGTTCAGAGACCGCAGCCCGAACAAAATCGGGAGTGACGTTGATCATGTGCAGCTGCGCCAAATTGCAGAGCAGGTTCAGGTACACCCAGCCCTCGGCATCTGGTGACACGTCTGGAGCTTCCTGGGTGGCATCGGGGAGAAGTTCAGGAGGGACCAAACCCAAATGTCGAATGTACTCCATATTGTCAGCAGGAATTTGGGCACGGTCAGGGTCGAGGTCATTCGGTCGAGTCGGTCGCTGTTCCGGGAGCGATGACTCTTGTGGAGAGCTGTTGTGTCTGCTGCCGTTGCCCGTGGATTCTGTCTGATCTCCGTTTGAGTTCGAGATCGAACCATTATCCCGCGATCGGCTCTTTTTACTCGAACCCCCGGGAGGGAGGATTCGTGCCTCACGAGCGGGCTCTGATTTGCCAGTTGTTTGCTGCGATTGCGCAGAAGCAGATTGTGCGAGCTTCGCGGCTTCCGAGGTGAGTGTAGGGATGGAAGATTGAGCCAACGAGGCAGAAGGAGGGGTAGGTTGAGGGACAATGTGCATAGGCAACTGCCGACGAGCTTGACGGCCGTTGATCTTTCCGGTAAAAAGGTGCTCAAGCCGACGAACAACAACCTTTTTCCTATCCTTGTCCGTCATAGCCACATGTTTTGGGTACAGGCCTTCGGGGATGTCTCGAAGATAGCTCTCGACTTTTTGTTCAGATGATCTGATGCCATTGAGTTTGCTGGTGTGACGGCCAATGGATACGCCTGCAGAATTGGCGCCCGTTGACATTGAGGCATAGGCCGAGTCAATTGGGCGCATGTTGGAACCAGATGAAGAAGAGGCATGTTTGGAGCCGGAGCCGAAACGCAGCTGGCCAAATGATGACTTCTTTTGCTGTGATGAGGACTCGGTGGAAGAAGTTTCCAACGTGGCTGCGAATTCGCGAAGAGTCGTCTCGAGTTCGCGCTTCTTGCGTTTGGGCAAACCGTGGAATTTGATTTCAAAGAGCTGGTCTTTGCGCAACGTGTCCGGGCCGCGTTGCTTGTGACGTTTCAGCTCGTCCTTGAGTTTCTGAATCTCAACTGTCAAATCGTCAATGACGCTGCGATAGTCGTCGGCACTGCTGCTTTGCGTTTCTTGATGTCGTGGTTGAAGGTGGGGAGGAATGGCTCGATTCTTGTAGCCAATGGCGTCTTCGGTAGAAGATTCAGAGCTCTTTTGGAAGAATGGAGGGTCGACTAAGGGTTACCGTCAAGTTAGCAGATATTTCAAGACCAACGGGTTTCTTCTCGCGGTGGTTGTCGGGCATACCATCCATGATATTGGAGTCGAATGTTGCGGACGGGTTTTGGTTCGAGCTATCGAACCATTTCTTGGGATCGCTTTGGCCCGTTTGATGACTGTTGCCAGACGAGTTTCGCCGCGGGGTGGAAGCGACGCCGCTGGGGTTAGAACGTGCGGAGCCAGGACTAGCGCGGAGCGAGGCATCGCGGGCGAATCCGTGATTTTGTAGCGTAAGAGAATTGGCGGCCAAAACCCTGCGAGGGTTCGAAAATGGTGGAACGGCGCTGCCAGTGTTTATCTGCGTCTTGGGCATCGTTGGAGATGGCATCCGAAAATGATTTAACAAAGAGAAGAAATTCAAGAGAGTGTGAGCATGAGCATGGTTCGATTTTGCGACGGGTTTCGATGGAGACGCTGTACGGAGCGCGAACCACAGAAAGCAAGCAAGGGTCCAAGGAAAGAAAAAAAGTGACGTCGCCGGTCGTCAGTGGCGGAGCTGAGCCCGTTCTCGTTAGAGAAATATTTCTGGTTACAGCAATAAGATACAGGTTAGCTTGGCTGGGCTGAATTGCTGTAGCGAAAAAATGTGGTAAGGGTAGAGTGGGCCAAGGTGGTATTGCAGGCGGACATGATTGGATAAGTGATAAAGCGATCGCGATCGCTGGCAGTATTGATGAAGGACCGCAAGCAGCACACCTGACGAGGCGTTGCAGGGCAAATATTAACTCACTTGGTAAAGACGGCTCCTGTGTAGTGTACTGTAGATGGTTCTGGAAACAATGAGAAGGATGGCGACCAACAGGCAGGAGAGTATGACCGGTATCTTGCTGTTGCCGGATTGAGGATATAATTATTTGGTGAATGATGTGGATTCGACAACGTCCGTTTTATTCGATGACGGCAAGCAAATGACCACGTATTTGTCCAATGACGGCGGTCTCGTTTGTCGATGTGCAGGAGGCACCAGATGGCACCGTCGTAAGAGCGACGCACAGGCGGCCGAGAAAGGCCGGATCAAATGATTGTAAAAAAAAAAAAAAAAAAAGAATGACAACAGCTAACCCGAATGATTTGTGGCTGTCGGTAGACAATGAAGTCAACAGCGGCAAATCAGTGGAAGAGCGTTGGCTTGTTGCTGTCGCAAATGGGAGGAAATTGTCGGGCACTGGTGTGGCGGGCGGGCGCTGTTGAAGGTTCAGCAGGCTGGTTGAAGCCGGGTGTGGTTTCGGCGTCGGAAGATATCGTCTGTACGAGTTTCGACGTTGCGTAAAAGGTTGAGAAGTCGGCAAAACTAACGCTTGGTGGTTTGTGTTTGTGGAGAGATGGTTTGTAAAGCAGAAAAAGAGGAAGCGAGTAGAAGAACGCCTCCGTCAGGGAAGTTGTCGAGAGGGCAGGCTTTGTGCGACTTGGTGTGACCCACTGGCCGGTGGTCGACGCTGAACAGGAGTGAGTCCAGACAATGTGCAATCGAGACCCTTGAGTATGACTGGGTAGGTAGTGCGACTATGGCGGCAGGGTGTGCCGAGTAACAACCCATCCGATGTATATAATTCAAATCACTAGGTAGAGGGCCGCAGGCAGGCAAGAGAAAATGCACAACTGTAGCTGAGAGGAGCCAAGTTTGTGGGTGACTTTTTGTGGTTTATTAGTGGGCTCAGTGGGTGTCAAGCGGTCGGCACTGGAAAAAGTCATTGATAGGTACCTAGGTACGGATTAGAGCGGCAAAATTACTCCATTTACCCCTACCATTCAGTATCATAGTCATGTACCTAACATTTGGCTTGGAACAGGATTTCCTACGTTTTGGTGATGAAGGTGACAGGTAACGACAGCGGCAGGCTGGACCTCGTCCATGCCAAGCATGGTCGGCTGCTCAACCAACGTCTCGGCAGACGGTTGTGGGATTCCAGGTACCGACAGGTCTTGCCAGAGAGGTGAGTACCTAGGTAGGTATCTAAGTACCTATGGTTGTTGTGCATCGCAGCGCTAAATACTGCCACGCCCACTGAACCAAAGCCAGTTCTTCGCTGTCGGCACTGTGCGTGGCGCTCAACCGATGCGCAAAAAATCATACAAAATCAGCGATGCACAGTGTCGACTTGTAATCAAACACTGTACGGAGTATTCTCCGATGCTCTACACTATTTGTTCGATCACTGCGATCAAACAACCACTACGGATACAAGACAAGGTATGGGGTTGGTCGCCATGTAATCCATACTCAAGATTGCGATTGAATGACGACGTTGTTTTGCGACGCACATTACAGGCTACATGAGTAATCTCTCTTGCCTCTCTGCTCATCCTTACCTTCATCGTCGTCGCTTCATAGGCCGTGGCACGTTGGCATGCTAAGATGCTGTTACTCGTACCTCCGTGCATGCGCCTCCAGGCTCAGCTGGGCGGCTTCTCCGGAAACGCGCACAAATAAAAGGCCGCCGTAGCTTGCATTTCTTCTGGGGAATGAGTGATCAGCCCTTTGTCAGTTATTACCAGTATGTATGTGCCGCTTCCTGCCTCCAGACAAGCGTTATTGGTAGTGGGTGTCGCGGCGCGTGGCCACTGAGATCGGGGCTTTGGCCTGTCATCGCGCGAAAATGTCGGAGTAAAACATCCAGGCGTTGGCAAGTATTAACAGGGTTCGTCAAATGACACTAGAGAAGAAGGGATCATGGGGCTCGATTTCGCCGGATATCTTGGGAATTATTTAGATAACGCACGCATCACCCTTGATACGAAAGCGATAGATGTATGAATGTCTTCCCTTGCTGCCACTGCAAATCGTCATGTCATGACATGACGCGACCTCTACAAGTGCTTTTGCAGCATGGGTTCAGCACCAGCCACACTAAAGTCACGCCCTTTCCTCCAGCCACGCCATCAGAAGCCCCGCAGACTCCACAGGGGTCTTTGACCCAGCTCTCGATCTGTGAGCTCTGCAGCTATTGCTTCAATCGAGGGGGCAAATTTACGAATGACTTGGGAGAAGATGGGTAGGGCATGTGCAATGCCCAAAATGAGGGGCGACATTGTTGAACTGCCCTACGAAGTTATCCGTATTGTTCTTGGGCTCTTTTGGCCGCTAACGGCGGCGAATAGCCCCGGACCGGCTCTCGATGCCCAGTTTCGCTTCTCCCTCCCGAGATCTTGAACGATTGTAGCCCGTCCAGCTTTGCCACTGTCGCGTCAAACACTTTGTACGCGCCCGAACTGGCCGAGTTTTGTATCCCCCACCAGTTTGTATTTTGCCTCGTCTCTCCAATTATCATACTAGAAGTTTCCTTTGACGACACCCAGCCGCATTAGACCCCACACCAGATGCCTGCCGATCAGGGTATCATGCAACTCTCGTGGCCCCACAGTGACCTTCTACCAACGTCCAAGAAATCATCAAGATTTACAAAGCATTTGGACTTTCATACCACTGAAGCGCGGCAGCCAAGCTAATGCTCTAAACTAAATAGATGACAACGGCGAACAGCAGGCTCCACCACGGCCTTGTTCCCGACACAAGTCACACACGCAAACACGATTCTTCAATGAGATCAAAACCCGTAGTGTCAAACAAATTTCACCCGCATACCCGGTAGTTCACTTTGAACTACGGAGCACAAGTTCTCGTACAAAAACGTCCCGCATCTCGATAACCCCATCTCGATGGCGCGGCACGGCGGTCTAACTTGTCTGCTTTCCATGTCAACGCATCATGGTGTTGTCATGCACCCGTAGAGACTCGATACGCCACTACCCTTCTGCAACTGTAGTAATAAATAAACACTGGCACCATGCAGGAACGTTCCATCTCGGTCTTTTTGACACATTTGGTATTCTCAGTGCGCAAATGAGCGTCCTTCAAGCTACCCTCCCACCAGCCCGTCTCTTGCGTCCTCGCCTCGCCGTCACCCTCGCTAAAATGTCAACCACCTCGGCCGCCTCGGCCACCGCGCCCGGCGCCCAGTTCGAGCACCGTCAAACATTCACCTCTTCCGATTTCACCCCGAATCCGTCCGAGTCCCTTCCCCTTTCCCCCGCCCGCCAGCGCCTCGTCGACGACATTCTCGCGCTGTATTCGTGCCGCCCCACCGTCGCGCGCATCGAGCGCTACACACCCGACGCCGTCTACGACGATCAGTTCGGCTACGCCGATAACCGCTATAAGATTGCCGCCCAGTGGTTTGGCCTCCCGAAAATATTCAACGCCAGCGAGAATGCCGGTTATCAAGTCGTTCGCGACGAGCCAAGTCTCATCCAGTTTAAGAGCAGTCAGAAGTGGACGTTTCCCGTTGTGCCCAAGACGGCGACGCTCAACTCAATGATTTCGCTCAGCCTTGATCCCGCGACGGCAGACTCGGATTTCATACGAATCAAGTACCACAAGGATCAGGCGAATGAGAAAGATTATACCCATGCGGGTATAGGGTTCAATCTAAGAAAGTGGCAAGCGGACCAGCTGCCCAAGTATCTCAACGCAGAGGAGCTTAAGCACTTCGAGGCGGATAAAAATGTGCCCCCTCAAAAACCGATGGAACCGTGATAAGTCAGAGATAACAAGTCATTTATGAGATTAAGATGTAAAACACCAGTTGTCACTTTTAGTAAACACATCCTGAGTCGCACTTGAGGAGTTCTTCAGTTCTTCTATAGCTTTTGTCTATCAATTCATTCTATACCATGTCAACTTTTCATGTTCTGCTCTTCGATAATTCACCCACAACACGCCCAACTCCCTGCTCTCCCAACAACCACGCGTTCAATCACAATCACAATCACAATCATCATCATCTCGCTATCATCGTCATCATCATCACATTTAAGAGGCGCTGCGCTTGAGGTCCTTATCCAAAAGAGACTCGCCAGTCATCTCCTCGGGCTGAGGTAGACCCATGGCCGCCAGAATGGTCGGAGCCACGTCACCGAGGACACCGCCGCTCTTGCGCAAGCTCCAACCCTCGGGGGCATTGGCCATCAGGAACGGCACCTTGTTGGTGGTGTGGCTCGTCTTGGGCTTGCCGTCGGCGAACTTCATCTCCTCGGCATTGCCGTGGTCGGCGGTGACAAAGAGAATGTAGCCATTCTTCTTGCAGCCCTCGAGAATCTTGCCAATACCCTTGTCTGTAGCCTCACAGCCAATAATGGCCGCGTCGTAGACACCGGTGTGACCAACCATGTCGGGAGGAGCAAAGTTGTTCATGACAAAGGGGAAGCGACCTTCGCCCATGCGCTTGACAACTTGGTCGGCGACACCATCTGCCGACATCTCGGGGGCGAGATCATAGGTAGCAACGGCTTTGTTGGAGGGAACCAGATCCTGGCTCTGGTCACGCTCCTCGAGAGGGAACACCTTCTCAACACCACCGTTGAAGAAAAAGGTAACGTGAGCATACTTTTCCGTCTCGGCAATGTGGACCTGCTCGACGTTTTGTTTGCCAAGCCACTCAGCAAGGACATTGTCCATGCGCTGTGGTTCAAAGGCAACATCAAAGGGATAGTCGGTCTTGTACATGGTCATAGTGACAAGCTTGTTGATCTTGGGGTAGGGGAAGTCGGGGAGGACAGATCGGTCAACGTCGCCAAGAAGCTGCGTGATCTGGCGAGCACGATCAGATCGGTAGTTGAAGAAGAAAACGGTGTCATCGTCTATGACGGTTAGCTGGGGCAATCAAAACATTTACATGGTAACGTACCCTTGATGCGAGCATTGTCGCCTCCAACGATGATGGGGGTGAGAAACTCGTCCTTGTCCTTGGAGCCACCCTTCTCGTAGCGGCCCTTGAGGGTAGCGACGGGGTCATCACTCTCCTCGCCCTCACCGAGGCACAGACCCTTGAGGGCAACCTCGACGCGGTCCCAACGCTTGTCGCGGTCCATGGCGTAGTAGCGGCCGACGACAGTGGCAATCTGGCCAATGCCAACCTCCTTCAAGTAGTCGACGAGTTCTTGCATGTAGCCGGCGCCAGACTTGGGGTCAGTATCGCGGCCGTCACCAAAGAAGTGGATAAACACCTCCTTGACCTCGTACTTTTTAGCGGCCCTCAGGAGAGCGTACAGGTGAGTCTGCTTCGAGTGCTGTGCTTCGGGTCAGAACACTCCGTTCGAGCCTTTTTTTACGCCGGGACCTCCGACTTACAACACCACCGTGGGAAACAAGACCGCAAAGATGCAGGCGGCCATTGCCCTTGGCAGCACCCTCAAAAGTCTTCTTGATGACGGCATTGTCGTTGAGCTCGTCCTTTTTAATTGTCTGATCGATGCGCACAACGTCCTGCCAGACAACGCGGCCGGCACCGAGGTTGAGATGGCCGACTTCGGAGTTTCCCATGAGGCCCTCAGGCAGGCCGACGGCAAGCGACGAAGCCTCAAGCTCGGTGTAGCCAGTGGCGCTCTTGTAAAGCTCGTCCATCACCGGGGTTTTGGCATTGGTGATGGCATCGCCGTCCTTGGGGCTCTCCTCTGAGGGAATGCCCCAACCGTCAATGACGACTGTTTGCGCGGAGAAGGAACATGATTAGCCAGGCGACTTCAGCGTAAAGAAGAATATAGCAGCAAACGAGCACCATGTCCAGCCGTTGCCTGGCGGCGATGCGCGGCTCTGCCCGCGGGGCAGCCATGGCGGGCATGGACTTGGAGCGCGGTCGAGGTAATGATCTAATCATAGATGCGGCCTGATGGTGCTCGCGCTCACAATACAGGTGGTGGTGATGATGCCGGTCCGTCGCGACGGTGACGATGGCGGGGCAAGGTTGATGAATTGGAGGGGTTGCTTGAGAAGGGAGAAGGGCAACGTACTGAGACAGGCCTTTTGTTCTGTCTTGACAGGGGTAGACATGTTGAACAGCGGCAGATGGGTAGATTTTTCAATTGAGAGGAACAAATAGCAGCGTAAAGATGCTATTCGAAGGAATCGATCCGGGAAAGGAAAAGAGGAAGAGTTGCTGGGCAGCAAGTGAAGTTGCTTATCTGCGTGATTTCACTCCATCGGTTTATCGCTGGAGCTACCTTAAAAGCTCCGCTGCTAGTAATACAGTGCGCTGACTCGGGCGCAGGAAATACCGTGTAAACGCTCGTGAAAAACACAGTACACATAGCGTTGGTAGGAGTAGCAGACAATTGTGAGCCAAATGAACTTCTTCTGTAATGGCTTTACCTAGTCACTTATAGTACTTCTCTTTTCATTCTGAATGACCCTTTTGCTGAAAATCCTGTCCTCCCTGTTTTACATAGACAGCGTCTTTACTTTTTACCCTCTTACCGCCGCGACAGCCCGCACTGTCCAATGAACACTGTGCGCTAGCCACCCAGCAAACAGCTGATTTGAAGCTCTTCCCGCCTCATCAAACCACCCAAAGATCCAACAACCAGATACGACGCCCCTCCCCCCCCTGAAAACCATGGCCTCTGACGTGCCATCTTTGGCCCTGCCGCCGACCCTCTCGCCCGACAGCCTCGACGCCCTCTCTGAGCTTGCCATCGTGCTTGCCAAGGTCCGCACCAGCATCCAGTCTTCGGCCGGCCTCGCGACCGCGGCCACGCCCGGCACCGCCGCTGTCGCCGCGGCCAGCGGTGGCCAGCCGCTTTCCTTCAAAGACGTCCCTGGCGCGACGGATGCGCTCAAACACAAACTGCAGCACGCCCGCGCAGAGGTCCGCGCCCTCCCCGACATGGACCGCGGCGTCGACGAGCAGCGCCGCGAAATGGCGGAGCTCGAGGCGCGCATCATCACGCAGCGCGCCCTGCTGGAGCGGCTGCGCGACGACGGTCTGCGCTTCGGCAAGGACGGCGACAAGATGGAGGAGTAGTCAATGTGCTACTCACGGCTTGGGGAAATGCATCAGATCATATACTTTGCATGGCAACGGCGTTATAGATGGAATTTTCTGGGGAGGCCTCGATTGAGAACTGATTATAGGGTGCTCGACGAGCTCTGGTTACGAAAAATGACAACAAGTTATGAATTACAAGTTCTCGATGCTGTTCGACAAGGGATCATCGCGGTGAAATGCCAACCTTGGCCAAGGTCTCAACGACACTTGCACCAGGCCGTCCCGGCACGACCTTTGTCCAGATTTCGTCGCTCAAAATCTGCGCCTCGCTCATTGTTGTCCAGTTAGGACTGTGGCCGGCCTTGAGCCACTTGAAGTCGTCGACCTGGTCCCACTGGTTCTCTGCGGCTTTGTCCGATTCCGTCATCTAGCCTGTCGTTAGTCGCTTCGTCAGCCCGTAATGCTTGTCTCGGGCACTCACATAGCATGCCGGGAGGGGAGCAAATCGCATCCCGGAGCAGTCTTCAATGATAGGATGGCTCGTGCAGTGCAGGTAAATGTCGACATTCTTGCAGTCGTGAATCCGCACCTGATGCGCCACCAGCACCAGGATGCTGTCGCTGATACCCGTGATGTGAACCGGGCCCGCCACCCTGCCGGCCACAATCAAGCTCTTCTTGATGTCGCGCATCGCCAGCCCCGGGAAAGCGTGGCCCTCCGATGTGGGTATCGACATGTCCACGATGCAGCCCGTCAGATTAATCAAGCTGCCCGACGCCGTGGCCATGGCCGCCGATGAGGGCAGGATAATGTGCAACCCCGTCTGGTGCGAGATTCCAATGGTCCTTGCTGCGGAGAAACTAGGCTTGCGGATCGCGGACGCACTAGGTCTCGACAGCTCCGCGTTGTAGTCTCTCTCAGAGGGCAACTCCTTCAACTCATCATCGGCCTCATCACCGAGCTTCGGCGTGCCAGGCGCAGCAGTAGGCTGGTGCTGGTTTCGTGAGAAACTGCCCGAAAGCAGGCGGGGGTCGTTCTCCGGAGCCCCCATGTCGACATGCTTTGCTGTGCGCTTGAATTGGAACCGAGACTTGGGCGCCAGCGCGGCTGTAGTATCGCTAAGCTTCTCTTGAAGCCCTTTTATCGTCTAGTATACCATGATGTCAGTTCTGACTATCAAGCTCAATGACAAAACATATTTTATGAGTTACCTCGGAATATTGCTTGCGATCATACGCTGGAGTGGTGTCAGCGACATCAGCCACTTCATTCTGAATCTTTGAAATCCCCGCAAGAATGTGATCGATGGCTTCCTGACGTTCTCCTGCCACAGTAGAGATGGATTTCAGCTCCTCAATTTGGTCCTGAAGAACTGCATGTGAGGGCGGCCGATTAGCGTCTCCCGCGTTTGACCAAGTGAAGGGTTACCTACCAGCGACATGGTCGAGGAAAGACCTGTGGAAGCGCTGCTTAGGATCCGTACCGGTCGACATGGCAAAAAAAGAAGATGACTTGTTTGCTGTGTCACGGAAGCAATCGGCTTGCAAGGATCAGCAATAGCACAGATTCGAGCTGGTTCGTGTTAGCAGCAGAGGCAACAGCAGCAGGTACGCAGAGTAGCGTCGCAGTCTGTCACATAGGTGAAATATGACGAGCCAATACCGAAAGGCCAGTTAGATAAGAGATGAACAAGCAAAGAATGAGAAGATAGTGATGAGATTCGCTAGGGAATATTGACAAGAACAAGTTGAAGCTCACCACTCGAGGTCGCGAGACAAAACCCCACCTTTTGGGTTGGGCATGCCCCTCCTTTTTGAAGTTGCTTCTGATGTAGCTGCCCTGCAAAATCCAAAGCCAGCTAAAGCTTCCGACATGCTATGTTGTCTAAAGTATCGATTAGGCAACGTCAAATCGGCATTGGGCAGCGTCGTACGAGCTTGATAGTTCAATGCGTGCATGATCTACAGTCATGTGCGCAGGTAGCAAAGCAGCCGTGCAGTCTATCTACAGCTGCCAGAGATCTATGAGCATCAAGACAGGTGCGCTTGCGGACTTCCAACCTCTTTCTATTATTTTATATTAATCAGTACCTTCATGTACATTAATTCGGTACTATTCGGCCATTCACACCTCCTCGCCTGCCGCCACCGTTTGTCAAGGGTGGTATGTTTGGGAGCTGAAATGGCTTCTTCTGTGGTATCTGCGCATTGAGCGCCCGCCACATCTCCCACATGGTAGCTCGCCGGGCCGGTAGCATGCTGTATTGAAGACTGTACAGGTTGCGCCGGTTGATGGGCGGCACAAATTGTCCCGTCAAAAGACACAGAAATACGCGCGGAGAGAGGTAGTGTTTGCGGATTCGCTCGGCCATCTGAAAGTATTGATCGAACATGGCCTTGAAAGACAGAGGCACAGACTGCGATAGCTTGTGTTAAGACTGGACGTCAAGTGATGTGACAATGACGAACCTTGAGATAGATGACCGAGGTGGGAGGTTCATTAACATTAAGGTTGAGGGGTCTATTATGGTGGGCATCCCGCAGTTCGAATCGGATGCCGCCTAGGTAATCGATTAGCAGGCGCTGCGTGTGTCAAATCTAATTGCCTTACCGGGTAGTCGCCTAGAGTCCTTGACTCGCAGCATAAGAGCGAATAATGGAAAGTGATTGAGACAAGAAAGTAATGTATCGAATCCTGCTTTCATCGAGATAATCATCATGCGAGCGATTGCGAAATTGATGTAAAAAACGCCGACAGTTGGCAGCAAGAACGACAGTAGTGTGAACAAAATGGTGCCGACAAGGAGTTGGTCGAGATCATAGTCGCAAGAATCGATACGGTTACGTAGGACATTGTGCTTCTTTCCACGGAAGAGATGGAACAGCGATTGCAAGATTGTCAGCTGCCAGTGGTAGATACGAGCTGACGCGAGATAAAAGGAGTAGATGTGGACTGTCAGGGCTGAGAGCAGATCCGAAAGCATTGCTAGGGGCATACTGGCGCCTGCAAAAGATGAAAAGCCAATAAACCAGACCAGCTTAGGTAAAGCTGGAGCGAGTGCATCGATGCAGTCTGGAATAGGATATAAGCAACCGTGAAAAACAGGATTTCTTGCCGTCAACTTACTCGACCAGTATGTGATCACCCAAAGAAAGAGCGCGCCCAAAAAGCTCGCCAACTCACCATTGAGCTTGAGACCGGCGGGCCACCCCATGAGCCAAGAAATACTACTCTGCAACGCATCTACAGTATAGACGCGCAGCAAATCATTTACCTTGGCTGACACCCAATCCGCATTTTCTATGATGTAGGATCCGATAGCAATGCCGATAATCACATCATTCGCAACGAGCCAAAGACTGTTGTAAAAGCGAATGTAATCCGGGTGGCTCGTGTTTACACTGGCCCAGTCCATTTTGCGTTGCCGAAGCGTAATGTACTGCATGGGCCAATAGCAAAACTGCAGCAAGCGAATTTCAATCTGCTGTGCCGTGGCGGACACATCCTTCAATGCTGCGTACCCGGGCTTAATGCGAAACTCAAGGACTAAGAGGAGCATCTCTGCCAAAGCTCGGTGTAAAAAAAGTAGCATCACGAATCCTTTTCGAATGAAGGGGAATATGTAGATGACGAAAGCAATCCACAACTGCATAAGAATGTAGTTGCGCATCGCCGTCGTAGACTCGACAACCCGCTCCGACACGCTAAGACCTCGCTTGGGGCGCGGACCAAGCTTGCCTACGTTCTTTTGCAGAGTCTGCTCGAGCTCCCAGGACCAATTGACTTGATGAACAACTTTTTCGAGTGCCTTGTCTCGGGCGGACGCAGACCGAATAATGATAGAGTGCTGCTTGAGCTTGTTGACCAACTTGAGCTTGGCTTCCTGATGTTGCCTCTCGCGGCGTTCCTCCTCGCCTTCTGACCCGTCACCTTTACCATCATCGGAGGCGTACCATTTATCGCCAAGAGCGAGAGAGATTGGATTGAGTGAAATGTATTGCATGCCTTTTGGTCGTGGTCGGTCATATAGGATGAGTTGGACACTTGAAGCCTTGGCACACGTAATTCGAGGTTCGCGGGAGGCACTGGTCGTAGCGCAGACCCATGAGGAATCTACCAAGGCGTGGTTTGTCGCATTCGAGAGGCCGAGTACATGCATAGAGGAATGGCCACAGAGTTCGTAAATACGGCTGGAAGAATGCGGACCGCTGCGGAAGAATGTATTGGATCTGAGGTGGATTTCGACATTACGAGGCTGGTGCAGAGAGTTAGTTGCGCTTAGTCCAAAGTAATTCCTTGCCCTGGTGGTACTCACGTCGACATCGTCCAGAATTGCAACGACGAAAACATCCAGCGTCGAATTGCGCCAGCCAACGACTACGCCCGGGCGTTCAGACACGCGAATGTCTGTCGGCCAAAACACGCGCATCAAGCCATCATGTTCCACCATGACCAGGGTGCTGGTGGTCAGTATATGAACGAAAGCTGGGAATACCCTTTTTGTTTATGCTTAGAATGAACCTCGGCGTCGTAGCTGTTCTCGGGCTGACACGGCAATTCCAGGTTGCCTTGGATGCTGGACAAAGCTGTTAGCCAGCAGTTGAGGTCTCTGTGACGGGTCACACATACAAGGTGCGTCTCTTTTTTGGCCAAGAGATAGACTGGGAAAATGACGATGAAGAAGAGAACAGTCAGGGCAATGGCACCTTTGGCAGCCCGAATCTATCGAGAGAAGATAGCCACGTCAGTATATTCCAGCTTGCGAGTACTATTCGACAGTGCACGCGCAGGAGGGGCTGCCGAGCTTCGCGATAACGTACGGCAACTTGATACTCCCAGGCAAAAATGGCAAGCTCATACAAGCGAGTGACAAGGTCCCAGCGTGCAGTAATGTAGCCAGCTACAAAGATGCCGAGGGTCAGGACAGAAAACGGGTGCATAGAGCTCTGCCTTTCTACTGCTGGCACTGCATGCCGCGAACACGGGAAGAAAGGAGTCGCGCGTGGGATCGAGGAGAGGGGTCCTCCTGGCCGTCGAGGCAGTTCGTCGTCGGTCGAAAGCTAGTCGAAGACTTAACGAATGTGACAGGCAGCTTCTTTCCTGGCCGCAACGAGACTGAGGGGGTTCAATGAAGCGCCAAATGCTTGCAGAAAGATGCGCTGCGCATCAGATCTGGTCTGCGGGTAGGTTTGGTAAATTAGCCAGATGTCGTTAGCTTGAGAAGCAGAAGAGTGTGATGCCGCTCTGAACTAAAAAGCGGGTCGTATATCACAGCGCTGGGTTGTAAGCGTGAAAAGTACAGGAAATGAATACCTGCCTGCTTTGATGTAGCAATTATACAATCATATAAGTTGAGAAGAGTGACTAGAGAGTTGCACTGACGCGTCAATGAAGCGTAACCAACTCACGCGGCAGCAGTGCCTCTACACTAACTAGTTCACGCCCAGTTACTAGCGTCCCTCCTTCCAAAAGTGTCGCCGACTCCGTGGCAGAAAAACAAGGTGACCAGCTGCTCAAAAGCGCAATTGATCCGCAGCTAATCAAAAGGAGATTGCAGACGTATAAATGAAATTTCTAAACAATGATTTCTACATATCCATGAGCGGAGAGACAATACAGGCGAAACACCTATAGCAGCCGACAAGTCCTACAAACAGCCCAGAAACGCCGTAACATGCCAGTTTAGTCGGGATCAATTATCCTACATTGTGGTTAGTGAAGAAATGGAGCTCTGGAGGACATCATACTCTTTGGTTGTGTGAGCCGCGCGTCATTCTCTTTGTTATCTTCTCGCGCTTCCTCTAGCAGCTTATCAATGCCACGCTGCTTCAGGGCCACCTGCATCTGGTCAACGAGAACTCATCAAGAGAAAGGACTTTATACCGTACACCGAGACATGTCTGATACTGCTTAAAGAGAGGCTCGCACTCTTTGTTATCCTTTTCGGCACCGCGAAGATACTCTGTACGCCGTTAGCGACACCACTTCATCACCAATCCATACGACAGATGCGGCTCACTCTCGCTATACCACTTCAAGAAGCATGTATCATAGCGTCTAGGACAAATTAGCGGCTGCTTTGCAAGACTGTGGCACAGAAATTCTCACTCTTTGATTTCATTGCATTCCGGGGCGAGTGACGCAGACATTGCGGCGGATATGCTAGAGCAAAGAAAGTTGAGGCCTGAGAACGGTGGCGAGAAATCGAGTCGACCTGCTAACGAGCACACGCCAACCGATTGATGAACAGTGCCGGGTTTAGGACGGCGGACGTCGGCAAAATTTGCAAAAATTCATTGTCTATCCTTGAATAACCGTTGAATTCTATTCTGTATGTTCTTTTCCACCACTTGCCATTTTCTAAGTAACTGTATTTGCCTGTACGTTTCGAACAAGTCGAGCCGCTAATCAATTAGTCGTCAGTCGCCTAGGACCAAGGTGCCTTTAGGCCTAAGTACTGCTGAAAACGGCCACTGCTACAGGGAGCTGGCAGTGCCAAGCCCCGCCAAAATGCTTGTTGATGCGGCGCAGAGTCCGACTTGCGATGCTTCTCCAACCGGGACGCAGCGTGCTACACGCTTTGTTCGACGAATATCACCCTCGTGAACGTACTGCGGCGGTGTGCAGATCCTTGGCGAAATTCAGCGTTCATTTGAAGGTTTTATAAAGCAGTCACAATGGCGCCTTCGGCCAAAGCGCTCAAGGAGGCCCTCATCGAGGGCACTTGCGCCGTCTTCAACCTGGAACCCGACGCGACCTCCGTCAACAAAGTGCGCCATCACGTCGAGCAGAAACTGAGCCTCGAGGAGGATTTCTTCTCGGGTCAAGACTGGAAGCAGAAGAGCAAGGAAATTATTAAGGAATATGTTGTAAGTCTTGACTGTGATCTTCTACGAGTGGCAGAATTGTCAGTCCTCACACTCAATGCGACAGGGCAAATTGCAAGACGGATGGGCGCCTGAAGAGAAGAAGACGGACTCGAAAGCACCCAGCAAGGGTTCATCAAAGCCTGAAAACGCGGTAGAGGACGTACAGGGCTCCTCTTCTCCAGATCGAAAGCGAAAGCGCGCAACGGCCGAATCCTCCTCCGACGTCAAGGGCCATGACGAAGACGAACCCAATAAAAAGGCCAAATCCGAGTCAAAATCGCCAGACGCCGCTTCTGACGAAGAGGAAGAGTACTCGGACGTAATTGATGAGCCACCTACGTCGAAGCGCAAAAAAACCAAGAAAGAGCCCGGCCAAAAAGCCCCCAAAGCCGCAAAACCTGCCAAGGCGGCGACCAAAAAGACAAGCAGCAGAGCGGCAGAACCCTCTGATCCGCTCGAGGCCGATATCAAGAAGCTGCAGGGCCAGCTGACCAAGTGCGGCGTGCGCAAACTCTGGCACCACGAACTCAAGGGCTGCGCCGATGCGCGAGCCAAGATCCGGCACCTCAAGAAGATGCTCGCTGACGTGGGCATGGAGGGCCGCTTCTCCGAGGCCAAGGCGCGAGAGATTAAAGAGACGCGCGAGCTCCTGGCGGACGCGGAAGCTGCGCAGGAAATGAACCGCCTCTGGGGCATGGACTCGGGCCGGCGCAAGAACCGCAGCAAGAGCCGCGGCATCAAGGCGACCGAGAGTGACGACAGCGATACTGAGAATGACACTGGCCACCACGATGGTGGTAAAGATGATGACGAGGACGAGAAGCAGAATGGCAACGGCGAGGAGGAAGATGACGAGGACGTGGGCTTTGCGGCGCGGAGGCGCAGAGCGCATGCGGACTTGGCTTTTCTCGGCGATGATAGCGATTCTGATTAAGTGATTTGTGACGGCAAATTTGAAAGTTCGGATGGCGTACAGAGGTACAATGAAGGCGTTTTGGGGGGGGGGGGGGGGCGAAAATGTATCAGGCAAAATGTCGGTCGACTTGGACGGTTCAATGGCATTACACATTATTGTCGCATATTTCAATTTTCTGCTATTTTCAATCCAACATGATCCCGTGGCTCGCTCCTAGCCCGTCCAAGCCTTGTACACAATCCGCGCGCCATACGTCTCGCCCTTCTTCAGCAGCACCATGCTCTTCCACTCTGGTACGTTGGCCGCATTCACCCAGCGACCCGGCTCGCAGCAAAACGCCGACCGCGCCCCGCGCGCCGCGGCCCCCTCCACGGCGGGCACGTCGGTAAAGTCGCCCGTGTAGAACTGAAAGGACGGCTCGGTGCTCAGGACCTGCAGGTGGATGCCCGTCTTTGGGTGCGCCGCCGCAAGCTGCAGCTGCAGCGGCTGCGCGCGCGTGTCAATGGGCACCGCGGCCGGATGCGCCGTCGTCGTGAAGCAGTTGTCAAAGATGGGCTCCTTGTCGCCGAGGTCAATCGTCTTGCCTACTTCGACGCCGGGAAAGGCGGACGGCCCGCCGATGGGTACGTTGGTGCCGTCGACGGGAAGGTACTGGCTGGCGCCGAGGCTGACTTGCGTGCCGGCAATAGTCTCGTCGCCGCCGAGGTTAAAGTATGAGTGGTTCGTCATGTTAATGACGGTCTCGTCGGCGCCACCTGTAAGCTGCGCCTCGTACTCGATGCCCAACACGGTCGCCTCCTTGCCGTCGACCTGCTGTGTGCCTGCCGTGTAAACCACCTTGGCGTCCACGGCACCGGGGAAGCCTTCGTCTCCAGCCTCGCTTGTAAGCGTAAATTGGACACTTTCGCCACCTTGCAGGTCTTTGACACCGGGAATTTTGCGCACGCCTACCGGGGTCGGTCCTTTCCAGACCCTTTTGCCCCAGCCGACGATGCCGCCGTGGAGTGTGTTGCCGCTGTTGTTGGCGGCCAAAGGGTACGTCTTGCCATTGACGCTATCCAGCTGGGCGCCTTTGATTCTGTTTGCCACACGTCCAATGGTTTCTCCAAAATACGGACTGTTGTGTTTCTCGTACAGCTCCTGTGTGGGGAAGCCCTGTACAATGTTGGTGCCTTTGACATTGAAGGCTTGGATGATGGCACCCAGCGGCAAAAAGCTGAAAGGCGCGTCTGCGGCCATGATTGTGTATGTCAAGGTCCGGTTTGACTCGGCTTCGGATATGATGAGGTTGAAATGGATATTGAAACAAAAGATGCGTTTGCTAGATAGAAGACTTGCTTGTGGCGATGGAGCTTGTTAGTGAGCTCTTATTAGTCGGCATCATTGTGCGGAGTAGCTTCCACACCAACGGCTGGCTGGTCCACGTTTTCGTCACACGCAAGGGTCGTCGTCATCTGACATGTATCAGTATGCGCATGCCGGGAAATCGATTGACTATGGCTGTAGTCTAGTATACACTCGAACAGGGATCTGCGCAAAGGTACAGTCTGTCTGATATCGCAGATTCGACAACAGTCCGGGCAAAGGGAATAATTGGCCTAGCATGCCAATACGAAATCATGCAACAGCAATTATATGGATATTATAGCTATACTTTGACAAGGTTTCAGTTTGCTATGTGATACCGGACGTACCAGAGCCAGCCCCCCATATCTCTTTCTATACCCATCTCGCTACTACCTAATGCCACCATGCGACCGTGTTAGTGAATCAGAAACCTGGTGGCTTGCATGACAAGTGTCAACGTTGGGCAATATTATTTGCGTCAGCTCACTTAACCACTGGGCTGGAACCAGTCCCATTACCGTGCGTCGAATGTACCACTCGGCACATTCCTTCTCTATTTAAAAGACAACGCCATCTCATCAATCCGCCCATCATAGGAATCTCAAAGTCCGTGCCCCACCACGAGGTAGCGCCCTGTGCCCATCTTGCCAGAATAGCATCATTCGGCCTTTCAACATCGCCTTGTGCAGCTTCAACTTTCGTCACTTCCAAGATTAAGAGCTCCATCACGCATCGGCAGACAAATATTTCGTTTCTGCGGTCGAAAAATGGTGTTGTGATCAGTTACAGGCCCGCCCTGACGAATCCTGCAGCCCATCATAATGGCCTCGTCCTCGCCTCCGTTTCAGACTCCCAGCAAACGCAAACGTGGCCAAGAGACGCCACGCACGCCCCTCAAATTCACCTTCAGCCTCAACAGGGAAGACTCTCTCGAAGCTGGCAGCAGCAGTCCCAGAACCACCGTGGTCCATCGCTTCAAGGGCCTGGATCTGCAAAGTGGTGGGGGCGGGGATGGCGGCCTTGCAGACTCCCCAGCCGCCGATGTCGCCGATGGTCCTCTCTGCAAGCGTCAGAAGCCAGACCAGCCCATGAGTGATGTCTCCGATGTGGTGGACGCTGCTGCATCTGCCGTGACGTTTGGAGAGCCCGGCCCCGAGACAGTGGCGGACGAGGGCAAGGGGCCCGGCAGCAGCGCGTCTGGATCGCCCGAACCATCGAGAAAGAGGGCCGGCACGCCGCCGCTGAAGCTCGGCCAGGGCGCCTTGTTGCATGCCGCAGAGGAAGGTGATAGCTACAGCGACGACGGGGAGACGCACATCGTGGATCCGGTTCGCGCTGCGCTGACGTGGCACGAAGATGAAATCACCGTCTACGACCCCGACGACAAGGACGACGACGGCACGGGTATCAACGGCATCGGGTTTCGACCAACGCCGGCCATTGCGCATGCGCGCTCCCTGAAGCGCAGACAGCAAATCACTGAATACCGAAAACGCGAGGAAAGCGAAGCTCGCGCGCGGAGAAATCAGCGTCGCCGCGAGGGAGAGGTTCCGTCGGGCATCGGCAAGGCCTCTCCCAGAAAGGTTCGCTTCAGCGATGCAGAACTTCGAAATATAGCCGTGATTATCTAGCGGCTGCTATCATGATTTTTTATCTTCTTTCTTTTACTCTTTTTAATGCGATAAGTCAAGATAGCGACTGTCAGGGTTCTCAACTCCTCCACATTTGGAGTACATTTATGATGACGACGGAGTTTTCTTGTTTTGAGCTGCTTTGTATGGGATTTGGTGTGAATACGATCTTTTTATTTCAACGTCTTTTGTTTGGCTTGTTATCGGTCTATTTACTGTTGATTTCATATTGTTCAGACAAAAGGGCTGAATACACAGCAACGGTGCTGGAATCTTGTCAATATACAATATACATATGATGCTACATGATTTTGGAATCCAAAAAACGCCTATCGCCGAGTAGTACAACTTCCTTTCCATCACCAAAACTTATACCATCTTCGTTCCGCAGCTTTGCGCTCCTCCTCGAGCTTCCGCGCCAGCTGCTTCTGCTCAGCCATCTTCTTTGCTTGCATGCGTTGATTTTCGGCATGCACCTCGACGGCGCGTTTCATGTTTCTCTTTTCAACTCGTCTATTATATTGGCAGAATTCGTAGGACGCCGTGGCTCCCACGACGAACATGCCTACGGCCCAGTTGGCGGCCCCCGCCCAGTTTGCTACAGCAGTCATCTGTTAGCATCAGTTTCCCAACAGATTGCCCGTCTTTGCCCCTTTCTCATTCTTACCTCGGAGGACGAGCTTCAGCCCACCCGCTGCTGCGCCCGTGACGATGCCCGTCATGAAGCCGTTGCGGGAGCAGGGCGTGCTGGCAACGGTGGTGAAATCCTCCTTCTTGATGCTCGCCACCGCGTCTGATATCGTCGGCCGCTTCGACGAGCTCATCGGGCTGTCGGCAGGCTGTAGAGGCGTGGACCAGGCGGCCTGGACAGGCCTGCCGCTGACGGAGGTGGGAAGCGTCAGACCTTGCGGCGGCGCATTCGGCTGATCGTCACCGGCCATGTCTGCCGTCCCGAGGCTTCAATCGGGTGTTCGAGTAACGATACAGAAGCGCGTGGTTATCCAATCGACTCCCTTGTTGTAGCAGCGCTGGTGCGTGCGGGGTGCAGCGAGACTTTGTGTGGTGGAAGAAGGCTTGGACATCGATTTGGAGGTGGTTCGAGGTTGAAGATCCACTCTCCCAAAGCTAGGCGAGTTGATGCCATTGACGAGCCACTCAGGCTTCATATTGACACCGATCACCTGAAGCATGATTTTTCTTAAGTCTTTTGGCATTCTATCTCTATACTGAGTCAACATACTGTGATCTGATTCAGTCTTTGAAGATGTCGCGTCTCCCTGCCATCAATCTTAACGCTGTCCACGTGGTCGTCTGTCCCCCGTCCACCCAGCATCGCTTTCAGAGAAATGAAGAACAAAAAAATATCGATAAGCATACTCCGAGTTAAACGTCTCGGCTCTTCTTCGCTCAGCGGAGCGATCTATTGCAAGAGGGAGATACAAGGTAGGCAGAGTTTTCCATCGATTGGGGTACTAAGAGCGCATGATAAGGACGTGTTGCAAGGCTGCTTCATGGCAGATTGACCACGGCATCAGGGCAAACATCTTTGCCCTTTTTATTTCGCCGTTATTTGTATAATTTAAAGAAGAAGGATATCTGGGTCACAACGACGAAACGCCCATCAGTTACCAATACGGCTTCTACCGGTCGACGCGGGTGGGTGGGGCATCCATTAAAGGTGCCAGGAGTTTGCCAGCAGCGTGTCACGCTTTACGCGTCAAAACGCGTCTCTCCCTCTGACGGGCAATCCTACAATAGCGATTCGCTTGACGTTGCCTAGTGCCACACCTGCAACTTGTTGTGCCTTCGAATCGCGTCTTAAACCAAATTCTCTCAAGTCAAGTCAACAACGAAAGGCTCTACAATATCAATTGCCAGCAATACGCATCACCTCCCAGGCGTTCTCCCTCACTATCCATGTCGGCATAATCCTCTGCAATCTCTAGGCGTCCTCAGTTCCCCAGGCGGCCCGCGAGGCAAGCCACCTCGCAATGCCCAACACAAGCCTTCGGCGCCCGCAAAAGGGTTTCCGTCGAGGCGGCAAGTCTGCCTATCATGGCCCACGAGCGCGAACATTTGCCGCCTCTTCCAGAGTTGAGGGTACTTCCGCAGACGAGAGATGGGAGCGCGCCAAGCTGGCGCAAACCATTGACGAGAATATGGGATTCGCGCGTTACGAAAGCGGCAGAAGAAAAGAGGGCTGGCTTGTCAACGTACAGCCCACAGCGATAGAAGATGACAGGCTACCTGCTGGACGAGCGGCTCTCGACTGCTACTTTATCGAACAAGACGGCTCGACTTTCAAAGCAACCGTCGAATACAACCCATACTTTCTCATCGCTGTGAAGCGCGGCCACGAATCCGAAGTCGAAGAATGGGTGAAGAGAATAGCTGGTGGCGGCGTCGTCAAGTCGATACAGAGAGTTGAAAAGGATGATTTGAGCATGCCCAACCACTTGCTGGGATATCGCCGCACGTACCTCCAGCTCAACTTTGCCAACGTCAATGACTTGCTGGCCGCGAGAAGGGACATCATGCCAATCGCGGAGAAGAACAAGAAGAATATGAGCGCTATGGATGCCTACGCCGAAGTCGCCACGTGAGTACCCCTGATCGAGTCCAGAGACCCTCGCTGACATTGATGCCTTACAGTGCCAATGGCAACGGTAACTTCGACCTCTTTGACGATGCACAAGATGACCAACAACACAACGCCAACTCGTACTCCGATGCCAGCGACTACATCGTCGACTTGCGGGAATATGATGTCCCGTACCATGTCCGCGTTATGATTGATCTAGGTATGAAACCACGCAACTCGCGTGCTCGCCAAAACTTACGATTGGTTAGATATTCGAGTCGGAAAATGGTATTTTGTCGAGGCAAAGCATGGCATCACGAAGATCCTACCCAACCCAGACAGATCGCTCCCGGCAGACCCTGTTGTCCTTGCATTCGATATCGAAACCACGAAAATGCCCCTCAAATTTCCTGACGCTACGATAGATCAAGTCATGATGATTTCGTACATGATTGACGGCCAAGGATTCCTCATCACAAACCGCGAAATCATTTCGGAAGACATCGGTGACTTTGACTATACACCCAAGCCAGAATATCCCGGTTCGTTCATGATTTTCAACGAGCCCGACGAAAAGGCAACTCTGGATCGTTTCTTTCTTCACATCAAAGAGGCTCGGCCCACAGTCATCGCAACATACAACGGTGACTTTTTCGATTGGCCCTTTGTCGAAGCCAGAGCTAGCGTCAATGGCATCGATATGTATCATGAGATTGGCTGGAAAAAGGATACCGATGACCAATACAAGTGCAACTACAGTGTTCACATGGACTGTTTTCATTGGGTGAACCGAGATTCTTATCTTCCTCAGGGTTCTCGTGGTCTCAAGGCCGTCACTGTTGCGAAGCTCGGCTACGACCCCGACGAGCTTGACCCCGAACTCATGTTGCCATATGCTAGCGAACGACCCCAGACGCTCGCCGAATACTCAGTCTCCGATGCCGTGGCCACATACTATCTGTACATGAAGTACGTGCACCCGTTCATCTTCTCACTTTGCACGATTTTGCCTCTTGGTGGCGATGATACCCTGCGAAAGGGAACGGGAACGCTCTGTGAAATGCTGCTCATGGTGCAAGCATATCAGAGAGAGATTGTATTGCCAAATAAGCATGTTGCACCAAAGGAAGCTTTCTGGGATGGCCACTTGCTTGAGTCGGAGACTTATGTGGGTGGTCACGTTGAAAGTATTGAAGCCGGTGTCTTCCGTGCAGATATTCCTGTCAACTTCTCTGTCGACACTGGTGCAATTGACGAACTCATAAGAGATATAGACGCCGCGCTGAAATTCGTCATTACCGTCGAGGAGAAGAAGTCTATGGATGATGTCGAGAACTACAATGAGGTCAAAGCACAGATTCTTGCCAAGCTCAACCTCTTGAAGGAGACGCCCAATCGACTTGAACGGCCACTCATATACCATCTCGACGTCGCTTCCATGTATCCTAACATCATGACAACCAACCGTCTACAGCCTGATTCTATGATTACGGAGTCTGACTGTGCTGCATGTGATTTCAACCGACCTGGAAAAACTTGCGACAGACGAATGCCTTGGGCATGGCGAGGTGAATATCTGCCTGCGAAGCGCGATGAGTACAACATGATCAGAAATGCTCTTGAGAATGAGAAATTTCCTGGCAAATGGCCCAATTCGCCAATGCGGACATTTCAAGATCTCTCGGCTGATGAAAGGGCCAACCTTGTCAGGAAACGACTGCAGCTGTACTCGCAAAAGGTTTACCACAAGATACATGATTCCACGACCATTGTCCGAGAGGCCGTTATTTGCCAGAGAGAAAACCCGTTCTATATCAATACTGTCCGTGATTTCCGTGACCGACGATACGACTACAAAGGGCAGGCAAAGGTGTGGAAAGGAAAGACTGATGCGTTGAAGTCTTCCGGAGCATCAGCGAGCGAGGTTGAGGCGGCAAAGAAGATGGTCATTGTATATGACTCATTGCAGCTTGCACACAAGGTCATTTTGAACTCCTTCTACGGCTACGTCATGAGAAAAGGTTCTCGCTGGTATTCGATGGAAATGGCCGGAGTGACGTGCTTGACTGGAGCTACTATCATTCAACTTGCCAGACAGTTGGTTGAGCGGCTTGGACGACCTCTGGAACTGGATACTGATGGTATTTGGTGCATGCTTCCTGCCACATTTCCGGAGAACTTTGCTTTCAAGCTCAAAAATGGCAAAAAGCTCAACGTCTCATACCCGTGTGTCATGCTGAACCACTTGGTCCATGACAAATTCACAAATCACCAATATCAGACTCTGACAGACCCAAAGACGTTCAAGTACGAGACTCATAGCGACAACTCCATTTTCTTTGAGGTCGATGGTCCCTACAAAGCTATGATTTTGCCCACTTCGAAGGAAGAGGACAAGAACTTGAAGAAGAGATATGCTGTCTTCAACGATGACGGCAGCCTTGCTGAATTGAAGGGCTTCGAGGTCAAGAGACGTGGCGAGCTGAAGCTCATCAAAATCTTCCAGCAACAAATTTTCAAGTTCTTTCTCGAAGGTGAAGATCTGACACAGTGTTACGCAGCAGTGGCGAAGGTAGCCAACAGGTGGTTAGATGTTCTCCACAGCAAGGGGTCGACTTTGGCGGACGAAGAGCTGATGGAGCTGATTTCCGAGAATCGAAGCATGTCAAAAACACTGGAGGAATATGGAAGCCAAAAGTCAACGAGTATCACCACTGCGAAACGTTTAGCCGATTTTTTGGGAGAGCAAATGGTCAAAGACAAGGGTTTGAACTGCAAGTTCATCATCTGCTCTCGGCCTAGAAATGCTCCTGTCACTGAGCGAGCTATCCCGGTCGCCATCTTCTCTGCTGAAGAATCGGTCAAGCGTACATATCTGAAGAAGTGGCTCAAAGAGGAACCCTCCGACACCGATCCCCGTGCCCTCTTGGACTGGGACTACTATCTCGAGCGACTGGGGTCCGTCATCCAGAAGCTCATCACCATTCCGGCTGCGCTGCAGAAAGTTCGCAATCCCGTTCCGCGTGTGGCCCATCCTGACTGGCTTCAGCGACGAATCAACATCAAGAACGACAAGATGAAGCAACGAAAGCTTACTGATGTATTTCACAAAGAGCCTCTCAGTGATATTACCAATCTCAGCGGCTCTCGCATGGATGACATGGAAGACTACGGCGCTAAGCTGCTCAAGCCAAAGCCGTTTAATGAGGCCATTGCGGCTTCGCAGCCAGCTGCTACCGCACAAAAGCGCAAATTACCAGAACCTGTTGAAAATGCCGATCCGATGGCAGCCCTCCCGAAGTCCATGCCTGGCTTATCGGAAGACTACGTTGGCTTTTTGGAGTACCAAAAAAAGAAATGGAAGCTCCAGAAACAGGCCCGTATTCGTCGTCGCCAATTGTTTGGTGAGAGGAGGGGCAATGCCGGAAGCAACCTCCAACAGACTTTCATGAAGCAAGCGCACATGACCTTTATGAGCACCTGGCAGCTACTTCAGCTTCGCGCAACAGATACTCCTGGCATCGTGACTGCTTTTGTCCTCATCGATGCCAAGATTCATACTCTCAAGGTTCGCGTGCCCCGGCAAGTGTTCCTAAATCTGCGCAGTAAAGATCTTCCCGATGTCGAGATTGATGGGTGTGAGGTTGAGCAAGTTAACTACACTTTACCCAACGGCCATCCGTCTACCCATCTTTTCAAACTCACGGTTCTCGAGGACACGTACTACAACGAAGCAGACAAATTCTCTCTCCTGTTCAATCACCCCAGTGTTGAAGGCGTCTATGAGAAGCAGATTCCTCTCAACGTTCGCGCTGTGCTCCGTCTAGGCAACATGTGCACGATTGATGAGCAACAAAATGCCGTGCTTGGCAAAGGCCTGGAGCATGGTTTTGATCTTGGCGGCCTCAAGCGACCCGCCAAAGCAAGAACATACCTGGACTCATCGCCGCTAGCCTACATCTACGTCTCTCATATCACTGCTGGCGATCGCCAGATCTTTGGTGTCTTTTCGACTACGTCGGACAAGGCCAGTGTCATCATTCTACAGAAGAACCGCGACTCTGGACAGGATATGCCAAACATTACTCGCATGTACTCTGAAATGCTCGCAAAGCGAGCGGAAGAGGCTGCCGGAACCAACTGGCAAGACTGCTTCACGTACCAGGAGCAGGTCAATTTCAAGATTACGCAGGTGACTACGAGACGCAAGGCCCATCTCGAAATCGGGGACGTCATCAAGCAAATGCGCAAGGATGAGCATCGACCACAGATGATGATCATTCAGTCTTCGCAGCGCAATTTGCTGGTTCATGATGTTCCTGTGCTAGGGGAGTTCCCGATTCTACCCCTCAGATATGATGTGGCAGATAGCTCGCTGCCGCCTCTGGGTTGGCAAGCTGTTGTTGCTAGACGTCTTGTTGGACACTACCTTGGCCTTGGCTCTTGGGTTCTGCATCTCACGGCTCTCGCTCGCTACGGGGAAGTGCCGTTGTGCAACTTGGAAAGAGACGACCCTCGATACCTGATTGACATTGCATATGCCAGGCGCCTACAAGCGAACAATATTGTGCTATGGTGGTCACCAGGCCCCCGTCCCGACCATGCAGGCCATGAAAAGGACGACTTGGTTGGGCCTCTCGATGTCGTCAAAATGCCGAATGTCAACAAGCCTGGCACGTACTCGTCTGTCTGTATCGATTTGGATGTTCGAAACCTCGCAATCAATACCATCTTGACTTCATCCCTGGTCAATGAGCTTGAAGGTGCGGATTCAGTGTCATTTAACCCTTCCGCAGATGGCTCGGACAGCTTGGCATCCGAGAACGCATTTTCAAATGCCGGTGTCCAGGTTCTGCGGGAAATGGTCAAAGCTTGGTGGACTGAAGCCTGCCGAGGCAGTACAATGGCAGATGTCCTCGTCCAGCACTTGGTTCGCTGGGTTGAAAATCCAGACTCGTTCATGTACGACCGTGCTTTGCACTACTACGTGCAGATGATGTCACGAAAAGCTTTCCAACAGCTCATGGGTGATTTCCGTCGCGTTGGCTCTCAGGTTGTGTTTGCTAACGCGAACCGACTCATTCTGCAAACTACCAAAGCCGAGGTTGGCAATGCTTTCGCTTACAGTCAATACATTATCAAGTCCATCAGAAGCAAGCCGTTATTCCATTTTATCGATCTGGAGATTAAGGAATACTGGGACTACTTGGTTTGGTACGACGAATTCAACTATGGCGGCAAAGCCTGCCAAGAGGTTGTTGAGGCTGATGAGCAGCCTTTGGAGACGATCATGCACTGGCAAATGGCTGCATTCTTGCCGAAGCGCCTTGAGCCGAGCTTTCAAACATGGGTCATTGAGTTCATTGAGTTGATGCACGGTCTAAAGCGTCAAGCAATCAACGATCCAGACTCGACGCCTAGACTGACGCAGCTGCCGAATCGCAACAAAGAAAAGGAAGAAGGGCAGATGATCCTCGGCAAGAGCTATGAAAAGCCGCTTAAGAAGGCGATTTCTGGTTTGATTGCCCAGCAGAAGCGAGAGTTGATGCACCCGGAGCTTGCGGGAGATTACTCATTCCCGGACCTACCGGGCTCTCATTTGCGTCCGCGCAATGCAATCCTCGAGCTCGTCAAGTCCCTCATGCAGATTCTTTCCTTGGATAAAAACATTACTCTTGAAGCACGACTCTTGCGCAAAGAGCTACTCGCCCTTTTCGACGTCAGAGAGTTCTCTAAAGAGGGCACCTTTACGAATCCATCAGAGAGCCTGAAACTGCCTCAATTCTCGTGCGACAGCTGCACCATGGCCCGCGACCTGGATTTCTGCCGAGATGAAGATTTACTGAGCGCAGGCGGTAGTGTCAGCGGAGCTGGCTGGGACTGTACCTTTTGCGGCGCCGAGTACGATCGCGTGGCAATCGAGGAGCGACTGTTGGCCATGGTTGAGAGCTGGACGGTCGAATGGACAACGCAAGATCTCAAGTGTACACGCTGCAACGCGCTGCGCTTGAATGACTTTATGGAGCACTGCACCTGCAGTGGTGAATGGAAGGAGACGGTGTCCAGAGAGGATATTGGCCGCAAGCTCAGTGTCGTTCGTCGCGTGGCCAAGTATTACGGCCTGCGTATGCTGTCAGATGTTGCTACTCGTTTCAGCGAGGCCATTTAGAAGGGATGATGACGTGATGAAGTGAATACTGGCGTTTTTTATGTTGAAATGATGGGCAATGGGAACGGATTGGCGGTGGCTACTGAAGCTTTATCACAACTCGGCGTTTTACTGTTATTTTTTTTTTTTTTTTTGCGGAAAGGGCAAGTCATTGTTGCCTCGGTTTTTCTTTTCATGTCGTGCAATTCACATATATAACTCGATAATAATGTGCATAGAAACAAAGACTCCCATCGCAAAATGCAATAAACCGTCCACCGAAAAGGGGCTCCCGATATTCGTAAATGCAATGATTATGTTCACTCGTAATCTAAAACAATCACTCCGCCTCCTCATTGAGACTGCTTTTTGTGTGCTCCAGGACCGTTTTGATGGCCTCATCAAGCCCCTCAACTGCCAGACACTCGTCGATCCACGTCTCGGTCTTCTTGACCAGCACCGCACGATCCGACGTCGCTGCGAGCTGCTCCTCGAGACGCGGGAGCGCCTCGCGCAAGCCTCTGGGGAAGTCGGCCGTGAGCGGGCTGACGCCGGCGATTGGCTGGCGGACGAGGCAGTTGGCGGTGGCCGGGTCCCTGGGACACTGCGACGTGAGCGCGTCCAGGACGTGCTGCGCTATGCGCGGGTAGACGGGCAGCTGGCGGAACGTGGCAAACATGAAGAAGAAGCGCTCGGCGACGTCGGGCTTGTAAAAGGCCTGCTTGCGGGCAATGTCGAAGATGGCCATGGGTATGGCGCCGTCGAGGGCCGGGTTGGCGGCGAGCTGCTGGGTGGCCGACTCGTCAATGACCTTGGCCTGCGCTCTCGTAGGCTCGGGCAGGATGACGCCGTCTTCGCCCTCACTCTCGTCGTCGGTGTCCTCCAAACGCAGCTCGTCGTCGTCGGCAGGCCGGCGCGCGGGCAGGATCGCCTCTTTCGACGACAACTTTGCACCGCCGCTCCTGCGCTTCTTGTCCTCCATCTTGGCGAGCCACTCCATCTCGCAGCGGGCGTACTCTAGCCAAAGGCGGTCGTCGGCGGTGCAGAAGCGGCATCCGCGCATGAAGAAGCCGCGGGCAGCGGCCATGTCGCCGGAGCGGGCGGAGCGGCGGCCAGCCACGACCCAGAGCTCGGCGTCGGCGGGCAGCATGCGCAGGGCGTTGGTCATGGTGCGGCGCCAGCGCTTCGAGGCCTGCACGCCGGCGGTGTAGGCGAGGTACGCGCGCCAGAGCGCGCCGCTGCCCGGGTGCCGCCCAACGCCGCGTTCGTAGATGCCGAGCACGCGGCTCTGACCGGCGTGCGCCGAGGTGAGGTGCCGGATCTTGAGGCGCTGGCAGCGCTTGGCCCGCAGCGTCTCGAGGGATTGCTCCCACTGCGCGTAGGCGGACCAGTCGTAGGCGGTATTTCCGGGGGAGAGGACCTTGTGCTCGTGTTGATTTCGTTTCTGGACAATGGTGCGGATTTCATCCTGTACAAGGAGATGATCGGTTCGAGGTTAGAGCGGTCGGGGCGGGAAGTGGAACATGCGGGAGAAGCATTAATTGCGATGCATCGTACCTTGGAGAAGATTTCCTTGTCCTCCCATTCTCGCAGCTGCGGTACGGATCGCTCAAGAAAGAAGCGAGCCTTTTCAGCGACGCCTGCCATTTGGTCTATTCGTTCAGTCGCAGGTTGCTCTGGGAACGTACTTGCAGGAGATGTTGGAAAAGTTGCTGGATTTTTTTTTTACGAGGCTGTCGATAATTTTAGCGGGGCAGCTAGATATCAACTGGCGGGCGGGAGCATGGCCGTGTGGCTGTTGCCTTCAGCCTTGGTGGCTGGTGCATGAATGCGGCGGCGGTGCAAAATGTCAATCAGCTCGGCCAATGCTTGCTATGTAGACCTTTTGAACTTTTGTTCCACGTAGTTATTCGTAATAAAAAAAAGGCTACAGCCTAGATTTTTCCCACGTTTCAGTAGATGCAGTAGATGCAGTATCTTTACAGCAGACAAGTGAGTGCTGTATACTCCGGATGATCCCCGGCATAGCTTCTCCGCCACTGCCACCACCCATCACCACATTACCAGCATCCTTGCAGCCCATCCTGCTTCAAATGAGGAGGACACGCTAAATAAACGACGCCGTCGGCGAACCAATCCTCAATCACGCTTGTGCCTGTCTTGCTCCACAGCCCCTTCACAGGGGTCGAACGTCGAGCTCCACGACGCGCCATCGCGAAAAGGCAAAGCTCCCGAGGACTCCGTTTGTCAGAAAAAGGCCGTCCGGAGAGCCGTCACCAAAACCTGTCCTCCTTTTTTCTCGCCCGCACCCATCGTCGCGTGCTTCACTTTGCTCCCCTCCCCGCACCCTGTGCTGTCGTCGGAAGCCCCGGACTGCACAGTAATCTGCGGATTTCATCCTTTTTGTTCTTCCTGTCACGCCGAAATGACTCTCAAATACAAGGACAAGGACGGCGGCGTTGTTCTGGCCTTCAACGGCCAGTGGGTCAGCTGGTCGCACACCGTCGTCGCGTACAGTATGTTTGAATTGCGTCCAGGATGTGCATTCGCTTGGCATGGCCATGGGCTTAATTTACTGACTTGATCCTTTTCTTTTCTAGCTGCATTCATCAGCGCCCTGATTATTGGCGTCTCTCTTCATTACCACAAGATTGTTCAAAATGAATTCTACGGTTATCCTGACGAGTGGTTCCCCTCCGTCTCCGCCACCATTGGCGATCGCTACCCTGAGCGGTCGTTTTTCATGATCTTTATTGCCATGACATCTGGTATGCATCTCTGCGAAGCTACCTGGTCATATGCCGAAAGTTGAATCTCGCTAATCGATGCGATACAGGCCCTCGGTTTGCTCTCGTTGGCCTATGGTACCTCCTAACCCGCAAGCCCGGCACCAAGCTGCCAGACTTTGTCGCCTTCATGGGTGTCCTGCGCACCCTCACCTGCGGCGGTTGGACCTACATTACCTCGACCGATGATCACGACTGGCATGACATCCTCATGATCTCCTACATTGTGGCTACTTTGCCCTGGACCACTGGCTGCATTGCCCTCAGCCCCAACAATCCCACAGCTATCAAGTACCGCAAGTACCTTGCCGGTGCCTTCTTCGGAACCCTGGTGCCTCTGATTTACTTCTTCATTCAGCACAAGGTCCATCGTATTGCTGGAGGTAGGTGTTTCCTTCATCCTGGCCCTTTTTCGGCCATCTCGACTAATACATGTACCAGCTTACACCACCTATGCCTTTTTCGAATGGGCTCTGATTCTCTTCGACGTCGGTTTTGATGCCGTCACCGCCCTTGATTTCAATACGTTTGAGATTATAGTTCGCGATGCTCAAGGCTCAGCCAAGGGGTATGTGCAATGGCTGCCATTCTAGGGCTGGCATCTTGGTCGGCAAAGCCCTGGCATGTTTGTTCTCGTGAGTCCAGATTCTAAATTGTGCTCGCAGCGACAAAAATTCTGTCCCGTCCGCCGTTCTGGAAAAGGAGTAAGTTTGTCCGCGAGCTTCGCTGATCTTGGCTAACCAGCGTTTGTACAGAAAAGAACAGGCTACTGCTGGCCTATTTTCCCTGCGCTTCACCTGGACCGAGGCTCTTGATACAGCGGCGGATATCTACCACGGCGTAAGTGATCTCGTGGCACAGGAACTACGATTTGACCTCCTAACCATAAACAGTTTGTCTTTTGGTCCATGCTCACTAGTCTTGGTCTTCTCGTTTGGTGTAAGCAGTTTCATCTACCCATGCGCGGCCCCTACTGACTGTATCAGACTTCCCTCTCTGGCACATGGGCATTTCCGGCTATGAGGTTTTTGTCATGTCCACCATTTCGCCTTTCCTGCTCTGCATCGGCCCCCTTCGCTCACTTGTTGTCAACAACCTCCGCATTGTCCACCTGCTCTCGCTCTCTGGCGTGGGCGCTTATCTTGTCCTCGATCCCGTTTACCGCCTCTCTACCGTCGGCTTTGCTGTTGCCATGAGCTGTCTTGGTTGGGTTGGCACGCTGTCTTCTGAATCGGTCCACGAAGCCCGCTTCGAGTCCAAGATTCTGGGTCTACTCATCGGCTTGATTCTCTCATCGACTGCCAAGTTTGCAGGGACGACCAACAACCCCATATGGCCTGTGATGCACGCTGCCAACGGCGGTTGGAACGGCACTGGTCTTGCGCTCGGTCTTTTGGCAGCGCTTCGCTTCACTCGTCGTGCGCCCCTGACTAGCGGCTCGAGTTCTGACAAGTTGCCTGGCTCGGTGCTTCTCTCTGCTTGCGGTATCGGCGGTCTCTTCTTCGCTCTGCACTCGCTCCTCTCTGACACCAGCACCATGATCTTGTGGGTCTGGGAGGGCTTCCCTATCCGTGGCCCTTACTTTTCCACTCATGGTTGGTTGACGCTCGGCGCCATGTCGGTTGGTGTCTTTATTGGCACCTCACGCCCTAACCTGGCTGGCAGCTGGCTAACTTTTGGTGCTGGTTCTCTGGGTGCTCTTTTCCTGACGCTCTTCAGCCACTGGACCGGTTACTATGGCGGACTTGCCTTTACTGTCTACATCATGGCTGCTGCTGTCCCGCTCCTCTCCTCTGCCTCGAAAAAGAGCCCCGCCGCTACCTTTGGTCTTGGCTTCCTTATTTACAACTTCATGGTTCTTTTCCACGTCTGGGTTGTTGCGTATGCGTTCGTTCCCGGCGGCCCTCTTGTGCGCGAGCACACCGACTGGGTCATGCTGACCATGATACTCCTCGTTGGTGCTGGTGTCCTCAACTACAACAGCTCCAAGCCCAAACACGCTGCGCCTCGCCGTTCCGGCCCCTCGCAGCACAGAAAGTACAACATACTGTCTACTCTTTTCATCAATATTTTGTTCCTGTGCGCCGCCTTTATGCGATTCCCCACCAATGATTACAAGCCATACCATGGCGAGGACCGCGTTCTCACAGCCGGTATCTGGACCATCCACTTTTCCCTCGACAATGACATGTGGTCTTCCGAGTATCGCATGCGCGATCTTATCAAAGAGCTAGAGCTCGACGTCGTTGGTCTGCTCGAGTCTGATTTGCAGCGTATCATTATGGGCAACCGTGATACTACGCAGTTCCTAGCCGAGGATCTGGGCATGTACGTGGACTACGGCCCTGGCCCCAACAAGCACACCTGGGGTGCCGCTTTGCTGTCCAAGTTCCCAATCGTCGAGTCAAAGCACCATCTACTTCCCAGTCCCGTTGGTGAGCTTGCTCCCGCCATCCATGCCACTCTCGACGTGTACGGCGAACTTGTGGACGTCTTTGTTTTCCACTCTGGGCAGGAAGAGGACCCCGAGGATCGCCGTCTGCAGTCCGAGTACCTTTCTAAACTCATGGGCTCGACGCCGCGGCCGGCCATCCTGCTCAGCTACCTCGTCACCAAGCCTCTGGAGGGCAACTACAACACATATGTCAGTGAGACGTCGGGCATGCACGATGTCGACCCGAGCGACTGGGACCGCTGGTGTGAGTACATTCTGTTCAAGCGTCTGAAGCGCGTTGGCTATGCCCGCGTCAGCCGTAGCACGATTACAGATACCGAGCTGCAAGTTGCCAAGTTTGTCATTCCGCAGTCCGAGTCTGAGATCCGCCAAATTGAGGCGATTCCGACCGAAGAGCGTAACCGCAGGGCGGAGGAGAGCGATGTGCCTGTGGGCTGGAGATTCCCAGCCATGTTCCGTGGCAATGGCGTACGCGACCACCGGTATCACGTCTTTGACGAGCCAAGATACTACAATTAAAAGATGGATGGTGTAATGAATGTGTGTACGTGTATAATCTAGGAGGATTGGATGAGAAATCTGGTGTACGTTGTTGATGTGCTTTATGGATCCTGAACTACATGAATACAAATGTAAATTTACGATGATGGATGCGGCAACGGCCATGTATCGAATAGGTATTATACCTGTGTTCACAGCAGGACGTGCCTAAATCCCCCTCCCCCCATGAAAGCAGTTTTTTTGTGCACGTCAAAGGGCCCGAAGGACGATGAAACCTTTAGTGCGTTTCGCCGCTCGACACAGCGCCTTTGCCGATGGATGTTGCCATGAAAATCGCAGAGAGTCCTCGACGAGCTGGCGCGGTTTGCACTCTTGGGCGAAAACCAAAGCCTTTGATTAGGTACACGTTTTGCGGTCGGGCTACTGAAAGATAGAACTAAAAGTACTCTCTACTCCTTGAAGTAGTTCGCGGAAGTAGGACAGCGGTCTTCAGTCATTCTCACTCATGGACTGCTTGCAGCTGTGTTTATGCATTTAGGGTAGGAGCCATGATACTTTGTGCACACGGAGCGAGCCACCAGGGGACAAGCCACTGGAATGCATTGCCGATCGCCTAGATTCGTCCCAAGGCGGCACAGGCTCATTAGCCCGGCGGCCGGTAACCGATTAGCTTGACCATGTTCTCGGATGTCTTGGAGTCGAATTTGGAGGTACGTGCGTTTGTCGCAAAGCCACCGAGCAAACCCTTGGGTAGCCATACAGCGAGCGGAACTGTGGGCGGAATTGGTTCCAAAACGGAAGATGTTAGTTAGGTCCCTTGAGTAGCCGCGAAATTGGAGAAGAAATTTGGAGAATAACTTGGAGCATGAAAAAGGATGGGGCAGTCATGACGCGAGCTTTTTCGCGATTGAGAAGCTTTTTTGTGATGGAAGCTGAGGCCAACCCCCATCGTTTTGACCCTCTTTGCTTATCTACGGAGTAGCAAGGGGATTTTATGGGTTCTCCGCATGATGGCGGTCTAGAAAAGGTGAATTTGGAGAGACAATTCCCCTTTACGCATGCAGGTGTATCATGTATGTCTTTGGGGGAGGTGGAGGGGTGGCATTTGAGTGTATTGGTTTAAAAACCGGTCACGCGCGCCTGTGGCTCAGTCAGCCACTAGCGTCACGAAGGATTATCATGACGACTTGGTGGTGTAGGGGAAAAAAAGTTTCGAGATACTTTCTTAAAGAAATGCCATTGATAAGAAACAAAATTGCATAAATTCTTTCCATCAAAAAAGGGGAAAAGGTACACAAAGCGTCATCATGCTTTCCCCCACCTGGCATTGTTCAGGCCAAACAACCGTCATTGTCGCATGGACCAGAAAAAGAGAACATTCTTGTCCGCATCTAGCCGCAGCCAATCGATAAGGCATCTGTGCCGTGTGCAGCCGGCGCAAGCCAGCCGGCGCGCCCACCTTTTTTTTGTAGTGGATGGCTCAGTCTTACGACTAGAAACGCCGTGGCGATTACGAATAGTGAGGGTGGCAGTAATTGCGAGACACTGGATTGGAGGATTTTGGAGCATGCTTAATCAAAAGAACGGGTAAGAAACCCCAAAGGCTGAGCATGCATGTCTCTAACCCTTGGCCCCCCCCCCCGGTTCTCCCCCACCATCGCCGAATCTGCTACTCCAACAGTCCGCGCCGCCCGCCCCTCCGCCACCCCCGGCGTCCCGTCACAACAACGTATGCTGGCTACATTGGGCGGCCATGCTTTCGGATCTAGACTAATCTAATTCGTAGTTTCACTTATTTCATTTTTTGTGTTTACACCGGGCTGCGGTCGATTTTTCCTTTTAGTGTGCTCGTGCCCGCCTCTTCAGCCTTTCTCCAAATCCTTCCCTTTCTTTTCCTCCTTCATCCTGAATGCCCCAATAGTAGTCTACTTGACTGTAAGACGACACTTTCCAACACTCTGATAATGGCGCTCGGTCTCGCCCACCTTCAGGTTTGGCTGGGCCTCCTCGTCGGCGGAGGTGCCTTTTATGTATGTTTTACGCTTGCAATTATTGTTTGCTTTTCGGATTCTTCGATGAAGGAGTCGCTGAGAAGCCTCAAACTCTCATTCATTACGGCTTGTCGCTAATGCGCGGGCTTGCTTCTAGGCCGTCGCCATCATCGTCTACAGAGTCTTTTTCCACCCTCTGGCCAAGTACCCCGGCCCCTTTCTGGCCAAGATTACCGATGCCTATCAGCTCTACCACGCCTACAAGGGTGATCGCCATCTCGAGTTTTGGCGCATGCACCAGAAATATGGTACGTCCTCTGTGTACATTGAAACTTACGTTGCCCCCTCCCCTGCCTCACTCATCCTTCCATCAGACTCATTCATAAAAAACTAACAACCATCAGGCAAGGTTGTTCGCTTCGGCCCCAACAGCGTCTCCTTCAACTCCAACACGGCACTCAAGCAAATTTACGGCTTCCGCTCCAATGTTCGCAAGGCCGAGTTTTACGACGCCTTTGTCCATCCCGCGGCCAACACGCACAACACCCGCGACAAGGACGTTCACGCCCGCAAGCGCCGTGTGCTCTCGCACGCCTTTGCCGAGGGTGCCATGAAGGAGATGCAGCGCTACATTCTCGGCAACGTCCGCACCTTTTGTGAGCAGATTGGCCTGTGCGACGGCGCCTCTCCGGTCGACGCCAAGGGCTGGTCCGCTCCCCGCAACATGGCCGACTGGTGCAACTACCTGGCCATGGACATTCTCGGCGACCTGAGCTTCGGCAAGGCCTTTCACATGCTTGAGCGTCCGGACAATCGCTTCGCCTTGGAGCTGGTCGAGGCGGCCACCACCAGACATCTCATTGTAAGTTTCGAGACACGCACACACACACACACACACACACCTACAACGACATACACGCATCCAAACCAGATGAATCCATCTAACATGCTAATAGTGCGGCACCATGCCCATCGTCGACAAGCTCAAGATTGACCGCTTCCTCTTTCCCAAGCTAGCCGACGGTCGCGCCCGCTACATGGCCTACAGCAAGGGCCAGCTCACCGAGCGCACCAAGCTCGGCGAGGAGACGGACCGCCGCGACTTCTTCTACTACCTCCTCAAGGCGCGCGACCCCGAGACCGGCCAGGGCTTCAGCACGCCCGAGCTCTGGGGCGAGTCCAACCTGCTCATCATTGCCGGGTCCGACACGACGTCGACGGCCATGGCGGCCACGCTCTTCTACCTGGTGCGCAGCCCGCACGCGCTGCAAAAGGTGGCCGAGGAGATTCGCGGCCGGTTCGCCAACGTCGAGGAGATTGTGCACGGGCCCGCGCTCGGCGGCTGCACCTACCTGCGCGCCTGCATCGACGAGGCCATGCGCCTATCGCCCTCGGTCGGCGGCATCCTGCCCCGCGAGATCCTCGCCGGCGGCATGACCATTGACGGCCACGCCCTGCCCGTCGGCACCGTCGTCGGCGTCCCCCACTACACCGTCCACCACAACGAGGACTACTTCCCCGACCCTTACTCGTACGTACCCGAGCGCTGGCTCCCCGGCGCCAAGAGCAGTGCTCTCGGCCGCGAGACCTCGCAGGACGACGTGTCGCTCGCCGCCTCGGCCTTTTGCCCCTTTAGCATCGGGCCCCGCGGCTGCATCGGCAAGGCCCTCGCCTACGCGGAAATGACCACCACCCTGGCCCGCACCATTTACACGTACGACATGCGGAAAGCGGTCGGTGTCGAGGATCCCAGCGAGGGCCGCGCCGGCAATGAATGGGGCCGTCACCGTCCCGGCGAGTTTCAGCTCGTCGACACGTTTACCAGTGCCAAAAAGGGTCCGGTTGTCGAGTTTAAAAAGGTGAATCATGAGTAAGGAAGCGGATGCGGTGATGACGACGACAATGATGATTGATGATGCTGGGAAAAAAGAAAAAAAAAAAAACTGAAATGCCCGTGACTGGAGATTGATCGCACGTCATGGATGGCTGTTGCAAAGGCGACGAGCTTTGATAGACCAGCCACAACTCTACGGGATATATTGAGTTGGGAAGTATATGTACATACAATTAAGAAAAAAACATGAAAATGAAGAAGTGATTTGCCTGAATTTTCATTTTTAATGTGATATCAGACTGTCATTCAGTGAACATTATTCCTAAGTAGGCGGTAGCTAAAGCGGCGCCCTACTACGTGTAATTTGCTAAAGTCAGGAAAGGGGAATTGAGTAGGGCCCTAGTATATAAATAAGCCCATTTGCCTAAATTTCCAGTTTCAATATGATCAAATGGTCATTCAGTGAACATTATTTCTAAGTAGGCGGTAGCTAAAGCGGCGCCCTACTACGTGTAATTGCTAAAGTCAGGCAAGGGGAATTAAGTAGGGCCCTAGTATATAAACAAGTTCCTAGAAATAGTACCTCTTTTAGCTCATTCTTAGGTATATATAGAGCTGTCACATTCATGGCAAAGTTGAGTGTGATATTACATCAGATCGAGGTGAGGCTACCTAGTTAACATGACCCATCTTCCTTTTCGTATTTGTATTATTGCCAAGCTCAACCAGCTATACACCGTAATATAATGTTCTACTGACTAGCACGTAGTGCGACTCCACCGCAGACCACGGTAGGGCTTTACCTCTTTGCATGAACCTCAAAAGATTAGCAAATAGTTCCTATACCGGCTGAAAGCGGCTACCTGCTTGAGAAGCTCATCGCAAAGAGTATGTGTCACCAATCAGGCTCGAGCAGTAAGGCAGCAGAGCGACATCGGACACGGCGCCCTCGCTTGAGGTCCTAGACCGGTTCAAGATCTCAAGGGCTCAACGATCACGGTGTCTGAGTTGTTGAAATCGTAATCGAATTCAAGGAAAGCTTTGAAACGAAAGTGGAACTCCTCCATCAGCTTCTGCCTATATTTGTTTGTGCATTTTCAGACGAATCATATTCGACTTCATGATGGGCAAAGTTGAATGTGATATTGCATCTGATCAAAGTGAGGCTATCTGGGTAACATGGCCGAAGAGTAGGGCTGGCATGAAAATCTGGACAGAGCATGGTAGCAATTGCATCTTCCTGTCCACTGAACACGGCATGCTTCGTAATATCATGTACAACCTGAGTCTGAGGCTAGGAGGTGGCGACACAAGACCGGGGTCATCGCCGGACAGAATGTCTTGAAACGGAAGAGTTTGCGATTCGTCAGTGCCAATAACAGGGTATAGGTCGATGGGCTTTCAATGCAATGGGATCACCGACCACAATCCAGGCGTGCGTCATACGACAACAAAGGAGACCTTGCACGACGAATCAACGTGCAGGGCATGTCGTGTAGCATCTAGTACACACAAAATTTCGGCCGCGTAACGCACAGGCTCAAGCCACCATTTTGTAGCAAAAAAAATACAGGCCAAGCTCGGCCGCGCAACCATGGGGTTTGAGCTGGAAGAGAAGGAACAGCGCCGTGATACCAGGGCTGTGATGCTGCAGTTGATTGTGGCATGAGTGCAATGAATGCCTTGAATGCTCGCAATAGTATGGGATATGTTTTGTTTTGCTGTCCTTGAGATGCGGCTGGCATTGATGGTGACGCCAAACTGAGCTGTGGCTCGCTGGACTGGCTTGCCTCGCGAGATGCTTGGTGGGACGTGCGGCAGGCGTTCAAGCGCCACTTCGGATCTTGCATTAGGCGACTCTTGTAAAGGAGTGCTGCCGCAATAAGGAAGGAGAATCAAGGTTGATGGCTAACCTCATCCATGTCATAATAAGATGGTGGCGCCCACGAGTATACGTCCAAGGAGGGGCCGAAGCTGAGCACGCCCGAGGCTGAGCCGATTCGATACCAGCAGTGAGCGGAACTTAAAAATATTGTCTCTAGGTACGAGAGTGGAATACAAGTAGGTAGTAGGGCGAGATCGGCTTTTCGTAGTTTTCTCTGCAAAGTTCGCCGAAGACGTATGCATATGGGCAGATTTGTGAGTGGCATGTCAACATGTGTAGGTAGAAATCGTAGTGCAGCCCCGCATCTACCTGCGGGCGCAAGGCACGTTTATTACTGTGAGGTACCTGGGAGCTGGGGATTTTAGCTTGTTTAGTGGCGCAACGGTTGGCGCGATAGCGTTGTTGCGCCCCGTTAAAACCCGCTAAAGTCCCATCTAGTCCCTGTACCTACAGTGGGCTTAGGTAGGTACCAAGGCAATGCAAGCCGACTGCCAGCCGGTGAGCCAGACAGACAGACCATGGTGTGCATGTTGTCTGGCTTGATGCGGGTTCTGATTTGCTAGATTGCTGTTGCTTTTTCTTTCTATCAATTCCATGAGTACAAAATAAGTGGCCAATTCTCCGCGAGCTTCAGATAGACTGTGGTAGTTGGAGGATGCGCTGGATGGTGACCTAAAAATGGCCTGTCTCATCTGCCCTGGAAAACCCCCCCCCCCCCCCCCCCCCCCTTCCTGGCCAAAGTCTTCGGAGGGGCAAGCTTACAAGCTTCCATCCCACCCGTCCTCGGCCCTCATACATCTCTTAGCCCCCAAGCCACCACTTCAACTTCCTCACTTCTGCTGCTCTCGCCATTGTCAACCTCTCCGCCAATTCAATACCCATCGCTACGCCTCAGACACCTACCGTCTCTTGTAATACTCAATCGGCCACTTGCCTTTCATTTTTCTCGCTCCCCAAGACGCCCTGGGAGCCGCTGTGGAAGCCCCGTCCCCACTGCACGCACCCGATTGCTGTCCCTCCTCGCTCCTGTGTTTTCTGCAACAAGACAAGCTCCGAAAAGCAGTCAACATCATCATTCTGCCATTCCACTTACTTCTGGACCAGCTCCACGGATACCGCTTCCCTGCGAGGCTTCCGGGCTTCCCTGCCGGCCAGGTTCAACCCACAATCCCATGCCCAGAGCAAGCTTTGCACCACCAGGTAGCCCCCGCCGTCAGACCTGCTCTCTGCATCTTCCCGGCTCGACACTACCAATACTTTCCTGTTTACTTACCCGTGACTTGGAGTTACACCGTCGTTGTTTCACATCAAGCCTGCTGTGGTTGTTTATTGGCAACCACAGAGTTGGACAGCGCTGCCCTGCCGCATGCATCTGTCCTTGGCTTGCTCACAAACCTTTCCAACCCCCTCAACACACATCTCGGTATCTCTTTCGGACCTCGACATATGCTTCTTCAGTTTGGCCCAGTCCATATATCTCCGAGTCCGCCGCTTTCTTTTCATCTTAACGCTATACTTCGCAGACGCTTCAAAATGCTCCTCGCCAAGTAATACAACAATATATTGGCCACGCACACTGCACAATCTGAGACTGTATTCATTGTATCCATCATTTACAGCCTGCTCCTCGAGAGATACACAGACAATAATTACACCATGGAGGCTGTTTCGACCGTTCAAGACTCCCACGGCCTGCCCGAAGCCTCGGATAGGCAAGGCAATGATCAGAATGAACCCAATAGAAAGCCAGGCGTCCGCAAGAGAACCAAAACAGGTTGTCTAAGTAAACAAACCCCCCTCTATCCACAGCCGTTTTCTTGCCACATGTTAACTTTTCACACAGCGTGCCGAAAGAGACGCATAAAATGTGACGAGGGTCGACCCACGTGTGCCAATTGCATCAAATCTAAACGAGTCTGTGAAGGATATAACCCTAGAGTGGTTTTCAAGGAACCCTTGAGCGCTTCTCAAGGTCCGTTCCAATCCTCAGGCTATGGCGGAAACCATGCGCCTGACATGGGAAATATGCATGTTCAGCTCACTCGACCTGGCATTCGACCCTCGTTGACCCCCATCGCCCCTCGGCCACCTGTTCACCCTGGCCACTCGGCTCAGAATGATACGAATATCGGCCGCTCGGAGGATGTCTTCTTCACGCAATCAGGCATGCCGGCATCTCAGCCCCAATATTTCGACTTTAACGCCTTCAATAATGCTGAGTTGTACGAGCTACCACCCATGTTCCGAAATCCTCTCACGGCGTCCGACAATGAGCAGAGCATACCACCCATGGCCAGTCATACGAGGCCAATTCGGACAAACTGGCAAGAACCTTTTGGTGGGCTCGCTCAGCCACTAACAACGGGGCATCAACACATTTTGCCTTATGATGAGGAGGATGAGGATGCCATGTCGATATCCGATGACGGACTACCCGAGCCTTCAAACTCGCGTGGTCTACAATCTTTGTCTAGAGCATGGAATGGCCCACGGGTAGAGGCTAGGAAGTTCGACTTCTTTGCTCACAGCGGAGCTCTGTTCTCTTACATGGATTCGCCAGCGAACTCAGAGCTGCGCAATCGCGGTGAAATAACTGTTTTTGCTTATTTTCTGAACGTCACCAGCCCAACCATTTCCATGTATGAGCGCCATCCCTGTGACCCAGTAGAGAAGCAAGACTTCCATTCAAAGGGACACAATCTTTGGAGCTGTAAGTCCTTTGTTGTTTTGGCGCAGTATCATATTCCCTGACAGCCCAACTCACAGATACGCTACCGGTTATTGCATTTCATCACCCTGGCCTGCTACACGCCATGCTTGCCATGGCGAGCTTCCAACTCGCAAAGATACAGGGACAGACCCACGTCGCCGCCATACGACACTACTCGAGAGCCATCAGACGTGTCGCAAGGAATGTTAACTCCCCCTCCCGCAGAACGCATCTAGCTACAATTGCCGCGACATTGCTGTTGGGATATTTTGAAGTTTGGATGGCTGATCATAAAAACTGGTGCAAGCATCTCAATGGGGCCAGTATCCTGCTTCGAGAGGTCCCATTGCGAGAACAAGCGCGTCGCTGTTTACCAAAGCGTCGACTGCTGGAGCAACAACGCTCGCTGAATGATCCGACCTTTGTACCAAAAGAACAGGAGAATTTGGACTTCGAACTTTTACGAACTATTTCTGGCTCTCCGATATACGCCGACGACTACGGCCTTGAGGAAGACGGGCCAGATATGGAGCACTTGCTCGACGTAACAGGGCAAGACATCGAAAAGTTCGAAAATCTCTCGGACCTGTACTGGTGGTTTTGCAAAATGGATGTTTACCAAAGTGTACTCGGCGGCACCAAGCTCTTGTAAGTCCCGTCAAGAAGCACGACGACCATCTTGCTAACACTACACAGCATGGACTATAAAGAATGGTCGCAAATTCCTCCCAGGGCACCTATGGCAAGATTTGGGCAGATGTGAGTGAATACTGGCTATAGATGGAGAGAGACGATACTAATGTTTCGCTCAGCTTTGGAACATACGACCATTTGATTTTACTACTTGGTCGCGTCGCGAACTTTGCTGCCAAAGATTTGGCAAGAAAGCGCAAGGTGTTTAAGGCCCCGCCCGGGCCCCCTTCCGGGAACACACCACCGCCATTCCCGGGCATTATTCCGGTCCAGGGAGCTTTTCAGACACCAATGGGCTTTAGTCCACCGCGCCAAGTCTCACCCCAGAGCGAACAATCGGACGAAATAGATCTTCGTGCCAGACTTGACGCAGCTCTTGAAGAGTGGGGAAGCATTAAGCAGGCTTTTGATGCTCTCAAGGACAGCTTTGGCCCAGACTTTCGGCCGCTAAGCCCCGAATATGCAGATAGGAGAGAGTCTCCGTTCGGACTTGCTGTACAATATCGCACATATTCAATCGCGGGTGTGTGGATGAACTACTACATGGGCCTGATTCATCTCCACAGGGCACACCCGCATATGCCACCAGCAGCTATGCAGGCAGCAGGAATGGCTGCCAAAGATACGGCAGTATACGCGAACCAAATCGGGCGTATCGCCTCTGGACTCTGGGCGGACAATCCTAGATCGACTCCAGATCCTTTGCTCGTGGCGGCACTGATTGAGTGCTCCTTTTGTCTATTCGTAGCTGGCGTACAGGTAAGTTCATTGCTGCGATGGTTCGTCGAGTTGTTCGTATTTGTTGGTTAACACTGCCTAGTTCCAAGTGGACAATCAACGACACTGGCTGATTCAAAGAATGTCAGATGTTGCTCAGTACACAGGCTGGCAATCGGCGAAGCAGATCGCTACCGGATGCGAGGCTGTATGGAAGAAGGCAGCTCAAATGGGACGAGGCCCACCGTACGATAGCATAACTCGAACGGTCGAAGAGCATGCGCAGTCAATATGGCGAACTGCCAGACGCTTGGACGAGGTCTTCGAAAAAGAGGGCGACAAGCGCATTGTGCTGGCAAGGGCCGACAGGGCCCAATTGGCACTTGGGCTGCTGGCTGCAGAGGAAGACTTGGCTCGCCTCGAGTTACGTGATGACCGCACGTAGCCACCTGGGCAGCTATTTTTTGTTTTGTTTTTAGTTGGGGAATTGAAAGGAGTGTGATGTCAGATGGGTAGAGCATGTCATCTCACAACTATAGCTATACCCGCGCAGGAAGGCGCCCGCTGCAACTTCGAAAAGGTGCCATGAGTTTCGAGTTTCCTTATCTTTTCTTTTTATATATTTATCCGTGGGGTTTTTACTGGTGGCCGTGTAGAAATACAGCTGATGGGGGGTAGTATTAATGAAGCAAGCAATGACGGGGTTGTTTTTTTTTTGGTTTTCATTCGTTTCAGCTAGCAGTCTCAAGATGCTCTACCTCTATAAAAATACAGCGCCGTTTCTCTCAGTTTGCCGGTAGTCGCTCGACGACAGCGGCCATTTCCTCATCTGTATATATCCTAAAGCCCTTTTCTTTGGTAACACTGGCGAGCTGGACGTTTTTGGAGTCGAGCTTCTCCTCCATGACTTGCTTGAGAGTTTTCAAGACGAGAGTCTCGGCATCAACAATGGTCAGAGACTGGAGTGGCAACCGGATCAGCGTCGTCAAACAGATACATGGGTAGCGGGCACTGCGGTGCGGAGACATACCTTGTGATATTCGTTTTGCAGTTCAGCCTGGGCGCCCTCAGAACCCGAGCCAATGGCCTTGGCATCATATCGGTAAAAGGTGCCGCTGGGCTCGGCGTGAAACAGCTGGGGCCCGTTCTCGTCGTGGCCGGCGATGAGCAGGGCGACGCCAAACGGCCGGCTCATGATGGTCTCCTCGCCCTCGGCGCCCTCTCCGAAGCGCAGAGCGAGATCACAGATGGCCTGCGTGGTGCTCTCGACGCCGAGGGCCTCGTTGTAGTTGAAGTGGTGATTCTGGCACTCGACGCGGGCGTGCTCAATCATGGAGCGGGCGTCGGCCTGCAGGCCCGACATGGCGCAACCAATGTGACGGTCGATTTCGACAATCTTCTCGACCGACGACGTCTCGAGCAGAGTGGAGGTGACGCGCTTCTCCACGCCGAGGATGACGCCCTCCGAGGTGGCGACGCCAATGGCCGTGGAGCCCAGCTTGATGGCCTCGAGCGAGTACTCGACCTGGAACAGGCGGCCCTCGGGGGAGAAGGTGTTGATGCCTCGGTCTGTGAGGATAGAGGTCCATGGTTAGCTGGGAGGGAGGGAGGGAGGGAGGGAAGGTTGGTTGGCTTTGCGGAATTTGCGCCGACAGAAAAGAAAAAAAGCTGTCGGAAATGCGCAGGCACAGAGAAGGGAGGGGGCAGGGAAAGCTTGCCGTATTCTGATCTTGACATGAACATGTTGGGCGGTGGTGGTTGGGGTGTATCGCCACGCTTTGGAAATCGAGATGGTGTGTATTTTGATCGAATGGAAAATGGTGGATGCCGCTGCAGGTTGTCAAGCCGTGAAAGTTGCAAAAGGTAGTATTGCCAGGTGGATGGATTTCGTCGTTTTCGATCGATGGGTGGTCGCGGGAAACGGGCCAGGCTGAAGCTCTGTGACCGCAGCGACCGGCGGTAGTGGTGAGCTAGGCAATTGAGCCTACGCAGCCTCTGGTGCTTGGGCCAGTTTGGGGCTAGTGTCGATGCTGCTATAGCAGATTGTGTGACAGGCAACGGGAATAAGTTGGAAGAAAAGTCGGCTCCTTAGGAAGATCTGCATTTTACACAGAATCCAGGGGCTTAAATACACCAATGCTGGCAATTATACATTTCGTAACGATGTTACGAATTGATAGAATTGGTTCCGCCGTCCATTTAGCATGCGCATGGACGCCTTCTTGGAGCTTGTACAAGGACCTTATGTAAAAGCGGCACCGGCAAGCTCCCGCGAAGCGGACCCTAGTTAATCCGCAAAAAGCGTGGTGGAAGCAGCTCAGGCCACTGTAAGGCGGCCCCGCCAACAGCGCCCTCGTCTAAATCGGTACCTGATGGGAGGTCCTTGCTAGACGCGTCTTAACCTTGGTGGGACGTGATGCTTCCGCCAATATTATACACCACCCATAGCTCAATCGCGGTTGGACCATTGTTCGTTTGTCGGTCAGAACTTCCACGCGCGTTCATGTGCAGCTCAAATCACTTACGGGGTGCCTCATACGCAGCCCGCCAATCAACACAATAAAAAAAAGAAACCAATTATATAATCAAGAACCCGTTGACAACAATGTCCGGCGCACCAAGATCGAGTCGCGCAAACGGCCACGGCGACGAACGGCCGCGAATGACAAGCAGCAAGCACGAGCGGCAAGAAGGCAGGAATAACGCCCCTCCGCCGTCGCTCTCGGGCAGCTTTCAAGCGAGTCTAGGGCATAAGCGCTCCGCCTCGGGAAACCCTCGCCCCATCAGCATGGCCGCCGCCGAGGAGAGGCGCTACGAGGAGCGCAAGGTCACGGAGCGTGTCTACGAGGCGCAGATTGAGCGCATCGTGCCGCGCACGGCCAGCCCCGAGAAGATTCAGCGCCGCAGCGCGCCGGGCGAGCGTAAGCCTGCAGACATTTCTAGACAGAAAACGGCGGAGTGGCGGCCCAGGGACTCGAAATCGGAAGCAGCTCAAGGTATGCTTGCGCTTCTTCGCGCCGTGGAGGGGAGGACCTGAACTGAGATCTAATGCATACCTTTTTCGAATAGTACCTTGGAATCCTGAGGTCACGTTACGGCCTCACACGACAGCACCCTTGGCCTCGCGGGTATCGATCCCGCCTCTCGCTTCCACAGTCCCGAATGCCCCGCAACCGACACCTTTGGCCGAACTATCCCTTGACGTACAAGAAGCCGCCATTGTTGAGGACTTGCTATTCGCTTTCATGGGATACGAAGGACAATATATTCGTTTCGCAAAGGGCTATGATCCGACCGAGGAACGAGACCGCCTATCAGGGCCCAGCTTCCGCATACTGCCAGGCCTTGATCTGAGCTTACACGATCTGGCGACCTCGATGTTGAAAATGGCCACGTATTATTCTGCCCTCGAAGCTTTTGTCGACGTTCAAAGTCGCGAAGAATTCGGTTCCGTCAACCACGCACTATGCGCCGCCGTACGGAAACATCTCCAAGATTACATCGTCATGATTGCTGAGCTAGAAACACAATTCCTCACGAGCGAGACGTTTACAGTACATGTGCTAAATATCCACACCCTACCAACCAGTCATCTGATGCTTCAACTATATTCACTAGCCCAGCAGCTGCTACAGAAAAACGGCCTGCTCGATGACGAGAGCGAGGACGAGGACGATGACAGCGTTGAGGACTACGACAAGGTCATAGAGCGACTGACAGAAGGTGGTGATCTCATGCCTGGCAACATGTCGGCCAAAAAGCTTTGTAAAGGCGGTGTTGTGCTGGGCTTGGTGACGCAACGTCTGGAGTCAATGGCCGGAGATCCAGCTGTTCGAACGCTCCTCACGTCGTTACTACGCGACGCCAGCAAGCCGTATATGAGCATGCTCAACGAGTGGCTACACCACGGTGCGATCCGAGACCCGCACTCCGAATTCTTGATAAAGGAGCAAAAGAGCATCAAACGCGAGAGGCTGGAGGAGGATTACACAGACGAGTACTGGGAGCGCCGCTACACTATTCGCGACAAGGACGTACCCCCGCAACTAGAAGGCGTCAAGGCCAAAGTCCTGCTGGCAGGCAAGTATCTTAATGTAGTTCGCGAGTGCGGTGGCGTCGATGTTAGCAAGGTCGTACCCGATGTGCCGACGACATTTGACGACAGTCGTTTCCTGGAAAACGTCAACAACGCCTACGCGCACGCCAATGAGTCGCTCATGCAGCTGCTCCTCACCACCCACGCGCTGCCTGCGCGACTGCGCTCGCTCAAGCACTACTTCTTCCTCAACCCTTCGGACTACTTTTCGCACTTCATGGAGCTCGGCAACCCGGAGCTTCGCAAACCGGCCAAGTCGGTCAACGCCGGCAAGCTGCAGTATCTGCTGGACCTCATCTTGCGGCAGCCGGGCAGCGTCGTCTCGCTGGACCCCTTCAAGGAGGACGTCAAGGTGGAGATGAATGACATGAGCCTCGTCAAGTCGCTGCAGCGCGTGGTCAACATTACAGGCATTGAGCAGGGCGAGGTGCTGCAGCCGCTGTCAAACCAACCCGTGGAGACGGACAAGAACGCGACAGGCTACACGTCGCTGCAGTTTGACTATGCCGTGCCCTTTCCCGTCTCCCTCGTCGTCAGCCGCAAGACCGTCTGGCGCTACCAGGCGCTGTTCCGGTACCTCTTTTCCCTGCGCCACCTCGAGTCACAGCTGTCGTCGGCGTGGCACCTCCACACCCGCGGCACGAGTTGGGCGCACAGGAGCTCCAACCGCGCGCTCGAGCGCTGGAAGCGCCGCGTATGGACGCTGCGCGCGCGCATGCTGACCTTTGTACAGCAGCTGCTGTATTTCTGCACCGCAGAGGTCATTGAGCCCAACTGGTCCAAGTTTATGTCGCGGCTCAACGAGGGCGCCGAGAATGGGGAGGAGGCGTCGGGCTCGAGCCGCACAGTGGACGAGCTCATGGGGGATCACGTCGACTTCCTGGACACTTGCCTCAAGGAATGCATGCTGACCAACAGCAAACTTCTCAAGGTATGGCGCTGCTTCGGCCCCCAATATAATATACGCACAATTTTTTTTAGAGGCGCTAACTTGCCCCGGCGCTCCTAGCTTCACGCCAAACTTACGACAACGTGCACCATGTTTGCCAACTACACCAAGTTCCTCACCCAGGAGCTCGACAAGATTGATCCGGACCTGTCTGGTGGCGTCAAGCCGTCGGGCATGACGAGCGTGCAGTGGCGCCGCTTCCAGGCCGACCGGGCGGCCGCGGCCAACCGCAGCAGCAAAGACGGCAGCAGCAACGCAGATGCGTCAATCCTGTCGGCCGACGACGTCGAGGCGCGCTTCCGCAACCTTCACGACCTGATTCGCAAATGGGAGCATAACTTTGGTCGCCATCTACAGATCCTGCTCGACGCGCTCAACCACTACGCGGCGACGGAGACGGTGGTGCTACTAAGTTTATGCGCGCGCCTAAGCAGCGTCAACCAGGGCACCGAGTTTACGGGGCTGAAGGCGGACGAGGACTCGATGGCGGTGATGTAAAACAAGCACCAAAGGATGCTGAAAGGAACAAGAGGCATAAATGACTGCATATTTCTTTTGTTTTGGGCTTCGTGTTATGAGGTACATTTGGCTGCGGATTGCAGTTGTTAGATTCCCCCGAATGTCGTTTGCTAGGTGATTAAATGAATGACTACATGATTGCATGCACATAAACACCATTCAATCCTGGCCGGGTAATGCATCATGAATGTATGAAATGATGTTGTATTGATTATCAAAGAGACGTCTTGAAACTGTGCTACTGCCGCCGCTGTCCAACGCCATGCCATGCCCCTTTTGTCGTGAGTAGAGAAAAGAAAAAATCAGCAAAATAATTAACATAGAAGAAATGGGCTCCTTGTAAAGATGCTGAGGCAGATGTATAATTGTCAGGATTTAGACAGCGAAAGCCAGCAAAAAAGAAAAAAAAAAGAGCGAAAATGAAAAAAAAGTCGTTCTTCTCGTGAGAGTCGGGGTATAAGAATCATCTTTGTCTTGTCTTCTTGTGGGTTGAAATGCGCCATAGATGGTGAATAACGAGAAAAGCGAAAAGTGAAGCTCTGAGAGAATGCGAGATGAGTATGCGAATAACCAATGAATCCCGATTTCGTTTCTCCAGACTGCAACAAAGCAAACATTGAGATAATAGATTGTCGTAAAATGTCGAAAGACGCGAATAGATGGTGATTATCATGATATATTGGTGGAAAAAATAGAAAAACCACTCGTGTTGTGCAGTTAGTTGCCTTACTTGAACAGGCTGCGGATATCCATGAGCTTCTGCCTCGCCTGTTCCGCTTTGTCGAGCGATCGACTTTGGTTGTCCATGCTGAGGTTGGCGAGCTTGGTCTTTTTGTCCTGCAACTCCACCATCTTTTCCTCGAAGCTGTTGCGCATGATGTAGCGGACCGTCTTCACGGGACGCTTCTGACCCAGGCGATGCACGCGGTCGATAGCCTGCGCCTCCGCGGCCGGGTTGAACTGCGGCTCCATGACGTAGACGCTGTTGCCGGCAGTCAGGTTGAGACCAAGACCTCCTGCCATGATGGACACGAGGATGACGTGAACGCTGTCGTCTTCACGAAACTTATCCATGGCCGTGGTGCGAGATGCGCGTGACATGGTTCCGTCGAGTCGAGTGAAGGAGATACCAGCACTCTTCAGGGCAAGCTCGATGAGATCCAGGTGCGATGTCCAGCCAGAGAACACCACAGACTTGTAGGGTGGCTCTGTCGGGTTGGCTCTGGTTGCAGCCTCGGCCTTGAGAAGATCTTCCAGAAGGGCCTTGGTCTTTGTGTGCGGCCCATCGTAACCATCTGTCTGCTTGGTACCAGACTTTGATTTGCGGCTAGCACCATCATGCTCAGCCTCCACATCTTCTCGGCGTAGCTCAACAAAGTCGAATCGGATATGACTTCTGCAAACAATACAAGGGCCTGCGAGGTAACCGGGAGGCACGCTAGCCTTGACGCGCTCCTTGAAACTGCGTATGCAAGAGCGACAAATGACGTGAAAACATGGCGTCATGTATCCAAGGATGTCGCTCTGGCTTTCCGTATCTATGGAGTCTTCATTGGCTGTCAATTTCTTGGTACATTCAGTGCAAGCATCGTTATTAGTATCTTGCATGAGCGTGAACATTTCGTGTGCTTTTTGATGCGAAAGGGCCGGTCCATCTTCGTCTTCGTCATCAATGGTGATGGCCATTTCGGCAGACATGCCGGCAAGAGCAGCTAAATCTGCCTCATTAAGGAGATCTTTGCCATGGGCACAAAGCAATCGTAGTCGCAAAATTGCTTTGAGAATATGAATGTAAGTGTTTCCACCGAGACCCTTGTCACGCGTGCCAGCGAGGACCTTAATACGATCTTGGGCGTTTCGTGCAAACATGTCGTAGATAGAGCGCTCTTCTTGTGAGAATTCAAGCTTGATAACAAGATCTTGTCGAGGTGGCAGATCAATCTTATCTTTGAGTCTTCTGAGAGTGATTGTATCAACGAGGACGCGTAATTTTGGAACAATCTCAGGATCGCATGCTTTAAAAGGCTCCACAATGAAGCGACGGAACTTGCTTTGCTCATGGAATGGATGCAAACGTAGAAAAGCAAGCAGAGCAGCGAGGTCGTCAAGCCGGTTTTGCACAGGCGTGCCAGTGACGGCCCACTTTCTGTCCGACTGCAGGCGACAAATGGCTTTGAACTGTACTGTACTTTGTTCGCGGATCATATGGGCCTCGTCCAGAACGATGCGGAACCAGCCAATCTCTTCCAGCGGATACTGGCCCTGCTTTCCCCTCCTTCGAGAGCTGAGCTCATTGGAGACCGAGCCATAAGTGGTAACGACGACGTCAAAGGAAGCAAGCTTTGCGGTATCTCGAATACGGCTTGGACCATGATAAATATGAACGTTTAATGTTCCAGGTTGAATGTGCTGCTTGATCTGCTCCTCCCAATTGGTGACTGTGCTGAGAGGGCACACAATCAAGGTAGCCTTTGAGTTTCTGAGCAGGGTGGTCAAAGGGAGGGAGGGCTGATTCGCACCCAAGATGTCATTTCTAGCAACAGTTCTGGAGTCCACAGGAGAGGGCTGCACGGGGATTTTCGTCTCCCACTGGTTGGCATCTTCGGTAGTGGTCGCGAGAAGAGACAAGATGCTGAGAGTCTTGCCAAGTCCCATCATATCGGCCAAGATGCCACCTTTCGTCTCAGGTGGTGGCGACTTTTGTTCGTGTCCCGTGATGATGTTGAAATAAGACTTTTGGCCATTTCGACCGAGCTTGATCTGCCAGAAAGAGACCAAGCCACGCTCCCTGTCGTCTATAGTATCAACGGTTTCGCGGTTTGTCATAAAGTAGAGACCCTGCCTCTGATGCCGGAGAAGCGGCGTGGTAATGATGGCGCTTGGTTCCATGGTAGGCAAATCTTCGCTTTTGGTCATCGAGTCGAAAACGCCCAGAACTTCGGAGCGCACCTCCTCGACAGTGCGAGTCGACAGAGAACTAGACATTATCTGTGCATTGGTGTTGACCGAAGATCGGGGGGCGGGTGGCCTATACTCGCCAACGTGAGGGTTATTGACACGGATGCCTTTCTGGACCATGAAAGGTGCCACGAGCTTCTGAGAGTTTCTTCTGAGGTGTTCTCCAATGTTTTTAGCATATTTCAGCGGACCATAGAGAACAATCTCAAAAGTGTACGCCCGGGACGTCGGAGTTCCAGATTCCTCACCCGGCTTCCGAGGTTGTGACGGAATGCGACATTCAGTTCTCAAACGCAGGTTGCTATCGAGTAGCGGACTCAGAGCACCGGCAGTGACGGGTACGACGTGGCCGATAATTTCACGTGTAAAGTCGGATGCTGGTATTTTGAGAGTCTGGTCGCCTACGGCCCTTTTCAGGTTGATCTTGATTGGTGGGATGTAGCTGGGACCAAATATAGATTGCGTTCCGGGCTTTGGCGACGGAACTAGAGTACAGTTTAGGTAGGTGTTGATCATGCCGTAGCAGACCTCCTCGTCCTTGGGATCGCTGATCTCCTGAACTTCATCATCGGTACCTTTGGAAAGCATATCAGAATGGCGCAAACGTGCAATGATAGAGAAGCTTACCAGCTGTCAGGTCCACCATCATGGCCTGTGTGGCGATGGCGCCGTTGGACTGCTTCTGTTGGTCTCGTACATAGTCTCCAAGGCCTCCACTGCCGCCATGCCTTGTGGGCACGCTAGCAGTCTTCCCATCGTCGTCAACTTCGTCAAATTTTCTTCGCTTAGCTTGGGGAACAGCAGACCGAGCCTGGACATTGTTGACACGTTCGATCCAAGACCCAGCTCCGGAGATGGGAGTCATGCTACCAGGCGTCGATGGCCCACTAGGAATGTCCGAAGCACTGTCAGCAGTCGTGGCGAAATGGAAGACCGTGTTGCTAGAACTGGATTCAGATTCCATTCGATCTCGCAGCGCCGAGGGGACAGGTGACGCGGGATTTGAGGAGGGTGTTCCCAGGCGACTGTTATTGGGCTGGCGACGACCAGGCTGAAGCAACGCAGCTGGGTTCCAGGACTGCATGTTGACTGGAAAGAGGGTGGTCTATTGCTTGTCAAATGTGAGTCTCAGAAATTGAGAGAGCTAGAGGAAGGCCGATGATGAGGAAGAAAACGAGAGGTAGACATACTGTTTGTAACGGTGGTGAGATTGAGATTCACGCAACGAGCCCGTTGCAGAACCAGTAAAGTCGATGGGTTATAGCGCCTTGGAGGCAAATGGCCCAGATCTCATTGCAAGACTATCACGACTAAGCAAGCAAAGGCGGTTTGATTTGGATGGTAGCACGCGTGCGGCGATTACCGGGTTGCTGCCGCTGCTTGGTGTGTTATAGCACGAATAATGGCTATAGTGGCAAGGCAGGGCGTGTGAAAGGAGAAGAACAGGTCCCTGGCAGAACAAGCCGGTGCGCAAAAAGAGAGTAAAGAAGACCAAAATGAGAGTAATGCCTACGAAAGGCACGAGAGAGCGCGTGCTGAATAGGAAAATGAGGCCGGGTGAAGAAAGAGGTTTGGGAAGAGGCGAAACAGTCACATTGACATGATAAGTCAGCAGAGCAGAAGAGCACCTAGAAATGGTGCTGAGGCGTGCTGTAGAATGGATGCGGGAGGTTGATTATAGCGGGAGCTAACATCGGTGCACACTGGAGCACACTGGAGTCGACCAAGGTCACCTGCCCGTCTCGGTTTTTTTTTTGTTGTTGCGCCAGTTGGCCAACGAGCCAGTTAGCCTGGATTGGCCCGTGCGCCACACAGGGCCCGCCACCATCTCGACACCAATTGGCAATCGTACTGGTATTAAAAGAGCCGCTTCTGATAGCACACTCAGAGTTTTGGCACTGGCACGTGAGCCTGCTCTTGTGCCGCTAATACACCCACTGCTCGAATTTAGGTGAGACTCTCAGCTGCGCCGTGCCCGACTAGCCTTCCTAGATGGCCTGTCCATTGCCTCTGACTGGCTCACTGGCCTCTCGACTGGCCCTGGCAGCTCTATCGAGCGGGCGCGTAGCACGATGTGATGGATGCATCTCGAGTTTGAGGTGGCGCCATGCCACGTCTCCAGCTAGAATACGACTTGAGTCGTCATCATCGATAGTATCAGGCAATTGTTGTGATTGATTGTCATTATTTTCGTCGCCTTTTAATCATCATCTAGGTCACGCTGAATAGGCGTCAGCTTGTCACGTTATTCCCACTTACACCCGATAACTCTACTACTGCCTTGCCATGACGAAACCTTGGATTCGACAATAAAGGGAGGCGGACGGGGAAAAATGCCGACATGATTTTCTAGGAAGCAATGAGAAGAAGAACATAAATCAACGGCTAAAGGTAACAGAATACATCATCCGAAATAGCAATATTAGCTAGATGCCATCTCAGCCTACTCTCCAAACCCCGGATTACATAACCATCGCACACTCACCTCTCGAACCAGCTCCAGCTGGCACACAAATTTTGCCCCGCCATGAGGCCACCCCACCAGAATTCAGTCGAACCTCGAACTCGGCCAACCCAGGTCCCAATCACCGTCGACTCGAGCCTGGCTGCGCATAGCAACCATGGACATTACTAGTTTCGTCCTCCAAGGACGTGACAATGCCCTCGTCTATGGCGATTACTCCACCTATCACAGCCAGCTGTCCAAGCGTCTGCTGAGCTCGCGCAAGAAGCTGGGCATCGCTACACGCAACCGCGGCAAGTTTCACAAGACGGAAGCCATCACTTCTGAAAATATTGAACAGAACCACGAGTAAGACTCCCAAAATACAGGCCAGTATTTCCCAAAATTTCGAGTTGACTGTCATGCTAGATATGTGCGCCTGTTACTGCTCACCAGCGAGCGAGCTTGGGCGCAAGCCATGTCCATCAAAGCTGCTCACGCGACAGGACGCAAGGGAATTGCTGGCCGCACCAAATCCCACATTATCTCTCGACTCAATCGAGCCGCCAACACTGCCCACAATCTTGTAGAAGCCCTCTCAGAGACTGCCGTCTCGGGCGCCTCGACGCGCGATATCCTCGAAGCCAAAGCCTACGAAGCCCTCATCGTCGGTGCCATGCAGTTTGAAAAGCATGCCTGGCTACCATGCCTCGAGAGCTACGCTGTTGCCAGAGTGATCTACACAGCATTGACTACCAACGGAAAGGGCGACATTTACAAGGACCTTCTTGCCGACACCATAGACCCTTCGATCCGATATGCCGCCTATCAGCTGAAGACGCCCCGCACCATCCCGATTCCAACGATTGCGCACAAGGCCTTCCCCGATACCGATGCCGTCCTCGTACAGCAGATCAACGACGTTGACCCTGGTGCTCTGTCTGGCAAGTCCGACGCCAAGACTAGCCTTGGCAACCCCGACCAGGCCCCTGATACCATTACTTGGCGATCACGCAAAGTGCGCATCGAAGACGCCCAAATCGCCCTCGCTTGGGCTTCCGTCAACGCTGCGAAGCAAAGTCTTGCCGAAGGCTTGGCCAAGGGCAGAAGTCGCTCTCCTCGCGAGGCTGCTGCTGCGTACGACGACATTTTGACGGCTACGCAAAATGCCGTGGATGCTACAAAGCAGGCTATTGACGAGCTTCGCGGAGAAGGCGTCGCGCAGAGCGATCCTCGCATGCAGAGCTTGCAAATTACCCGGACTGCTGTCAACTTTGAGATGATTAGTTGGAGGATTGGCCGCAACCGAGTGCTGACGGGAGAATCTGACGGCGCTGTGGAGGAGCACGGCCGATCCAAGGCTATCAAGAAGGTCGAGACGGAGGGCAAAGAGAACGACGAGTCTGGTTCTACCGAGCTTCCCATCTCGCGAAAGCTTACGAAGCTAAAGGAGAAGGCTGCTCTATATGACGGGACACTCCAAAATCTCGAATCCATCAAAGAGTTGCCTGGCGTGGCTGCTGATCAAGCACTTTCAGACAAGTTAAATGCCTTTGTGAGCTATTTTGCCGCCCTCAAGTATGTTGACTCTGCCGCAATTCCACCTCCTAGGTTCCAAATTACTAACAGTTTTTCAGGGCCTTGTCTATTGCTCGCTCGCACGCCATCATCGGCAACGTCGCCAACGCCCTCGCTCTCATCCAGCATGCCTCCGACCGCTGTCAGTTTGCCACCAAGCAGCTCCCCGAAGCCCCCTCTGACGCCGCTGCCGGCTCGCCTCCCAACATTGAAGTTTCCAGCGCCGCCGTCCAGCAGCTCTCCGACCTCGTCCGCGGCGAGCTCCGCCGCCACCAGGCCATTGTCCACGTGGATAACCTCCGCAAGGAGGAGCTCGCGAGGAGCACAGCCACTCCGGCGCCGCTGGTCGAGCGCCTGCACCAGTTCCCCGCAGGCGGCGTCGATCTGAGCAACGTGGTCGAGTTCCCGCCGAAAAAGGCTCTCATTCCCGTCAAGCCCATCTTCCTCGACGTGGCCTGGAACTACATCGGCTACCCTGGCAAGGCAGCCGTTGCTGCGGCCACTGCCGCCCCTACATCGTCTGCTGCTACCGGGACGGCTAGTGAGCCGGCGCAGTCTCAGAAGAGGGGGTGGTTTGGCTTTGGGAGATGAACTGTAGTCTCCTAATCTAACACCGAGAACAGGTGATGCATAAAAAGTTGTCTATAGTAGCATATAACGCACGCCGCAGTGCCGATAAAAAGCAATTGATATTCAAAAGCGTATCCTTGCATGTTCACATTGAGAATTGCGATGTGAGATTCATGTCTTGGTCCCCTTTCTCTCCTCGGAGATACCACAACCAGGGTGGCACACCCATTTTCTTCACAACTGTGATCGCCCTGAGCGGGCTGTTTGGCTGCCAACATTACACATGGCGGGTGACCGAGTTACTACCGTACGCGGTGTGCTACTCGATATCCATGTTTCAGGCCGCGAGCCGCCTGTCCATCACCAGCACCAGGCGCGCTGACCTGTCTCATTACCATTCCAGCGGAAACCTGGGGATAAAACACCCCCCCTCCAAAGGGAGGACAAATCAGTCACCTTGTCTTGTTGAGCCGATCAATCGATCGTAATCCAGACTCGCCCATCTTGATTTTCCCTTGGCAGGGAATTCATTGTTCATGGGAGGAGCCAGGCACGCAAACGACACTCGGGACCAAGATGCAACCTCGAAACTTTGTACAACACTTCTCCCCTGTCTTGTACCTAATCAACGAGGTCGCTTCTTTTCATGACCTTGACTGTCCATCTTCTTCTCCTGATATCAAAGTCTGTCTCTAATTCATCACTCGAGTAGCCCAACATCATCCGGAGAGACCACCATAATCTACAACACACAACCCCTCACAATGGCACCGCTGCCCACATCATCATCACCACCACACACGTTCGTCGCGCGAGAGATACCACCCTTATGGAGCGCGTACATGGCAGAGAACAAACATCCGACGGCCGCCATGTGCTTTGCCATCATTACCGTCACGCTGCTCGTTGTCGCGTTGCTCATGGGCACAGGCCGCCGCTGGCAAGAGTGCAACGGAAGCGGCGCCTTCAGACGGCGCATCTGCCAGCGCTGTCGAGACGTGGCCAACGCGCGCGCGGCCAGACTTCGATTGTGTGAGGCGGATAGTGTAGAGTTGAGCACAAGGGGTGCTGCAGAAAAGGACTTCGAGGGACCGACTTCGTGGCATGGAACGAATGTGCTAAACACGTCGTGGGCGTGGATGAGTTGACGGTTGTCCGGAGGAATAAATACGACTACCATCACTTCCACTCAAAGCTACACCTTCTGAATACAACCATCTTTTTATTCGCCAAAATTACATTTCCAGCTCTCCATGGATGTAGAGGGGGGAGGTGCTATTATATCATCATCTAACTTCAACTTTTTGTTTTACATTCAAATCAAGCAATACGACACCCCTCCGTGCGTCCATGAAATCATCCGTAAAAGACATCTCTCAATGAGATTTTATGCTCCAACGCCGGTTCCGCAAACCATGATAATAAATGACATGGGTGAAGGGTTTTGAGTGGATAGCAGCAACGGCTGAAAGGGGATATGAGTACAGGAAAAATACAATGAGAAAATACATGCCAGTTCTGCGCTTCTTCAAAACCCGAAACTGCCTTTTTACGAGTCGTTATAACAACAGATGTGAGTCTCTGGAAGAGGCATTTAAGGCTTGTTCTCGTCCTTCTTCTCGCCCTCGGTGGACTGCTGCTGCTCGCCAGAAGCCTGCTCGCCCGAGCTAGCCTCGTTGCGGGCTTTATGCATCTTGTCGAAGAGGTTCAAGCTGGCAACCTGGAGCTCATCGGTCTTCTCCTTGATCTCAGCAGCGGTAGCGGTGCCCTCACCGGACTGACTCTTGGCGATAAACTCACGAAGAGCAGTAATCTTCTCCTTGATACCGTCGGCCTCGGTCTTGTCAAGCTTGTCGGCATACTCGTTCAGGGCGCGCTCGGTATCGTTAAGGACAGAGTCGGCGCGATTGGCGGCCTCAATGGCGAGCTTGCGCTCCTTATCAGCATCGGCGTACTTCTCGGAGTCCTCAACCATCTGCTGAATCTCGTTGTCAGAAAGACCGGAGCCGGAGGCGATGGTGATGGACTGGTCCTTGTTGGTGGACTTGTCCTTGGCGTGGACGTGAACGATGGAGTCGGCATCGATATCGAAGGTAACCTCAACCTGGGGAACACCACGATGGGCGGGAGGAATACCGACAAGCTGGAAGTTGCCGAGGAGCTTGTTGTCCTTGACGAGCTCACGCTCACCCTGATAGACCTTGATCTCGACAGCAGTCTGGAAATCAGCGGCGGTAGAGAAGACCTGAGACTTCTTGGTAGGAATAGTGGTATTGCGGTTGATCAGACGAGTGAAAACTCCACCGAGGGTCTCAATACCAAGAGAGAGGGGAGTAACATCGAGGAGGAGGAGATCCTTAACCTCGCCGGAGAGGACAGCACCTTGAATAGCGGCACCAATGGCAACAGCCTCATCGGGGTTAACCGACTTGGCAGGGTCGCGACCGAAGATTCCCTTGACAGACTCGGCGACCTTGGGCATACGGGTCATGCCACCAACGAGAATGACCTCCTGAATCTCCTTGGCCTGGAGGTTGGCGTCCTTGAGGGCCTTGCGAACGGGCTCGATAGTGCGGCTGATAAGGGGGTCAACCATCTTCTCGAGCTGAGCGCGAGAGAGCTTCATGTTGATGTGCTTGGGGCCAGAGGCGTCGGCGGTGATGAAGGGCAGGTTGATGTCGGTCTGGAGAGAGGAAGAAAGCTCGATCTTGGCCTTTTCAGCTGCCTCACGAATACGCTGGATAGCCATGCGATCACCAGAGAGATCGAGACCGGACGTCTTCTTGAAGTCGGCAACCAGATGGCGGACCAAGTGGATGTCGAAATCCTCACCACCAAGGTGCGTGTCACCGTTGGTGGACTTGACCTCGAAGACACCGTTTTGGATCTCAAGGATAGAGATATCGAAGGTGCCACCGCCAAGATCGTAAACAGCGACGATGCGGTCAGCCTCCTTCTCCAGGCCGTAGGCGAGAGCAGCAGCGGTAGGCTCGTTAACTACGCGAAGGACGTTGAGGCCGGCAATCTGACCAGCATCCTTGGTGCTCTGGCGCTGAGCGTCGTTGAAGTAGGCAGGGACGGTTACGACAGCATTCTTGATGGGCTTGGAAAGGTAAGCCTCAGCAGTCTCCTTCATCTTGTTGAGGACGAAGCCACCAATTTGAGAGGGAGAGTACTTCTGGTCGCGAGCAGATACCCAGGCGTCGCCATTGCTGTGCTGGACGATCTTGTAGGGGACCTCCTTGATATCGCGCTGAACCTCAGCATCGGTGAACTTGCGACCGATCAATCTCTTGGTAGCGAAAAGAGTGTTTTCGGGGTTGACGACGGCCTGGCGCTTGGCGGCGACACCGACAAGGCGCTCACCATCCTCGGCGAAGGCGACAACCGAGGGGGTTGTGCGGGCACCTTGATTGATGGTTAGCAAGAATTGCGGCAGCTAGTGAAGTTCAATTGAAAGCTTACCCTCGGAGTTTTCGATGATGCGAGGGACCTTGCCCTCCATGATGGCGACAGCGGAGTTGGTAGTACCCAGGTCGATACCAATGACGGAGCCCTGAACCTTTTGTTCACCCTCAGAAGCAGCAGTCGACTCGAAGCGAGCGAATCTGGATGCCAAAGGGGCTCTGAAGGCCGCCTGACGGGCTGCCAGGGGGGTAGCTCGGGGTAGCTGCGATAGAGTTAGTGACCATCTGGGTTGCGAGCGAAGGCAGAAAAGAGTTGACCTACAGCTCTGTAAAGACGCGAAGCGAGCATCTTGTGTATTAAATGAGGGGTATTAGGAGAGAAAGAAAGGATACAGCTCGCGCGACAAACAATGGCGCAAGGAGAGGGTGATGAGAATGGATGAAGAGTAGTGATGGAGGCGG